ATATGGAAAAGTTTCACAAAGAAGGAAAATAGGTTTCATATGAATTATCGGAAAATGCCATTGCAAACCGATTGAATATTTGCGTTTCGTTGATCGCCAGACAAAAATGAAGAGTTTTTTTGTATCGAACTGTTACTGGGGATGAAAAATAGATCTACCTCGACGTCCCAAACGAAAAGAATCATGGGTTGATCCAGACCAAGCAGCAACATCCACTTCGAGGCGCAATATTCACGAGGTTCAAAGGTTCAAAGGTTCGAGGTTCAAAGGTGTTGCTGCGTATTTGGTGGGATCGAGAAGGTGTTGTGTACTATAAACTGTTAGATCCGAATGGAACTGTCACCGCTGATCGTTATCAACAATAATTATACAGATTGAAGCGAGCATTGGACAAAAAACGATCACCAGTTGCGAACAAACGTCGCAAAGTGATCCTTCTTCACAATGCTCGACCTCATGTTGCATCATCAGCGAAGCAAACGCTATTAGAGCTGGGATGGCAAGTATGACCGCATCCCACATATTCTCCAGACATTGCTCCAGACATTCGATTATCACTTGTTCCGGTCGACGCAACATGCTCTAATGGAAACATACTTTCATAGCTTCGAACAAGTGGGAAAATATGTTGAAAATTGGATCACATCTGAAGAAGAATCTTTTTATTGTCGCGGAATCCATCTCTTGATCCAGAAAGATGGGCAAAAGTTGTATTATAGAAAATTTGTATTGTATTATAGAAAATTGTATTATAGAAAACGAAGGAAGATGTTTCGATCAAGGTACTCGTACATTATCTCGTTTGAGTAAATTAGTCTTTGAGAACAAAAATCGTCAGGACTAAATCACACTCCTAACCACGCCCAAGTTCGACGGTCCAGAATGTCGTTCTCGCGCCGAGCGATCCAATTATCGAGATACCAAAACGGCCGGGACGATCGTTCGTATACCTGGCCCGCTGGCCGCGCTGGAAGAGCGTTTCTTTTAGTAGCGATTGTTCCGCTCTTCTTCCCGTTGCGCTGAAGGATTTAACGCGCTGAGAGTGCGAAATCTTCCTAGCGGGATACGGCCCGCATTTCCGGCTCATCAGACAATTACGAATTCTAATTACAATCAGCGTGCGAAACTCGCCTTAATTTGTAAGAGATATAACTGGGGAGGGAGGAAACTCCCCGCTCCTTTGTTCTGTTCAAAAATGTATCGCTTCGCGGGATAAAAAGTCCTCGCACGGGAAACAATGGTTGGATGAAGCAAAAGTGCGCTCAAGCTGGCAAACGATAAATCTTCAAAAGTTCAGCAACGTCATGGAAATTCTGTGTCCAAGTTTTTGCATTAAAGGTTACAGTCAAAATTTTCAAATTCACATATGACTTCATAAACCAAAATCTCATCAAAATAAAATCGGTCACGCATTTGTTGTAGGAAAAAGTTAAATAGTGCAAATACCCCAAGAACCTTTGAACACCCAACTTTAGAAATATTGAACCATCAGAAATACCAAACCGCAATATTGTGTAAGAGGGGGAAGGTAAGGAGAAGAATGCGCGTTCGTATAATGTGGTAATTTCCCGATAATCCATTTTCAATCGAGGGAGGAAGGATGAGACGAGAAGATATAGCTGTGACTAAAGACCCGTCAAGTCCCCACAGCGGCTCCGTCTCGAAATCCTTCGCGATTCTTCGCAAGCAAGTTGCACCGCGTTGGCACAAAACGTCCCGTCGATAACGAGGCCTAATGAAAATCGCGTCCTCAGACGAGCGGCAATAAGCGGCTTCCCGGAAGAAGGATGGCCGCGCGTTTATTGCGAGAAAAACACATAAGCGCAACAACACGTGTTATGCCGCTTATTATTATCACGTGAGGTCCACAATTACGTGATCTAAAAAAGTTCCGTGCGTCTCAATGAAATTATTTACACTTTGCTGGTGCGCTTCACAGGCGGCACGCATGTGCTTTGTCTCTCTCCTCTCCTCTCCTCTCCTCTCCTCTCCTCTCCTCTTCTCGCCCTCTCTCTCTCTCTCTCTCTCTCTCTCTCTCTCTCTCTCTCTCTCTCTCTCTCTCTCTCTCTCTCTCTCTCTTTCTCTCTCTCTCACTTGTACAAACGCTCAAATGTATGTACATACATGCAGATAATTCTGTTTTCAACGTTGCAACACTATATCACTACTGCGCCACGAGCACGTAGCGAAAATTACCTTATGATTATGGAGAAGCTGTTATTAACCTTTAAGCATCGTGCACCTAATCGCGGCGCTCTAATCCGGCACATTGGGTCATTCGTTTGTGGTCGATTTCTTCCAATGTGAAAATTCACGGTGCATTAGAGAGAAATTAGCCGCGATTTATTTCTTGTAACTTGAGAGTGAGATAAAAGTGCCGGTTGCCGTTAATCGTCTCAAAAAACGCCCCTATTTCCGTTTCCGTTTATATTTCTATTTCTGTCGTGTTGTAATACCGAGCCTCGAACTCGGTCGTATTTTGTGGCTTTGTCCGTACTACTGCATGAGATTGTGCAAAATCACATCGGTATGATTGTTTTGGTCATTTTTTGAGCTATCAGCTATTTGATGGCTACCAAAATTAGCTGCGGGTCTATAAAAAAATGTAGGAAACTCAATTTCCAGAAATTCTGTCCATAGAGAAAGATTGCCCGTTTTTTGGACCAATTCTAAATATTTTTTTTTATAATTTGCAAATATTTGATAAAAATGGAATAAAATTATCCTTGATCTGTTTGTGACATTCTACAATTTTTTCAGATTTTTGCATATCTTCTGCATCTATATAAAATATTATGCATTTATATAAAAAACTAAAAAAAAATATTTTTTAATTATAAAAATAAAATATTTTTGTTCTTAGAAACTTAACTAAAAAATTAATTAAAATCACAGCTTTCACGAGAAATTAAAAAAATACTCTTTAATTATAAAAATAAACATTAAAATTATTTGTTAAAATTATATTAATTTCTATACGAAGTTTACTTTATATGGATGTTAACTTTTTTTATATTCATAAAGCCATTCTTTGACTACGTAATTAAAAATTGCAGAAATTATTACATCCTCGAAATTGAAATTACAGAAATAAAATATTTTCGTTTTTAAAAACTTCATTACGAAATAAACAACAATTACACAAAAATCTGTTTTTTAATTAAAATAAAATAAATATAAGTAACACAAAAAAAATTTTCCTTGCAAATTCCTAAATTGCACCGGTACAATATAAGTAATTAATAGATGGTGCGATTTTTAAGAGACGTATTTTCCAAATTACGGCAATAAAGTAAGATTACGCCCAAACCGTGTCATGCAAATATGTCAATTTTGATGTCAATATAAAAATGACAAGGAGCTAAATCAATACACCTTTTGCAACTTTCGAAATGCCGAATATGTAAAAGTGAGCAAAACTTACTTCTAAAACTAAAAAAACCTTTACTCGCTTTTCTTAATGAGACGCTTTCGTGCGTAAACACTCACTTTCCTCTATCAACTTTATGGCGATGGATGGGCCTCGCATAATATGCAAATATGGCGCTAAACCTTCGGATTCTACGAAATATACAGTTCGTACAATTTAGGAGCCGGTTCAATATCGACTTTCTCCTACATAGAAATAATCTTAATTTCAAATGATAATCACAAGTCCGGATACCGCGTTCAAAAAGTTTGGCAATCATTTTAACTTACATCGTCAGTCAGCGCAATTCATTATTAATCATCAATATCTGACTTATTTATTTATTATTATTATAAATATTATTATTATATTTATTACATTATTATTATATTATTATTATTATTATATTATTATAAAAACTTAAAAATTCTAAAGCTAAACCGCGCTTTCGCTCGTTCAATTAGCCACACAATGAGGTCCTAAATACTCTCTCAAGAATTAAGCGATCTTGACCTCCGTATTCGCCAGGTTCAACCGAAATATTTGCCTGAAACCCCGAATTCTCGCGCAGCCGGTAGCTCTCGAGAAAGCGAGAGACGGTGAGTCGCGCCGTCGCGCCGCGCCGGCCGATCTCTTTCAATCTTCAAGCCGGCGCATAAAAATCTCAACCACGCGAATTACCCCATGAGACCCGATATCCTCGGGGAAGGACTCCGACATCGCGGAGAGCCGAGACTTGAATTTCGCCAGCGCGCTTGCTTCCACGGCCGCGCGTCGAAGGACGCCGCACGTCGGCCGGATGCGCGCTCTTCTGCTCGATCTCTTCCGATAATTTGCCTACAACTTGCCTAATGGGATCCCAATCTCCGGCCGCACGCAAAAGGAAGGAAGGAAGCAAGCAGGCAGGCAGGCAAGCAGAGAACAACGAAGAGATTCCCTCTCAAACTCGTGCTTATGCACGAGTCAGCCGGCCACGAAAATTGCCCCTCGTACAACCCGACATCGTCCAAGAGATCCTCGCTTTCCCCGACGACGCCTCGCTATCTTTCATGCTCACAGCCGGTGGCCGGCGAGGGTGAGCGAGGTAAAATCGCGAGTCAGGTGAGATGTTATCGAATTAGCCCGAGACGGCGAGATGCTCGTTCCGCGTTACGACCGCACGCGAACGCGCCGCGGTGCGGCGCAACGAGTGCCGGCTCCGAGGAAACAGGAGCTGAAGGAAGCGCTGCCGCGTCCTGCCGCAGCCGGCAAAACGCTCGCGCGCGCACGCGGCTGCGTTTCTTCCTCTCGCCCTGTTGACGCTCCAACGGGACAGCGCTCGGACGGAAGGACGAGAGGGGGCGAGGGGGCAAGAGAGGAGCAGCTGGCCGCGCCGGTGTGGTCGCCGGCGATCGCTGGTCGAGCGTTCGACGCGCGACGTTTTGCGTTCACGGCCGGCCGTAATTAAGGGGGCAAGAAACGCAGCGAGCGTATCCGCGGCTCCGATCCTGCGGACAGGACCGGTGTCCATTTTCCGCGGGTTTCGCCGCCGCCGTCGACTGCTCGCGATACACACACATACGTCCCGGACAGTGGGAAGAAGAAATCTTACCGGTTTTCTCCCGTTCTTCTTCTTCTTCTTCTTCCTCCTCCTCTTCCTCCTCCTTCTCCTTCTCCTTCTCCTCCTCCTCCCTTCCTCTGCTGCTGCCCGATGAATACCGTATTACCGAGCCGGGCAACGGAAGCACATGGCGCCTAAATCCCGGGACATAATTAAGAACGTGCCGGCGTGAGAAGGCGGCGCGGGGTAATTAACGCGCGCCCATTAATTAATTACTAGACAAACGTGCGCGGCGAGAGGAATTTTTCACGGTGGTTCCAGGACGGAGGAGAGGGAGCCGGAGTCACGCGACCTCCAGGATCTCTCTCGTCGTCGCGGTCATCGCGGGGAAGTGAAGTAGACGGCGCGCGCTCACAATCGCTGAGATCTCGTTAACGCATTCCGCCGGAGCGGATACTACTTTGTGAGACGCGAGCGAGCGAGCGAGCGACGTCTCGGTTTCGCGGGAAAAATTCGAAAGTCACGCTTTTAGTCGGGTCTCGCCGAAAGCGGCGAGAGATTTCGAGCAGCGCGCTGTGTAACGGTCCTACTTACCGTGAGAGTCCTTCGAAATGCGCCGAGAGCGCCTTTACGCTCCGAAATTGTCTTCGGGAGCGACAGTCGTTACTTTTCCGACAAAAGTGGGTCCTCAGGAGTCGCTGGTTTCCGGCCGGTCCTGTGCGCGCTCGCTGCAAGTTCACAGTCTGTTCTTTGCCTTGTCGGATCGGTGCAATAAGTTCGAGTGAAGCGAAAAATATACTCGTCTCGCTCGAACTTATCGTACCGCTTCGGGGAAATCCTCGGAAAAGGACGAGTCTTCGGCGACTAACCATTTCGCTCCTTTTCTGATTTTTAACCCTCAAAAACTGCCGTCAACACACCGTCCTGGTATAAATTTATTTTAAAAATAAAGAAACCCAACAAATTCAATTAAATGTTTTACTATTATTGAATATTAGGTAAAAATGGGGTGAAATTTCCTTGGTGCCTTTAAGGGTTAATAAACAGTCGAGTATCTCTTGACATTTTACACGAAAAAAGGGTCACTGCATTCTCTCCTTTTTTAATTACACATTCGGTGGAAATCTTTCCTTCGAATGGAAAGCTGCGATTTACGGTGTAAAAGGAAAAGAGACGTGGGAATTTAAGAGCTGAGGGCATAGAAAAGTTTTTCTTCCTCTCTCTCATGTTCGCAAAAATACACCGCGCGAAATGCGTTACCGAGTCGAACTTGGCACGCGATATCTCCGTTGCATTCGCAAAAATGTCGTACCGTCGGCTGCAGTCGGAGCGCAAAAATTCGCCAAAGTAGGCTGCGATAATGAATCACGTACGTGCGGGTAATCGTACGAGTTGCGTAAAAGGAAAAGAGACGGAAAGGAATCCGAGAGTTGAGAGTAGAAAAGCTTCTCCCCATCTTTCCTTCTTTCTCATTTATTTCAACGAAAATATATCATATACGAAAAATGCATTATAAATAATATTACTATATCCAACCTGTAACGCGGCATCATATCGACTCCGTGTCGTCGCGGGGATCCATCAAAATTCCATACTGTTGTCGGTAGTAACTGAAAACAAATACTCGTTAGAGTAAATTTATAAGTAATCGTACGGTGACGAAAAAAAAAAAGAAAAAGAATGTCACGACGCAAATTGTGAGAATTTATCTCTCGACAATTCTCAAAGGATAATTTTTTGCTTCTCGAATACCGGTCACGTTCCAAAGTTGGTCGGGGTAAAAACGTTACCGTCTTCCCGCGGCTGACGCGGTACGCAGGTGGGTAATTTAATTCATCCGACACTCACGCTTGCCTTTCAGCCTCTGCTCGCGCCGCTCAGCCTCCAGGTGCCGCAAGAATTCCTGAAACACGTGGAGCGACTTGTTCAAGCTCGTCTTCTTATAATCCTTGATCCGCTTCTTATTCAGGTCGTAAGTCTCTTCCTCGGCCTTGTCTTTCACGTCGTACACGTTGATCTCCTCTATCAGCGTCATTATGGTGGGGACCTTATCGGGATCGAATTTGTCGACTGCGTTCGCGTTGAACGGTATGCAAATCTTGCCGGTTTTCGGGTGGACGCAGAAAGGCGACTTCAGCAAGTGGTTCAGACCTTTGCTCACATTGATGTCCAATCTCGGATATGAATACTGCAGCTTCACCTCTTCCACCAGGTGACGGTACAAGTACCATTTCCCTCCCTGAAATTCGAATGATATCAACGGTGAACGTGACGAAAAAAGAAAGCACCGGTCCAAAATAGTCACTTCGTAATTTCTTGTAAAAATTGCTTAAATTTTTATGACATTGCGTCATATATTTTTAATATACATAAAACTGAAAAAAAACAAACATCTTTGCCCTTGTTAATTTTTTAAAAAAATTTCGACTGCTCCAATACAAATAAGTTCCTTTACTTAACCATTGAAACATACCCCTGTCCGTTTAGATTCGACGTATTGTACAAATGCATTCCACCTTGCCTCACTGGTACTCTCCTTACTGAACAATACCTTTACCTCTTGTCTGTCCTCATCATTAGGCAGTATCGGAAGAAACTTTTCGATCCCTTCTTCTGTGCCCAAAATATTTTGCTCTTTGATGCACATTTCGATAAAGATGGGATCGATTATGTCAAGAGCACGTCTGCAATGTATCACATGTATGTATTATCATCTGCATCGACACTTTCTATTTGAAGTACCATTTGCAGCAGTATATAGACCTACTTGATGGAATGGTGAATCTTGTCACTGGTGAGATGCACTTTTTTCTTCATGAATTCACCTCCACCTATAATTTGCAAATATTCTGCGACTGCTGCGCGCACTTGTCCCGATAAACTACGTGCTAAAGAGTCGCACACCCAGCAATGAATACCTCTTCTGCCAGAAAACACCCATAAGATATGCTTGTAACCAAAGTCCGCTGCAAACACCAATGTTTGATAATTCAAAAATATTGAAAGAAATATTAAGAGCAACTATATTTTAGTGTCGTCTCATTTCCTCACATCTCAACGCACTATCCAATATCTTGCAGGCAAGTGACATAAACTTCCAGCACTTGATACAAATATCAGCTCCTTTGCAACATGTTCTCACTTCATCATAATCAGTCATGTCTATGTCAAAAACCAATTCTCTCTCGACTGGTTGAAAATTGTGACCTCTCTTTTGATCCTTTGGCCTGGAATTGAATGTAAGATTTTGTACATTAAAATGAGCCATTTTGAAAACACTTGAATAACATATAACAACAAGCAATGCGACATTATACTGGGCATTATAAACCGCTCCTATATCAATCTTATGCGGTAGCAGCCTTTTGATCTCATCCGACAGTCCTTTTTGGTCGTTGAAAGACTGGTAACGTATGTAAATATCGTCAGAGAGCGTGAACGAAAATTCTCTCTTGCTGAAAACGCCCGCTGGAAGGAAGTTAAGAGAAACATGACATTGTTGCACAGTTCATTGCATATTGACTGAAAAGCCCAAGCTTACCATTTCCATAACTCAACCACCTATAGTAATCAGCAAATGGAAACAATCTCGAATAATAAACCGGCAACAAGTCGAGCAAATCCGATACGTCACCCATTTTGTGTATATTTCTGTTGACGTGAATAAAATTACACACGAACGACTCACTCTTTAATTGATCGCTCTAATAAGATTCTTCCGCAGCAATAACGTCGCATAATCCACTTTCGTACGCAAAACTCGAATTACATCCAATATACCGGCGCAAGAATTACATTGGCGGGAACATAGAGCGAATTTTATTTAATTGAACATGTCGGATTATGTTAGGTTGGGTTGGCTTAGGTCGCCATCTGTATGTGCGGCTCTAAATTAATTCTCTTCTCACATTATTGACTTTTTTCTGTTTATAATTTTCACTGAAGAAAGTTTCATATGGGAAGACAATAATATAAGTTCTGTACAACACAACATATTTAATAACATGTTTTATTTACAATTTCATATGTATGTACCATACATGTATCGCAATTCGCTAGCTATATAAAAAACAATTCATATCTTAATTTGATCTAACAGAAAAAAAGAAAAAAAAATATGCAGGCATAAGGCGACCGATGCTTCAAGTTTCGAGTGAATTGGTATTGTTTTTATACGATACAATTTTTACAAATTTATTGAAAACTATACCGTATGTCTCCTCATTTCTCCCTTGTTGAGTTGCAGCGTTAAACAATTTTCAAAAGTTTCTCGATAATTTTGTGTAATTTCCTATCTATACAAATCGACTTACTGCACTATCATGATCTATCTTAAGCATTATACTCATGAATATCATACAAAAAGCCTCATGAAGTTTAAAAATATATATTTCGTTTCAACAACACAATTATTCAGGAGAATTGTTACTTTTTTTATTACTAATTTATTTTGAGACACTGTGCTTGTAAGAGGACATTCGCGTTAGAAATCAAATGTACGTAAAGCTCTAGAATTGAATAAAATTGCAGGTCAAAGAGCTCGGATCCATCAATCATGTACGCTTAGCAGAGCCAAACATTTATCCATACATTGCAAGGGCTTTGTGAGAGAAGCTGGTCTCTTTATAAAAAGCTCAACTTTTTCGCTAAATGCTTTCGGGATAAAAAGATCAAGTTTATATAAGTTTTGTTACATATAGCACGCCATTCCTCTACGACTTCAAATCTTTTGGGAAATTTGCATATAGAGATTACGTGTACGTGCATTTCTATATATTTATATCTACATAAGTTTAATCAGCGTAAACTTCTGTCTTACTGAATCTTCTTACTGCCATATTGACAACGTTGTAGAGTTAATTGTTTATTTATCGGGTCGACATATATGTGCTACAATATGTCATTACATGTATATTTACCTAAATCTAAATATATGTGTGTATATATATATATATATGTATATATTTTTCTCTTCCTCCATACCTTACAAGATCTACTTTATAATTATTTACAAAAATTCTCTTACATCTGGTAACAATTATAATTATATATCTCTCAGTTTGATCTCTTCGTATAAATAAGTAAATCTTTAATATCGTCTAATCCATAAAAACTCGTGGAAAATATCTACGCAAGCCATACATTCTATATATGCGTATGAATATAAGTATGTGTGCTTGTACGTTGTATGTATGTGTGTGTACGGTGTGGTGTTGTATGCAGGTGTTTATATTATAACCACACCTAGCGAGCGAAAGACATTCTCAGGCGAACTTCTCCTGTGGTCATCTCTGATTCATAATTTAACATTGAATGGAGATCGTTACGCTACGAAATAATAGACAATACAGACAAGCACCGTTCCACAATGATCAGAAAATGCGTTATCTCAAATATTCAAAGTGCACCGAAATCCACGCATGCCTGGACATTCCTCAGCTCGAAAATTACTCAAACTTCTTGCGCATTCGTCTCCAGATACAGACTGACCCGCATATCATTAAAAAGATACAGGTTATTCTGAACCACCCTCATGTATATCCTCATGATTGTCGGGTAAGCAGCAACAACAGTCGGGCCGAGAGCACATAGAAAAATGCGAGTAAACAGCAACAGTGTGAGCAAGCAGTAAAACTCAAACCAGCGAACCGACCAACCAAGACCAATTGTCCTTAGGACCCAGGAACAAGCGATCGGTCGATTTTCCCGCCATTCAAGTCTCGCTACTTGCGAGTTCTTCTTTTCCTCCTATGCGCTCTCGGTCTTAGGCGACCCTCGCTCTCAGCAACGGCCAAGCACGGGTGAATTTCAGCGTATATTATGCTTTCTGTAGCAAAGCGCTGAGGTGCGAATCCTGCACTCGGGCTTTTCCCCCTTCCTCTCCAGAAAATTCCTAAGCTACCGCGGCGCTCACGATCGCCGGGCAGAAGTCGCTCCGCGTTATTTCTCATGCGGCATCTTCACGAGGACCGTCCTGGTGCCCTCGATATCGGAGATGTTGATTTTCAGCTCGTTGGCGAGCGCCTCCAGCTTGTCCACCACCCTGGCGGCGGTCTTTGGTCCTCCCGGATTCGGCGGTGGCCATACGTCGTCCAACGGCGGTTCAATGTACTTCCTAGCCGCCTTCGAGGCCAGGACGTCCGGCTTGGACCCAAGCGTGCCCCCCACGTGGTTCACCGAGGAGATGTACTTGGGCGCCGTCTCGCTCTCGAGGCGAGCGCGCTTGCAGAGCGGCATCTGTATCACCGGGCCGTAGTCGTGATCCAGAAGCCCCTCGACCTCCTGCAGCAGCTCCTCGTCGCACTGCTGAAGCTCCTCGTCCATTAGCTGCTGCTTCGTGTACAGCAAAGTCCTCGAGCGACCTGGGGGACAAGAACGAGCGTAGAATATAGGCTGCGCGCCATCGCGATCGATGATTCACGCTTAATTAATTCGTCATTAAATCGGTCATATATCTTGGGAGAAAATATTCAGGTTTCCGTTTCCTCGTCGCGATTATCTCGAATTACGACGTTGGGAATGAGAAGATGTGTCTTAAAGATCCCGGCAGAATATGTTGAAATCAACAGATACGTTCGCAAGATAAACACTTGCAGTTGATCGAGCAGTAAAATATATAGTAGTAAAATGTATTAGTAGTAAAATAAAACAACCGCTTTCCCTTGGACGATCAGTAAATAACCATAAAATTAATATGCCAGAATCATGAGAGAAAGAGAGAGAGAGAGAGAGAGAGAAGATAAAAATTGTCGACAAAATAAAATTTGGTCGACTTCTGATGCTCGATAGAATGTCGGCAGAGTCTTTTCTAAACATGTTATTCCCCCGAAACTTTGATATCTCCGTAGATTCCCCGGGCGTAAATTCCACTTCTCGCTCGAGAGTCGATCCTCGTCGGAATTCCGTCCGCATCATCAAAAAGCCAGCCACGTGACGGCGAAAGAATTGTCCGAATAATAAGCGGCGCAAAAGGATCTCGGTGCTTTCCTGTCCTGCTCTGTCCTCTTTTAGAAAGTAGTAAGGCAACTTCTTAACGATCCCGTAGGCGCGTTCCGGTTTCACCGTTCTCACGTCTATAGAAGGCTCCTTATTTTATCTGATCAGCAGAACCGGTGACGGTAAACTCGAAAAGTCACACCCGTTTCCCGTCTCTTCTTCCGTATTTTTTTTCCTCGATTATTGTCTCCCTCTCTGAGACATTAACACTCTGTGATTTGGACATCAATACCCGGCAAGAGATAATTATACAGGGTGTCCGGGATCTTTTGGAAAGGAAAAATTGTCAGGATTAATCAGATCAAACTGAGAAGAAAAGTCATGTACCATCTTGCAAAAATCGCAATAGTTATCAAACTGCTAATAATTGAAAATGATTTGGATGTTAATACCCGACAAAAGATCATTATACAGGGTGTCCGGGATCTTTTGGAAAGGAAAAATTGTTAGGATTAATCAGATCAAACTGAGGAGAAAAGTCATGTACCATTTTGCAACCATCGCAATAGTTATCAGGTTGTTAATGACTGAAAATAACCACATTTAGAGGCTCTGTTAATTGATAATTTGGAAACTTATTTATGTACTTGTTTGCAAAATGGTAAAGGACTCTTTTGTTCAGAATGATCTAATCTATAATTACATGGCGGCTATTGTGTCTAACGACAGGTTCAAGATTCAGTGTTCAAAGTTCAATACACTCATATCTATCGCTAGATACAATAGTCATCATGATTGTAGATTAGGTTATTCTGAATAAAAAAGTCCTTTATCATTTTGCAAGCAAGTATGCAAATTTTCATGTTAAAAGAGCCCTTAGATGTGGTTATTTTGCCTATTGAGATTTTTGCAAAATGGTATTTGACTCTTCCCAGTTTGATCTGATTAACCTTCCTTTTTAAAAATCCCCGACACCCTGTATAATTATTTATTATTTTGCTTCTACCATTTTGCAAATTTTCAAGTTATCAACCAAAGGAACTCCTAGATGTGGTCATTCAATCACTAATAATTTAATGCAATTTTTGCAAAACGATACATGACTCTTTTTCTCAGTTTGATCCGATTAATCTTCACAATTTTTCCTTCCCAAAAGACCCCGGACACCCTGTATATACGATCATACATAAATTTTGCCTCTAGCCATAATTTGTAATATTTGCCCACATTGTGTAATATGTATGTAATATTTGTATATATTTATATATAATATTTGTATGTAATATATATCCACACTGGAAAAAATACCGTCGCACAAAAACAATTGAAGTGACTGCTGTGATGTATAATTGAAGGCATTTTCTTCTCTTCACTCAACAGCGTTTTCTTCCCGATGTAGACATACGCAAGTTTATGTGATCATATAAATGACAAAATTCACACATGGATCGTATATCGCAACGTGCAATTTAGTATATTATTATATACAATCTTTTCTGGCCGGTTATCGATATTAACTTGAAGCTTCGAGAAGGCTGAATTGCCGCGAGTCCCAAATGAAGAAAGAACAATGGGTGTCTGCATGTATAAACGCGCCGTTGCGACACGCGGCAGCGGCGGCGAAATTCGAGGACGTTCATTTGCCGAACGGAATTCGCCGTGTGCGCGAAATAAATCATTCCATGAGGAATCGACGCGCACTTGACTCTCGTGCGAAACACTCGCGGAGAAAACAACGAGCGTCCGTCGCGGCGCGCCGCGCAGAGAGACGAAAGCGGAGGGAGCGATCTGGAATTAGCGCACGCGCGCGCGTTAATATACCGCAATTACTGCACGTTATGTAACATCTTCCTCTTATCGGCGCTCACCAACTACCTGCTGATACCGTTGATACTTCGTCTGCACGTCCCATCGCTGCTGTGCAAATAACGATAACGAGCAATAACTCGAGCAGATTCGGGAATGTTATTCACCGCGAGATATTTACAAACGTGTTCACGTCGATATCGTCGGATTTGCGCCGAATTTTGCGCCACTGTATGCTTATTTGGAACTCGTCGAAGGCTGATCCGACCTGACGATAGCGCGATAGCGGAGTCGGCTTCTTATTACGTACGTTGTTTCAATTCTCGCGACGCCCTCTTCCTCGCGCAATACCGTCCAAGCGTAAAAACGCAGGCAGGCACAGCAGCGGAACGAGAAGAAGGCAAAGCGAGACCGAAGAATGAAGAAAGGGGAAAGAAGGGACGCCTTTCACAATTTTACGGGATTCAACGTCACGGAACGGTCGGCGATGCTATCAGACCGCAATACGCACCCGTAAACCATTAACGTAACAGTCCGCGAAATTCGGCCGGCTAGATTCACTGCGCGCGGTAAAGTGAAATGTGAAATAGACTGAAAAAATGGACTCTCCGCTCCGCGACATTTGCATAAAGATGTATCAAGGTCAAGCTACCGACACCGAAACTTCATTCCTATCGTCACGCCTTCAAATGCGAATATTTGAACTCTCAATTAAGGATTTGCACACGGAACTCACCAGCCAACGGCATCTTCTCCGGCTGCTCTTGCTCCTGCGTGAGGTCGCTGTTGTTGTTGTTGGAGTGCGGCCGCAGATTCGGCACAACGACGAGAGCGAGAGAGAGCAGCAGCACCATGAGGCAGGTCGCCGGCTGGGCGCTCTTGTTGCCCTTCTGTATGAGCGCCTGCAGTCTCTTCAGCTGCCCGGCCAGACTCTGATTTTGCGTCTGAAGGGTCTTGATGCGCTTCAGCAACGTCATGTTCTCCTCCGTGCACTGCTTCACGCGGTCCTCTAGCCCGTCCACATACTCCTTTTTCCTCTTGCGGGAGTCCTGGGCGGATATCTTGTTGCGGATCTTGCGCCTGATCCTCTTCAGCTCGCGTTCCTCGTGCTTGGTCAGCGGATAATGGCTCGGCAAGGTGATGCCCTCCTTCTGCAGCAGTCGCTTCTCCTCGGCGTTCAGTTTCAGCCGCGGGTAGGGCGAGTCTGTTTCCGACATCTCCTCGCTGGAGTTGCAGCCCTTCTCGCTGCTGGAATCTTCCTGCTTGATGGTCATCTAATGAAGAAGAGAAAGGGAGTCATCACTAAAGTATGCTGAGAAAGCCGAGAGAGTCCTATATATATAGAGTGTTTCCAAAAGGTTGGGCCAACTACACGCGAATACATATTCTTCCCATCAAGGCAAACCGATTTCAATCATTAAATCCACCTGACTTTTGTCTCTGGAGCCATTTGAAACGCGAGTCCGGTTGACAACAAATAACAAAGAATAGAGGGTGTTATTATTCCAGAACTGTTTGAACACACAAGATGGTTCATAACGCGAAGAACCCAGAATTGTACAGCTTCACGCAGTGGACATTTTCAACACCTCCTTTCTTTTTAATTTCTGGACTCTATTTAAATATTACTGCACGTATTACACAACTACGTGTGGCCAGTCCAACCCCTCTTGAAACACTCTGTACATCATGACACCAATATACACCATTAGAAGTGTGTCTCACGAGTGGCGTGCAAATACACGATCGTTAAACACAACGGGCGCACGCGTGGTGTCGAATAATTATGTAAGCAAGCAGGTCCGCGGCTCTAATTAAGGAGTCCGGCTGGAATTGCGTCCCCACCTGCACAGGTTTGTTGATGATGTTCGCCTGATTGATCTTGAAGCCTTTCAGATTTCTCGCCTGTGTGGCGTTGATAATTTTGATGGCTCGGACCTCCTTCATGTCCTTCAGGCTGACGGGCAGCAGGATAGAGCGCGGATTACCGGAGCCCATCGGAGTGACGCGTATCAACTGCCGAATATTCCGCTTGCCGTTGCACGTCAAGTTGCGCACGTTTAGCGTGTTCTCCTGCGGCGTGACGTGCGTCTGCTGCTGCTGCTGCTGCTGCTGCTGCTTGGGTGTTGGCGCTGCAAAGCAGAAGTTGCGTCTGAATTTCTCCCAAGCGAAGATCAAGCGTGAGAGACTAAATCGGATTCAGCGTGTATCGGCGCCTTTCCACGATTGGTCTCGCGAGCAATTCTGCAGCAAGCTGATTTCCTTCTGGCAACAATTTGACTTGAGACCCATAATTGCTTTCAGCGCTCCTTTGTAATAAAATACACGCGCAGAAGAAAGCAACTCGCGCGGTCCTGTGAGACATAACTTATGGACGAAATAGATCTATACCGATAATCTCACCTGCCGGCTCTTCCGCGACGATCGCAGTGTTCGCGTTGGCACTCGGCATGGTGTTGTTCGGCGTCACCACGGCGACCAACGTCTGTCCATAGTCCATCTCCTCTGCGACGTCTGTGGCCGGCGAGCCAATATTGGAACTCATGACTGACCGCACGGGACTGTCGACGCTGCCAAGGGACTGGATCGGGCTGGCCACAGGCTCGAAGTCCATGAGGTCCTGCGGGCTGTTCAGGTTGGAGTTGACGATCTCGATTTGCTCGTCCTCGTTCTTGATGAACAGCGGACTCAGCTGCTGCTCATAGGAGAGACTCTGCGTGCTGGACAGCCCGCTGTCCGACAAGGAGAACGGGCTTGTGTCTTCCAGGTCCTTCTCGATCAGGAAGTCTGGATTCTCCTCCTGCAGCTTCATGATCGTGGCCAGCAAGTCGTCCGACGTGGACGTCGCGAATTCTTCGGCCTGGAACATCAAGTGCTTCGTACTTTAGCGGCTAAATGGTAATTTTTTGGATATTAATATTCAACCCTTTTCTGGGCTGAATCAATTTTCTAATTTTTTTTTTTTTAATATGAGACATAAAAAATCTGACGACGATGGTATAAAGATCTGTAAAAGATACATGGATATTTACATTTCTTCGTCAAATGTCCCTGAAAATCTTATTAACTGAGAAGCTTATTAACAAATAAGTAACTTCCTTAAACATGCGCATAATGTATTGCTTTGCAGAAAAGTTTGCAATATTGTATAAGAGGAAGTATTTTTTTACAGAAAAGTTTAATTTCTCTCTCGTCAGGAAACCACCGCATTTTCATCTTGAACGAAAAATACCTTTCTTGGGAAACCGAAAAAAGTAGAAGAATCATTTTTTTTATATAAGGTTTCTTATACTCCCCTTTATATTATAAAAAAAAAAAAAAACTAGACAAACTGATCTTGATGACTCTTTACATCTTGACGGTCGTTATCATGCGTACATGGTTTTATTTTCTCAGAGTCTATCGCCTCAATAAAGAACTATTCCTCGACAATCGACTTCGCGATTGTGATGACGTAAGAGCTACATCAAGTTGATATGTACACAAGTTTACACTTGAACTCGACACTTTTTTCCTCGTCGCAGTTAGGCGCTGATGCAACGACAGAGATTGTGTCTGTGATCAGAGTTCCCGAAAGTTGCTCTCCAAATCTCCTCGAGCGGAGTCTCGCTCAAAGAGAGCCAAGAGCGACAGTGAAAATACCGTCACTCGAAATCGCGCAGGAGTGAACGTTTCACTCTTCCAGCTGGGAGCGGGTTCTGTCTCGGGACAGACGTTCCAACCAGTCGGAGCGAATCCGCTCGTCCGACAGTGGAGATTACATCAAACTCCCTCCAGACTTTCGACTGAGAGAGATCCGCTCGACGATACAGAGCGGAGAATTCCGCTCTGCCTAGGAGCTACTAGGTCATTAAATATAATACATCCGATTTCGAATAAAAAATTTGCTTCATTATATCCCAAACTAGAAGTAGTACAATTGATCAAAGTATGCGCCTAAACTAAATCGATGCAGTTTTGCCATCTCAACGGCAACTGACTTATGTCAGCAGCGAAGAAGCCTGAAGAGCAGATGGCGATGAAATCGCGGAAGGCGTTTCCCACAGCTTTTTGAGAATTCAATATTTTTCCTTGCAGGAATGGTCTAGTGCCTGGAAGAAGTGGAAGCCTGGAAGTAGTCGGTTGGTGCAAAGTCTGGTGAATACGGTGGGTGACAGAGAGAGTTTCCAAGTCCAGCTCCTGTAGTTTGAACAGCGTTGTTTGTGCGACGAGTGTTTGTGCGACGAGCGTTGTCTCGCAAGAGGGCTGGCCTGTCTCTATTGACCAATCTCGACTGCTTAATCACAAGCGTCCTTATCATTTCGTCCAGTTGGTTAGTACACATCCGTTGTAATCGATTGACCAGGTTTCATGAAGCTGTAGTGGATAATACCAGCACTGGCCCACCAAACAGACACCATTAGCTTTCTTTGGCGAATCTTTGATTTCTCTTCTGACGCTCGTTTCATTCATGCGAAACCCATCTATCCAGCCTCTTTACCTCGCCGACTTTTTTCAAGTGGTTCAACATTGTTGAAATAGTAACGTTAAACCTTACTGCTGATTCACGCGTAGTTTGAGATGCATCCATTTCCATTACAGCTTTCAGCTCCTCATCATCCACTTTGGTCTCAGGTCGCCCACGTGGCTCATTCTCAAGATTGAAATCGCCAGAACGAAACTTCTCGAATCGTCGACGTACCGTGCGTTCATCGGCCACATCTTCATCAAACGCTTTGTTGATACTTCGAGTTGTCTGCGCTGCATTGATTTCACGACGGAACTCTTGCTCGAAAATACCACGAATTCTTGACTCGAAAGATAATCACAAAGTAAAACATGATGGTGACCTTCACGACGAAAAGAAAAATCAAGAACTGTAAAAGCGAAATGTCAGAAATATTGAACTTAGGGGATACTTGCAATTAGGAAATGCTTACTTGAGGAAATCGGACATTTCATATTTAATGACCTAATAAAAATCGCTCTGCCTTTCGAGTGGAATTTCATCTCGAGCGACTCCGAGGGTCCTTTCTCTAGCACAGGGGTTCCCAACCGAGGGTGCGAAAAAATATTCCTGAGGGTGCGAGCGTGGAAATGTGATTGTAATTAATAATGATTAAGATGAATTCCAGAGTAATTCGACATTTTTACCATCAAATTAAAAAACATGTTATTAAAATTATACATTTTTTATGTATCACACTATGCGAAGCTTGATACCATGGATAATAAGTTGTAATATTAAAATGATAGTTAATTTCTATAAAACAATACTAGGTAATAATAAACTGCAATTATAAATCAAGTTCTTGCCTTAAAACCCTGACAACAAATTTTTACCGTAAAACATACGAATAATTGTTTTTTGTAGGGGGTGCGAGGGTTCATTAGTAAATTCTTAGGGATGCAAAATGCAAAAAAGGTTGGGAAACCCTGCTCCAGGATATCGCATCAGTGATGCGTTCCAATCAGCGTCGAGAGCAAGCGCGCAAGGAGGATGTCCGTCCTTTCGAACGCCGTCGGAGACGGTAGAAAACTTCTTATCGCGCGGCGCTCGCGGTGCTACGATAAGCGCGATCGGGAGAAAAACAAAAGGAAAGAGCACGCAGAGAGTCAAGATTAATCAAAGACCGGGAATGCGTGACAAAAAGCATGATAAGTGCATAATCCTCTCGTAGTACGGCGCAGTAAATCCGACTTCGCTTAGCCGCGTTATCGTTATTAACGCCGGCAGAAACGAAGTAAAACGAGATACCGGTCTTATCAAGGGGGAGGGGGGCAAAACGCTGACGAAATAATTGCTCGATCGGGCTCCAGCGCATCGATAACTCCCCTCGGCCGTTATCGGTTGTCCCTTGAAGGCAACTTCACCGTCGTCGTCGTCGTCGTCGCCGCCACTCCAATTTCATCATCCCGAAATGTAATCGAACGATGGGAAAAACAAGAGAAAGAGAAAGAGAAAGAGAGAGATAATTGCCGAGAAAAAGAGAGAGAGAGAGAGGGGGAGAGAGAGAAGACACGGTATTTTATCGGCAGCAGTATGCGCGCTGGAGACTTTAAGGCTGGCCACACGAGGAGGTTCCGTAACCTAACGGTATTCCACATTCGAAGGTCATTCGCCGTGTGCCGACGAAAAAGAAAAAACTCACCGGCGATACCAGTTCGTGGCGGAGCGGCAGCGAGGGAAAAATCCGGAGAGGCACATTGGGACGCCGTCGCTCGGGAGAAAGACAATTTTAATTGTTTCCCCGAACGTCGCGCTAGAAATAACGCCGCGCGCGCGGCGTAATTCCGAGAAATGAAAATTTAATTAATTAATTAATTAAATTTTTTCTAACTGTTATTAATCGCATTCGCCGAACTTATCGATATTATCACAATCGTTAATTATGCGCAGTTATAATTATATAATAAATGTTACGTCACAATTTACGAATTATCATCTCGACGCGAGCATTCTTAATTGGAACGATCGTGAACACTGGTGAAGCTTTGCTCTCGTCAAACGCCTGAGAAAGCGCGCGTGTTAAAAATTATCTTATTGTTATTATTGTCGTTTTAAGTTATTCTCGAGTCGAGGCAGTTCAAGGGAAAGCGACAAATAAATAATAGACGCGCCACGTGATGATATGCGCATTTACGCGCGACAAACATTCTTTCGCGTTGCTAACTCGCTCACGCTCCACCGATCGATCAAGTCAAACGACGAGTCCACTTTCCAATGTTTTCGTTCGTTCAATCCGGAAAGGTGCGTCATCATCGCGTGTGATATCGCGTCGCGGAGAACAAGACTGCGTACGAGCGCGCGCGCGCGACCACGTGGTGATTAGCGCGCCATATGTTACCGTCGGCGGCGCGCGAGCACGCGGACGGTGCCGAGTCGACGGAATTTCCAGGAAGGAATCCTGCCGCGGCAGGGACACGCGATACATCGCGATTCTTCGCTCTCGAGCCGCGACGCAACGTCGATCTTGATCGCAGAATCGCGTGCGATTGACCCTTTATATCCTCCATTAATTTAACAAAGATCTTATTAAATTTTTATATAACAAAATAATTTATTATAATTTTATAATAATTATAAGATTAAATAAAATTTTCATTAAGCTAAATAGCTTTTGACATATTACAAACATAAGGGAAGGAAGAATAAATTTTGTAACAATTTAATAATTTTAAGATGGTTCTTATAAAGTACCGGCATTATCCTCATTAAATTTTTATTTAATTAAATACAGATATTTAACTTAATTATAATATTTAACTTAATAATAAAATTTTCATTAAGCCAAATAGCTTTTGGCATATTATCGACATAAGGAAAAATTAATTTTGTAACAATTTAATGATCTTAAGATGGTTGTCAAAGTACCGACATTATTCTTATTCAACTTTTATATACTTAAAATAAATACTTAATTTACTATAATCTTACTACAATTATGTAATAGAATTTTCATTAAGCTAAATAGCTTTTGGCATATTTAAAAGAAAAATAAATTTTGTAACAATTTAATGATTATAAAGTACTTAAAAGATACCTAAAAGATACTTAAAGTACCGACAGGAATGTAAAAGGCACGGAAAAAGAAGTTCAAGAGCACATGAGCGTGTTTATAGAGTGGTACTTTTGAGTCCCGTCAGAGTACAAAGGGTTAACAGGGGCGATTAGGGGACTGAATTGAACTGAAAATCTTCTCCAGATTCTTATGAAAGACCGCACTTGACTTCGTCAGCCGCGCATCTCTGCCTTCGTCGGCTCGCCGCTCACCACGTGGGGCAACCAGAATCACCACGCACGCGCGGGGCTTGCAATCTTTAACCAGCGTGTCGTTATCATCCCGTCGTTGTTGCGCAGGTACAAATAGCCGTAGTCGAGAGGACGCGCCGCGACCATGTGACGACAACGACAGCTGAAAGTTGCAGGGCAGGCCGGCCACATCCTGGATGCATATGGAGGAACCTTATCGCCGGTGACGAGCGATTAGCCCCGCCGGCGCCGCCTCTTGCGACGTCGAAAGGATGGATTTGAAAAAAAGAAAGGTCATGCAGCGCAAAGACGTTTGTCGAACTGCTTCAATTGCATTCGACGTAAATCATAAATACAAAATGCCTCACTGACGTAAGGACGTGGCGGGCGAATCTGCGTGTCACGTCCTTACGGCATGAGAATGAAAAAGGCGCTTTCGCGTCCGTTCGTTCTCTTCAGATCGACATCTCCATCCTTTCCCTACACGCTGCACCCAAAAAAAGTACTCTATTTGTAAAGTGATTTTCCCCATAGTCTCATATTTTTAAATTGTTACAAAATTTATTCTTCCTTATAATATAGCAAAGGTTATTTAGTTTAATGAAAATTTCATTACATAATTATAATACAATTATAAAAGAATATAATAAATTAAATACTTATTTAAGTATGTAAAAACTTAGTAAGAATGTCGATATTTTAAGAATCACCTTAAAATCATTAAATTCTTACAAAATTTATTTTTCCCTTCCTTATGCTTATAATATATCAAAAGCTATTTGGCTTAATGAAAATTTTATTACATAATTATGATAAAATTATAAGTTAAATATCTATATTTAATTACATACAAACTGAATAAGAATAATATCGGTATTTTGAGGACCATCTTAAAATTATGAAATTGTTACAAAATTTATTATCTCATATCTTAAGCGGAGACTTTTACAGAAAAAGGATTCCTCTTTCAATAAAGTGATTCAAGTGTGAACCATTCGTCTAACATTTATTAGGTGTTATTCCAATTGTTTTCCTCTTATTTCAAGGATTTCTTCTTATATCAATTAATTTTCCTCTTCTATTCCTCTTCTACTCCGCTTCTAAGAAGCGGTGTATGTTGATTTTTTAGTGTCGGTTTTTTTTGTTCAATTATGCTCTATCTCCAGATATGAATAAAAAAATAATCATATGCTCATGGATTAGAATATTTGGAATGCTTTTTAAAAAAGGTATGTTGCTGTAACGTATAACGAAGATAATTTACTCATATTTGGTCAAATACAATTTATAATCTATTGCAAAAAGTTAAATAATATATTCTTTCTTTTAACTATGTTTCATACAATTGGTTATGATGAACATCTTTGTAGCTATAGTAAAGTAACAAAACTGATTGGAAATTTGTTTGTTATAATGATTTTATTTTATTCGTGCCTTATTGTAAAACTGGAGCCAGAAGTACATCCATGTAAATATATTATTTTTCGCTATATTTTAATCGCTATATTTTAATTCGCTATATTAAAATAATGTTTTCAAATTAACCAGTATAACCAGTAAGAATAAAGTGCGATAAGAATAAATAATAATCCTCTTAAAAAAAAATTAAATAATCTGTGTATGAGAGGAAATTTATATTAAAATTAATAAGATTTGCATTATATGACATATAACTCCTCTAACTTTAAGAATAATGTTTATTCTTAACATTAACGTCTTCGCTTAGGATATGAGATAATAAATTTTGTAACAATATAAAAAGTTTCCGCTTAGGATATGAGATAATAAATTTTGTAACAATTTAATAATTTTAAGATTAAGATTCCTCAAAGTACCGACATTATTCTTATTCCGTTTGTATGTAATTAAATATAGATATTTAATTTATAATTTTGTCATAATTATAATGTTTATAATATTTTCCTCTTAGTCTTAGAGGAATCTTTTTGAGACCATATGTAAGAATAAAATCTTCTAAAATTTAGATTACTCCACTTGTTTTGAAATTACTTTTCTTTTGGGTGTGGGTTGCACACCTGTTTCAGGTGCCAAGGGCGAACAATGCGGCCCAGGACGAATCCACGACTGCGCCATATGTTAATGCACGTGGGTCGCGGGACTCGAGGTGTTGTGTTAACAGGGGAAGAAGAAAGTCAATGGAACTCGAAGAAGCTGAGCTCGGAGGTCCGTTCGCGAGGAACTCTGAGCTGACACGCAGCAAACCAGAGTGAGGGGAAGCGCGCTCGGTTAAAACATTCTCAGAATGTCTGTCCTTGTTCGTCGAAGCAGGTTGCACTTTTGGCGAAAAATAAATATATAAATTTATAAATTATGTTAACTTATGATCAGTTATTTTTAATTTGGAATTAATATTAAAGTATAACTTGTATAAAGTATAACTTGTGTTGAAGAAGAATGAAGTTCTTCAGCGCGGCATTCTAAAAGGAGCGGACCCATTTCAGGACTCTTCAGGACAGAACTCGAACTCGGCTTCAAGCTCGATCGACGCTTCTCCTGCTTCGGCCGCTCACGCGCCCATCTTCCTCAGGACCTCACGCCGCTCCTAAGGCTGACTGTACGGCAGCGTCAACGCCGGACGGAACACGAGTCGACGACGCGTCATCTTCTGCGTGTAATTACTCGCGACGCAAGGACTGTGCCGCGCTTGGCGAATTACCGCGTAAGCGATTCTCGCTCATCACCGTCGCATCGCTGCAGCGTGAATAGCTGAGATGAATCGAGACGCCGCAGACGCGATTTTGGCTCTCTCGTGCGCCCCGACGGAAGGGAGTCAACAAGTCTCGCAATTCCCGCACGTGTGCGACAGTCATGTCGGACGACCGCGTTGCGGCGATGTCGTCATCGAGGAAGTCGACTTCTGACGCAAGTCGCGGTCCCGTCGGCGTTGCTCGGCACGATCGCAGAGCGGGGAACGGACGTCTTCCTGATACCTTCCGGATGTCGTCGCGCGAGCTCGGCCGTAAACAGCTGTTGATCCCCAAAGACCGAAACTTCACGAATCCCGCCGGAATTTTCGATATTATTAAAAAACTTTATGTTATCAAAAACACTGGGTCTATTCTTTATAGCTGCACTATTGAATTAGTGCGATAAGTCAGAGTGAGAAAAAATATATAGTTGTCTCATTTTAACTTAGCAGCACCAGTTCAGCAGTGCAGCTATAAAGAACAGACCCATTAAATTAGACATTATTAAAAATCAATGATTTTTAACGAACGACGGTAACTTTTGAGGGTCAGCGACTAAATAACAATGAGAGCTGGTCCAGACGCGCTCGTCCCTCCGAAGGACTCCCGAATCAGCGCGATAAGCAGAGCGGAACGAGCGCGCACCCTCTTTCGCTCCGACTCACGCACTGGTGCGAGAAAGCCCTCCCGAGACGATGGACTTTGCGTCGGAAGCGGAAAATCAGTCTTAGGCTTCTCGGCGGCTCGACGACTACGACGACAATGACGACGCGCAGCGAGCGAGCGAGAAACTGCCGGGGTCCCGCTTACGGTATTAAAAGCACACAGGGACTCACCGCGGTGACGTCGTCGCAGATGTGGTCGGCGAACATCTCGTCCTTGACGTCCTCCTTGAGGAACGCCTCGTCCAGGAAATCCATGAGGTTAATGTCCGGCAACGACATCACTGCCGTCAGTCCGCGCACCAACGATGCACACCAGCGATATACAGACACCGATTGCTAACCGCGTCACACACGCGCGCGGCTCTCCTCTCCTCTCCTCTCCTCACCGCTTCTCGTCGCTCGTCTCAGCGCGAAGGCCGGCTGCTACCGTCCGAACCAGCTGTGCACGAGCGCCGCGTTCTGCCGCCACAAGAGCTCGCGAGGAACCGAGCGAGTCCAGACTAATTCGATCCACGACCTGCTGGCGCTCGCCCCACCCTCGAGCACGCCACCGAAAGCCGAGAAGCGCCGTCCGTATTATTTCCTGCTTCGCACCTCGACGCCGCGTCCCGCCGATGGCTCTCTCACATCCTCGCCGGCGGCCCGCCGGCTCGTCCTCGTCCTCGGCTTGGACACGCGGCTGTGAACGCCAATTGCGATCAAAGAACACACTCTTACCGTGAACCACCGCACAACACTACGCTAATTCCGCAACCTGACTGCCAACGTGGCACGCAGCGGACACAGCTTGAGCTGTCACACGCGTGCATTGGCGCGCGCGCGCATGCGCGTGTGTGTGTGCGTATGTGTGTATATATATTGTGTGCCCGCTCGTTTCAGCCGTACCTCCTGCCTTTCTGCGAGCGACTGAAGCTATCGATAATTCCCGAGGGCTCCTCTTCTTCGCGAGATCATCTTGGAATGGTACTTTCCGGAGGAATATTCCGGGAGAATCGGGAGAAAGAGATCTACGCTTTCCTCGCGTGGATTAACGAAACGATGCGAGAAGTCTGAGAGCGGCCGCGTCACCGCGGCTTTCGAGAACGCGCTCCCGACGCGCCCTCTGACAAGCGCGAACGAACTACGCCTGTGCGCGTATAACGGTAAAGCACCAATCAGAACTCGCGCTAGTAGTCGGTTTCTCTCTTCGATGGTTGTGTTCCAATATTCACCGCCGGTACTGAAAATACATAGTTTATGTCATATATACTATAGATTTTCAGTGCTGGCGGTGAATATCGAAACACGCAGTCTAATACCTCGTTTACAATAGAAATCATAGAGTCGTAAGTCGTACAAATTGACCAATCGCGGTCGATTATTTTTCTCTTACCGGACTATGATTGGTCAATTTGTACGACTTACGACTCTATAGGCTCGTCTACATTAGCTGTAAGAGTAAGGCTGTAAGGTTGCAAGACACGAAATGAAATATTTTCATTCGCTGACAGCTTACGTTACAGCCTTACAGCCTTACTCTTATAGCTATTGTAGACGAGCCTTATGACTTCTATTGTAGACGAGGTAAAGTTGTGCAACCGGGCCTAAAGAAATATTTCCGACCCTCCCGCAACTTTCGATTAATTAATCATCTTCAGACCTCCCATCTTGTTCGTCTAAAGGCTCGTCTACATTAGCTGTAAAGGCTCATCTACAATAGCTGTAAGAGTAAGGCTGTAAGGCTGTAACGTAAGCTGTCAGCGAATGAAAATATTTCATTTCGTGTCTTGCAACCTTACAGCCTTATTCTTACAGCTAATATAGACGAGCCTTAAGGCTGTAAGGTTGCAAGACACGAAATGAAATATTTTCATTCGCTGACAGCTTACGTTGCAGCCTTACTCTTACAGCTATTGTAGACGAGCCTTAATAAATATGGTCTACAGCCAGCGGCACACGGTGCTTGTTTTCGTGCTAGATTGCTTGCTGGATGAAAATACTGCGTTCTGATTGGTGCATTTCCGAAGATGGATGGAAATGCACCAATCAGAACGCAGTATTTTCATCCAGCAAGCAATCCAGCACGAAAACAAACATCGTGTGCCGCTGGCTTAAATATAGTTCATGTCGTTGCGTCAAGTGTTTGTACGAGTTTTAGGTTAGGAGTGAGAATTTTGACAATTGAAGGAAAATGACGAGCGTAATGTTAAATAATTGCAAACGAGCGACGAGGATAACGGCGAGTCTGTTGAAGAGCGGCGATAACCTTGCGAAGAGACGGTATGCCACTTTGGAAGACTACAAAATCACCTGGACGCGGCCCGAGAAAGTTTCGCCTCTGTCACCTCAAAAGTCCGGTGATCAGGGAATAGATGTCGACGTCAAGGAGTCCGACATGCCCGAAATTTACAGGGAATCGCCCGAAATGAAGGAGTAAGTAGAACTGATAGAATTAGACGCGCGAATTCTCCACCATAGATCGCTATATATGTTATACATAATGTTCCTGCATGTTCAGCGCCAGTGAAATTGTTAAGAGAATGTTTACGTTAAAATTTCTACCGCTGAAGGCGACGAACGATGTCATGAAGACGAAGATTGTCAATAGAGTGCGGAGATACAATAGTGACGTTCTCTCACCAGAAGTTGGAGGTGAACCTTGAACGAGCAGTATGTTGCAAAAGTTGCACCCACTTTATTACACCTCCATTAACTCTATTATTCTTCCAGTTGCCAAATGCACCACCAAAATACTCCGGTTTCGGAAGCTTTACGAGAAAAATCCTACGAATGGCAGAATAAAAACTATATTGAAGGAATCGATTGACCAGCGACGTCATCAATTAGCCAAATTGAGGAAACTGGATTACAGATGTTTCGAGTACACCTTGGAGAAGCTGAACCTTGTTTACAAACCACGTCCCGAGTAAGAGCTCCGGTTGTGCGCTAAATGACAGCATAAATTTTAAACGTTTTGTTAGAATTTCATAAGGAATTACTTCTTCCTTTACAAAATGTTTGCTTCTCCTTAGACTTCCTACTCAAATCGCTAAGAAAGAATCTCTGACGCGGTTAACGGAGAAGCACTGCAATAAGATCGTGCAAGAGAAATTGGACGCTTACAGGGTAGAGCTAAAGATGCAGCAGAAGAATTTCTACATTGAGAAGGCAGAGAAGCTCGCATTTATTAGGAAAGAGGAGATAGAGTGCGGCTTGGAACCAACGGTGAGCGAAGAGGACGTGGCGCGTGCCAAGCAGAAAGCAATGGAATACCAAACGTAATTTTAATCGATGAAGTCTATAGATTATTTACAAATTGTACATCATTAAAAAGAGTTTACATTATTATCCTTAGTGTGTATCCTTCAATCGCAGCGCAATTCCACCTAATTACAATGCATTCTTTCCGTTTTCATCATCTGATATGCTCATGCTGATCGCATAATTATAATTAATAAAGGTAAAACTTTTTATTCTCATAAGTGCACACATTGATGCGAAAACACGTCTCCCTCCGAGTTTACTTTAAGCGTTTATCATCATGGATTACACTTGTGCCCAATCCTCTGTTGTTCGACTTTTAGCTGATTTATAGTTGCTAATTTTACACTTCCTCGATCGAGATTGCGCAGCGTCGTTAGTTCTTGCCACCAACAGCAGATTCCGCCTCGATCATGACGACATTGCTAAACGAGCATTATTCTTGCGCTGTGTGCGTGCGTGCACAAAGTGAAAGTACCTGTAATTGTGTTGTCGGACACACCAGAGAGATTATCACACTTTAGAATGCAATCACACAGGCTTGCAAAGAGAAGATAAGAGCTCGTCTTTCGAGAAAAAATGACGGCTGAGGAAAAAAGCCCGGCTATTCTCACGACGTCGCACTTCGCGGAAAATGTCAGCTTTGCACGGCGAGGTGCAACGGCGAGAAAAGAATTCTTAATTATAAAGCAACTTGCAGCGGGGATGCGAAGTATCCAACGATGCTGAATAAACAGCAACATCGCACGTAAGACTTGTGCGAGTGTTTTCTTACCTGCCGCTTACGAGATCAAAAATAATAAGACGGATTATTACAATCAAACGTGTATGGTACAAAACAAATTGATGCCGCCACGGATATTTCGCAAATTAATGTCGGATAATACGATCTTTCCGAATGTCGAAGAAGCACTTCGGAGTGTATAGCGAAAAGTATCTATATATATATAGATGATGTACTTCTGGCTCCAATTTTACAATAAGTAGGCACGAATGAAAGAAGAACATCATAACAAACAAATTTCCAATCAGTTTTGTTATGGACTTCGTTGCTACAAAGATGTTCATAATAACCAATTGTATGAAACGTAGTTAAAAAAAAGAATATATAATTCAACTTCTTGCGATAGATTGTAAACTGTATTTGACCAACCATGGGTAAATTATCTTCGTTATACGTTACAGCAACACACATACCTTCTTTAAAAAGTATTCCAAATATTCCCATGACCCATGAGCATATGATTATTTTTCGTTCATGCCTGAAGGTAGAACATGACTGAAAAAAAGAAGCCGACATTCGAATCAACGTATTTCTCTTCATAAAAGAGGAATATTAATTGATATAAAAGGAAATCCTCTTGAAATAAGAGGAAAATAGTTGGAATAATATCTAATAAATTTTAGACCAATGGCCCACTTGAATCGCTTTATCAAACGAGGAATCCTTTTTCCGTAAAAAGCTTCGTTTAGAATATGAGATAATAAATTTTGTAACAATTTAGTAATTTTAACATAGTTCTTAAAATACCGTCCTTAAAAGACATTCTTATTGAGTTTTTATGTAATTAAATATAAATATTTAACTTATAATTTTATCATAATTATCATAATAAAATTTTCATCAAGCTTTTGATATATTATAAACATAAGGAAGGGAAAAGTAAATTTTATAACAATTTAATGATTTTAAGATGATTCTGAAAAGTGCCGACATTTTTACTAAGTTTTTACATATTTAAATAAGTATTTACGTAATTTATTATATTTTCAGATAATTATATTATAATTATGTAATGAAATTTTCATTGAGCTAAATAACTTTTGCTATATTAGAATAAAATAGAATAAATGTTGTAACAATTTAAAAATATCAGACTATGGGGAAAATCACTTTACAAATAGAATCCTTTTTTTGCGTGGCATTCGCATCATCCGGACAAAGGTAAAGTCGCCTTATCTCGACTTACATATCATCTCCGCGCATTTGACAGCTTCGGGGGGAGCGCGTCTCTCCCGAGGGGAGCCGACGGGAAAAACGCAAGTGGGAAACGTGAGGCAAATTCGATCATCGATCCCATCGCACAACGGCGCAACGCGATGGCCGCCAACGACGTTCCCATGCGAGTTTGTAATGCGCGATCGCGCGCTGCGCAATCCAGCCGGCGCGCGATCGCGAGAGGCGCGCGGCAGAAGAGGCCAGCAAAAATGTGAGTGAACGTTCGCGGTATATATAAAGGAAGAGAGTCGCGCCCGTGGGATGCTGTAACTCGTCGCCTCGTTGCACCCGACGCGACGCGCCGATATTACTCGCTGCGCCGATATCGAGCCCGCGAGGTCGCGCGCAGACACGCGGAATTTCGAGCGCTCTCGCTGTCTCGCCGCACTTTTCGAATTCAACTGCGCGGCCGCGACTGATAAGAATCCTGCGCGTGCGCGCGCGCGCGTGTATGTGCCTGTGAGAATGTGCGGTCGAAAGTTCGAATGAAATCGAGACGAGCGCATCCGCGAGAAGATCGACGGTCCAGCTTGCGAATTCTCCCCCGCGCGTTTCCCGCGTTTCCCACCGTTTTGTTTATTTCTCGAATCGTAACGCGCGCCACGATGGGACGGAAAAGCGCCTTTCAGACAGCCGCCTGCAATACGGTCAGTATAACTTCTTCTCATTCGTTTGTTCCTTTATTTATGGGAATCGTCTGATTAGGACGATACGTTTATATTTAAGGATGAAAAGATCTCTTGTAGAGCATTAAGGCTGCTTAAGTTCGAGCTATACACTGAGAAAATATTGTATAAAAATTAAACAAATATTTGTTCGAATACGACTGTGAATACATTTACTTCAATTAAGTAATTATTTTCTAAAATTCAAGAAAAAAGTTTACATTCAGAGAGAGAGAGAGAGAGAGAGAGAGAACCTCTGTATTTCATTTTAGAAATTTAGAAATGAGTCGCTCAATTTGAATAAATGTATTCACAGTCGTATCAAATATTTAATTTTAATACAATCTTTCCTCAGTGTATTTAATTGAAGCGACTGATAATAATAAATATGAGAATTGTTGATGACGTGTAATTGAGGATCATATAAATATAATTATATATCATATAAATATATAATAATACACAATATATAATATATAATATATAATAATACACAAATACAACAATGATGTCTGCCATACTGTTGCATTTTTTAGTCGAATGTCCAAGTTTATTAAACGATTAGCCTGAATATTTCTGCGAATGTAATTTTCGATTGTAATTATGTTAATGATATAATTGTTATGTTGAGATTTTAGTGTCAATTAAGATTCACCGGTTGAAGCTTAAAGTTTGCTGTTGCAAGATTGGACGACAGTTGGCCTGACAATTAAACTATCGAAAATACCTCAAGTAAAGAGTTCACTCGAGACGCGTGAACTCTTTACTCCATCTTTGTCGGCTCATCTTAGTATATTGACTTTCTATTGATCGTGCAACTACAATTGGCCGCGTAGAAGAGAAGGTGGTATTGTGGCCGTCCATTCACATGCTGTACAATAACTTTGTCGATAATCAATATTTTAAAGTGAGAATTGCTCTTACAGAAATTTGTTACTGGCTGTGTGTGATCAATTGGCCAATGATAATAAGTATTTTAATACTCGAATAAAATTACTCGTACGAGTAATAAAAGTATGAGTAATATTACATATGCCACCCAGAAAAAAGTATTTTATTTGAAAAGTGACTTTTCCCATAGTCTCATATTCTAAGCGAAGCCTTTTACAGAAAAAGGAGTTCTCTTTCGACAAAGCGCGATTAAAGGGAACCATTCGTTTAAAATTTATTAGATATTATTCTATTTTCCTCCTACTTCTCAAAAGGATTTCCTCTTATATCAATTAATCCCTCTTTGCTTTCAGAATAATATGTTTATATTATTTTTCTCTTAATCTTAGAGGAATCCTCTTGAGGCCATGTATAAAAATAAAATCCTCTAAAATTTCGACGATTCCGCTTGTTCTGAAATTCCTTGTTTTCTACGTAACTCGACGAGACACGGCAAAATGTCCGCTAAGTCGATCTTATCAAAGCGCTATCGAGGCTACCCGCGAAGAATCGCAACGATTTAGCGAAGCCATTAACCCTTTAACGCCTACTGGTAACTGTAGTTACCAGAAACGCATTTATAAGAACTTTAGTAACTTAGTCAAAAAAAGAGATATTTTCGTTTTCTTTGTACTACTGTAAAGGTGAATTCTTCTTCTAAAAAATGGTATATAGATTGTATGTAAATTCGATTTAGTCTGTTTTTAGCTCAGTTTTAATGATAACATGTTTTGTCAAATTCCAAGTAGGCATAGCTAGCATTATTACTGACATCTAGAAGTGCACTATAAATGAATAGATTGGTATCTGTTATAATTTTGTACATTTGGAAGCTTTCTCAAATGTAAAATGTGAAATTAAAAGAATACAAAAATTCAAAATGGCGAATCCAATATAGTGGACACGCAAATCAAGAAATCGATCTATTTTCGTGAAATCTGGTGACCTACAGTTTTTTTATACGGCGAAAAATGAAGGGACGATTGACAATCTAAATGGTGATCTATAAGATATTCTTCTGAAATAGTAAGCTTGATGCTCTGAATGATAAACTTCACTCAAAAATATAGTAAAGTTTCAACTCAAAAATGTCAAGCTGACTATCAGAGTTATGTCGTATAGATCACCCTTCATTTTTCTCTGTATAGGTTGCTCATTTCGTATACGCTTTTAGGATCCAAGTCGTATTTACCAATAAACAATAAACGAACGATAAAAAAAAACCAATATAAAATTCTGATATTTTTTTTATCACTACTTATAGTCTCAGTTCAAAAAAACTCTAATTTTATTCTTAAAACACTTGTAAAAAAGTCGGGCGTTAAAGAGTTAAAATGAGCCTCGTGGGACTCGCTCGTCCGCCGAGAGCCGGGACGAGGATTCAGGACTCGGCATCGGCCACGAACACCGTGAATCCCACGTAGTGTAACGTAATCCGCAGCCCTGCAGGCTCAGCCAGCATCGCCGTTGATCAAACGAGACCACCGCGCTGGCGTAATCGTCGTCATTTTCGTCGGGATAGCGTTTTAATTAACCGCGACGGCCGCGAGAGACGCGCGCGCGTTACGCAACCGCCGCGGGGTAATGATCGCCGTCCTCCTTCTTTCCGTGCGCATCCTCGGAGCCTGAGGACTTATCCGTCCGCAGGCTCGCAGATACCGCGGGGAGATAGCGTGGATCCATAAATCTCGCATGCGTATCCTCCTGAGCGATACGCGCTGATGACAAACTTATTACTGGAGATGTGCGTGCACAATACTTCATAAATCATTAACTAGGACCCACGAGAAGGGGGAGGGGGGCGGTAGCGGGGGACGCACGTAGGAACGAATAGACGCGAGCATTCTTTCTGGGGTCGTCGGAAGAATGACGGCGGACGCGAGTACGCCAGGAGAATGTGCGGCGACGTATTCCGGTAGTCTGCTGCAACATGTGCATTCCTGAAGCCTCGCGCAGAGAATCCTGGCGGCTGTACAGTCGGCGAAAATCCTCGTAGAACGTTGCATCGCCGACGCAGGACGTTTCCTAACGTCGGCGGCCGCGTCGGCGCTCAGCGTCAGCGTCGGAATTTTGGCATTCTGATACTTTCCAGAGAAATTCTTATCGTACTTGAAGAGGTCCTATCGCCCGAGAATGTTCTTGAAATATTTTGAAAACGAATCAAGCGAACGGCGTTCGGACATCGAGACTACGTTTCTACGTTTCAGACTTGAAACATTTCCTGTGTCACGTTTCGTCTTTCAAACATTCCACGTTTCGCGTTCGAAATATTATGAAGATTAATCAGATGAAATTGAGAAGAAAAGTCGAGCACCATTTTGCAAAAATAGCAATAGTTATTAAGTCGTTAATGATTGAAAATAATCACATGCAGAGTGATTTTAATTGACGATTCGAAAATTTGCTTATTTATTTGCAAGATAGTAAAGGACTTTTTTCTTCAGAATGACCATTTTCAATCATGGCGGTCAGTGGACATTTTCAATCATTAATAATTTAATAACTATTGCGATTTTTGCAAGATGATACTTGATTTTTCTTATCGGCTTGATCTAATTAATCTTCACAATTTTTCCTTTCCAAAATGACATCCTGTATATATTTTACAGTTAACTGATCAGATGCACATGAAATTCAACATTTGGAAATGTTGATCTAAAATGCTCTGCGTCCACAATTTATTCTGTTATAAGAGGGGAGGAAGAGTAATTTTTCTTCTTGTTTTTTTTGAAAGATACGATAACAAAACCTCGTCGCAAAAATTTATTATTATTATTACTTATTATTATATTTATTATTATATAATTCAAGAGTGTAACTAGGTTCTCCGTCGCCTGGAAAGAATAGGAATCGAATAGAAAGTCTGCTTGTACGAACAGAAAGATTCCTACAACCTGTAAATTGTTTTCTCTTACGTCGCTAAGTTACGTCGTCAAGTTACGTGTGCGGAAAAAATTGACGTATCAATAAATCGTGAGTCTAATTGGAGGGTATCTTCTTCACACAATAGCGCGGTGCATTATTGAAATTAATTATCACTGAAATTATTGAAATTAATACTCCAATTATTAAAACAATAGCATAATTTATTGAAATAACGTATATTAGAAAGGAAAATTCCTTCCAATTAGACCTGTTGATATGTCATTTTTTTCCCATGTAAAGGAAACTTAATTGCACCGGAGAAATTGACGAGCTTATTATTACGTGGCCGATTATTGTTGTACATTCTTCTCTTTAACAATTCAATCGTCGGGCAAACTGTTGCTCAACCAACGGAAATCAACGCGGCGGTTAACGTATTAATTTAATAAAGCGACTCTTAATCGGGATGACAAAACCCCATCGCGAAAATTATATAATTATAGTGATACAATTGCAATTCATTGGAGAAATATTCAAGAGACATTTCTCGCGGTAAGTCGTTTATCGTCACCGAGTTTCGTTTCTTTTCCGTGCAAGAAGGAATGGAAATGGATGAGAAAACACCAATCCTTACAAATAATTAACATTGTTAAAAAAACATTAAAATTCACAGGAAGTATAAATGGCTCCTTATTTGATTTAATACTTGCAGAAATATCCACATTTTAAGAACTAAAATCGATCCCAGCGGACTCCGCAGGGTCAAATTGATCGTCCTTCCTCAAGTTTATTCATATTATTGATATTATTATATTATTATCATTATCCGACCAGGTGCTTCTCCTGTGCTGCTTGCTGAGCTTCAGCCGGGCGGAGCTCCCTGAGGAGTGAGTACCGCAGACATTCTCGCGAAATTTTCGTCGCGTGACAGAAAAGAGAGGAAGGAGACGTCACCGTATAATCAACTTTCTCGCAGGAGATACTCCTCCCCGCCGTTCAGGAACTCGAGGCATTCGTATCCGTGCGCACCTGTCGACGCGGCGCCGTTGGACGCGTTCGGCTCAGCCATCGCGTGCGCTCTGAAGATCATGTCGATGAAGAGCGACGATGGCGAGTCCATGTTAGCGGGCCACGTGCCGGCACCCACGTACGTTAAGGTGTCGGCGCCGTTGCTGTACAAGCCGTTGCCGAGGACGTCGTCCTTGGTATACATCGCGCCGCCCATCGTCAAATCCGCGTCAGCCATCGTCGCTACGGAACCGAAAACGATGGATAAGGACGCTCAATACATGGTGAATCAATATTTACCTGAGCAAGTTGAGATATATTGTCCACCACATTGACAATATGGTGGACAATATTGAGCTTACGCGGCATACATTTTTCTTCTCGTGTCGCGCGTTTTATGTTGCGCTTGCAAATATCAAGTGCAAAAGGTCTCCTTAAAGCTGACCGATCATGGTTTTCGGAACACGTAATATGACACTTGATGGGATGAACAATTCAGCCAGAACGGAAAATCATGATGACATCAAGATGATGAGGGAATGACCGAATGATGAAAAAGTGAGTTTTCCTCATCATTTTGACATCATTTTTACGTCATCATGATCTTCTGTTTTGCCTGGGGAGTCGTTTTTGGTAAAGTAAACTCGGATCATTTCTCTGTCGCGGAATTCATCAGGACTTTTGCGCTCGCTCAACGTAATCACGTCATCTGGCGATGTAAGAACGAAATTCACGTATAATCGTATAATAATTATTTTTTGTCGGGCACCTTGCATTCCTTTTGGAATCACAATAAGACTTGATCTCTCTTTAGGCGTACCCCAAATATTCCTTCAACTACGGGGTGATCGACGGATATACCGGCGACTCGAAATCGGCATGGGAGGAACGAGACGGCGACACCGTGAAGGGAGAATATTCGGTGGTCGAAGCGGACGGGACCATTCGCACAGTTTCTTACACGGCGGACGATCACAACGGCTTCAACGCGGTCGTAACCAGAAGCGAACCCCCGAAGAACGCGCAGTCCTTAGCCGAGGTGAAGACATTCGTGCCCGGTGCCATATTTCCAAACGACAGGCATAAAAAATAGCAGTAGCTCTTAAAAAAATACTTTACATCCACGCAAGATACTACGTAGTTTTCTGGATACATCAACTCGGTGAGCGCAAAGGATCCTCGACAGGACGTTATTTGAACGACGGACGTTGTATGATATAATAATGTTATTAGAAGTGTGATTTAGTTTTGAGGGTTTCGCAAGAAATTTCGAAGATGTTCCAATCACAATTATTGTTTCTCAATGCTTTGATATTAATCCATCATATTTAATCATTTACTAACAATAAACGCGGTAAAAATCGTGTTAAAGCCATCTTAAAAATGGAGCTTCCCAAAGAGTCTTTTCGACATGTGTTGCTTTTGTTTTTAAATTAGAAGAAACGGCGGCTGAAGATAATAGAATTTTGATAGAAACTTAGCTAAATTAGCAAATGTTATAGGAAACGAAGGAAAATATTTTAATTAAGGTATTTGTTCATTATATCTCATTTAAGTAAATCGGTTTTTGAGAAAAAAACCCTCAAGATTAAACGATACTCCTAATATATCTCATTACATTATTATATTATATTATTGTACAATATTTGAAAAGATCACGAATATGTTGGAAAGATATTGTTCGAATATACATAAGATTACAAACTTCAAAGGAGCGAAGCCCTCGGTAACAGAATTAAAAAGTCGGAGAGCGTTTGACGAGACTTCGATGAGGAGAAAAGATCACATTGCCGGGCAATGCCTTTCAAGTATTTTCAAAAGTATATTTCAAGTGAGGACGTTCGGGGAATACACGTAAAGTCAATGTTGATCTGATGCTCTTTGTTCACCGGGAATAGTTCCTCGTGCTTAGGAAATGGATTGCAGTCTCTCAAAATCGTCGTATATCTTAGAAAGTGACGCATTTACGTATATAACATACCCACTTTATATTACATCGATATATTTTACGATCGATCAAGCATACTTATTCGACATACACACGCGTGTGTATACATATGTTAAGTTATTTTATACGTATTAGTATTACGTTTGAAAAAATATCCAAGTTCGAGAAAATTATATATTGTGTATGTATATCAACGATTAAATATATATTTAAAATATATCACAGTTCTTTTTATATATATGTCACGGTGTGATTCTCTCTCACCTTCGTGAGAACATTTCGAATATATCACATATTACCGTAATAATTCGGATGTTGTATAAGAAATCAGAGATCTTTATTGTTCGAATACACATGAGATTACAAACTTCAAAGGAGCGAGGCCCTCGGTAACAGAATTAAAAAATCGGAGAGCGTTCGACGAGACTTCGATGAGGAGAAAAATTAAAATATATAGAAAAACTGCATTGTTCCGTCGCGCTATTTTAATAACTATTTACATAAATCTCATCTTAATTATCTAACTCCGAGACTGGTAAGTGTGTGGTACTACGTATTAGCAAGTAAAACAACTGCAGCATTTCCAGATATTGCGGTAGATTTCAAGTGCGCGCGCGCGCGCTTGCTCCTTCTATTACTTATTTTACATGTCGTGAGTTAATCCAATTTTTCTCATAAAAATTGCGAGTAAAAATATTTATATATATGTATATATATTTTTGCTATATATATATTTATGTATATATAGCAACGATTTCGTGTTGTGCAACAGTTAAAGATCAATCAAGTTTTTACTTAACAACTACATCTCTCGTGTAACGTTCGAATAGAATAAAAATATTAAATTAGTACATCTTGTCATATATATATATATATATATACATATGTATATATATATATATATATTTATATATACATGTATAAATAAGTAATTTTTTTATTAAAAGAATATATTCTCATTAAGTCGCGTCACTCCCAACATACTTTCTACATTTCCGTTTTTGTTTGGTTCGAGAAATTTAAAAATAGCTGCTCAACAATCAATACTGTAAGAAACTTCATAAATATACATATATAACATTCTTGTGGAATGTACACTAACTTCGCTACGTGCTCATTATTAATACACAGGTATACGCAGTGCGGAAGGGAAATTAATTTAATCAGCGTGCAAAGTTGGACGTATCAATTTAATCATACATCCTCATTACGCGAGCTAATGGTAAAATGTGAATGCTGATTATATACAACTGTGCTGAGTATCTGTGCTTCATGTTAACGTGTTTCGATCTTTGTGTGACACATAAATACAAGGAAAATACGAAAAACGAAAAATGCGCGGACACGAATGCAACGTCAGTTTTACGGGACGCCAACGAACGAAGTAATACATGTACAATAACACAAAAAAAATGAAACACATTGAGACGTCAAAGGTTAAAGCAATTTCTACCTATTCCTAGATCGTTTATTGCTGTTCTTTTTCGCGCTATTCGTAGATTTATTTTTGTTCGAGTCTTTGCTGTTACTGTGGCACTCTTTCACGGGTGTGGCCACGTGTTCCAGGTTACCGTTGGACATCGATCCGTTCGTAAACTGAATCGAGGCGTTATCCGTGTTACTGAGAGTCCCGTTATTTTGCACATATCCAGTTTGGATGGAAGTGTGATTTTTCCCGCTAGATTCTTTGTTATTGCTAGAAGACAGTGTGTTCGAATTGCCAAAGTTGCAATTGTCCTCGCTACCGCTGTTCCCGATCTGGGATTCCGACTCGCTGTACCGTTCAACTGGAAGCAGTGAACTCACGTTAACGCTACGCAACAAATACAAACGGAGAAAAAGAGAGAGAGAAAGAGAAAGTGTGCAGAAAATAGAGACCAACTGCAAATAAAGCGATAAGGCAGCACAGACCACCATTTTTTGCGCGTACACTCGAATTACGCTTACAGCGAAAACGCCAGCTTCTTGAGCAGCGAAGTAACGTTTATGTTTTCTTCTTCTTCCCGTTAGAATTGCGGAGTTAATGTTTTGGTGGATTGCTAGGGGGTCCACACATTCTTGTTTAGATATTCTTTTAAAGCATAGTAATTTGCGCTAATAATACACATGCATTACATATACAGTACATTCATACAGATCAATAGGAAAATAAAGAGAACTATAGTTGCAATTTATAGCGAGGCATTGTTTATATACTGCTGAATAGACAGAGTGCATAATAGACACTTGTTGGCTAATATTTCACTTGGAACTGAAAGAATTTATAAACCCTCAAGTTACAGATTCTGCGTAATAATGAAAATTCCGATGCGACTATAATAATGTGAAATATAGATGGAATATTGATTCAGTTTTCCTACAATGGTTAGCCCCCACAATTTTATTTCCCCCTCGGATATAAAGCAATTGATACATAAAAATCAGTGCAAATATATATTCTGTAACAACAGTATACAATAACAATCAGATATCACGGATAAACATAAAAGACTACTTATGACAACATTCGTAAAATTGTAACTTTCCGTAGAAAAAGTATGATAAAGAGAAATACAAATAAAAAAAATGTTATTTTTATAAACAGATAGATATAGTCACGAATATCCATTCAGGTCCTTACTTTTTTCTTGTGTATTCTCTACTAGTCCACTAACAGCCTGTAACAGGAAAACGATGCAAATTAATCAGTGTACCAAAAGTGTGCACTATATGTACACATATAGTTGTATGGTGTACTATATTACCAGTTAGATTTGTAGGTTGCAAAGTCATAGTGAACTTAAATCTTGTAGAAGAATGTTAAAAGGTACATAACCTACAAAAATCAGGTTTTACTATGAACACAAATTTATCTACTTACTGCCATAGATGTGATAGACGATTTGGAAAACAATCTTTCGGCTTCTTTGAATTTTCTATTGCGCTTATCGGCTTTACTGTTAGTGTTTTTGTTGCTTGCTAAATACCTATCCCAACCTCTTATTATGTTTCCATACAATTGCGTATCCTCTAAATAGCTTCCCTCAAAGGCATATATTTGACGTTCTAGATTGGCTAATGTGTCCTGCAAAGGATTAGTTTTCGTAATAATCTGCACAAACTGCATATCTAATGTCATTGACAAAAGTGGCAGTCGATGCAGTCTGTTCTGAGATCAATGGTATTTAGGTTACTCTCTCATAACATAACCTCATGCTTGTGCAAATCACAATCGTGTGTCCTCGTCGTTAGAGATCGAAATTCACGCGTTTGCGAGTCTTGCAGCGTCGTAAATGTACATAAAAAAGTACAAACATTTTGTGCGCGCATACACATACACGACGTTGTATAAAGTAAATAAAAATTCTCAGGCCAATGTACTCACAGCGATTTCAGCTTTGCGTTTTACTAATTCCGCCAACTCGGCTCGCAAGTCCACTGAGGATTTCGTGGACATCCTGGGATATATTGTAATAAAATTCTGCAGTCGATTAAAATATTAAAATCAAAATGATGTGAAAAACTTTGACCAATTTGACACTCGATATATCCTCGTTCTCTCTACGACGAGAGATCACGAGAGATGGATGAACAAATCTCGTGGGCCAACACTTTGTGCGCATGTGTGCATACTACAGACAGTGATGGCGAGAGTCGAAAGATAATCGATTAATCGAAAGTCGCTCATGGATGCGAGCGCAATTCTCGTTTCCTAGTGAAGTATCTATGTCACAGAAATTGAGGGCACCAAACGGGCACTAAACTTGTGAGAAAAAAATGAAGGGTAAAATGAAACATGGATAAGCTATGAGAAAGAAAATAACAGTTAAGAATGTAAATAACAAGATATATTAATATGCTATAGTCTTATGTTGCAGTCAAGTCTAAAAAGCTAATTTTAGCAGATTCGAACCACAATTTACTGACTTCCATAAAATTTAGCCGAGACTATATTAGGCGTTTTTTGTGAATTTTCAAAATTGCATTCGATAATACTCGTCGAATTACATAAGATGGCACAATCCTCGAATTTTTTCCTTGATCGTAAGTGCCCCAAATTATTGCTTTCCAGTTTTACAGCGACACATCTTTGTTTTATTAATAATTTATATAGTTGGCATATCTTTATATGTTGTTCTATGAACTGCCGCTTTTGCAGAGACAAAGTCTCAGTGCAGCTCTGCAAAAGCGGCAAGAGTAAAACGATTTCTTTACTTTTAAATAGTACAACTCAATCGCCAATCGAAGTACGTTTCCTTATAATATTCTTATAATATTCTCTTTCAGATAATGCGATTCAATGACAAGTCGGACAGGCTTCTCTTTAGTAGCCTGTCTGAGTATCTGATACCGGAAATGGAGTTTTGTGTTTCCATCTACTACCAAGAAGTAAAAATCCATTTTTCCTGGCGCTCGATTACATCATTAAGCTGAACGACGAGATGAATCATCGCTCGCGGGTGTACACACACGCACACATACATATTCATATACAGGGTGTCCGGGATCTTTTGGAAGCGAAAAATTGTGAAGATTAATCAGATCAAACTGAAAAGAAAAGTCACGCGACGGGTTCAAGATTCAGGGTTCAAAGTTCAATAGCCGTCATTTAATTGTAGACTAGGTAATTCTGAAAAAAAGAGTCCTTTACTGCAAATAAGTAGGCAAATTTTCAAGTTATCGATTAAAAGAACCTCTAGATGTGGTCATTTTCAAACATTACCCACACAGCACACTTTATCTCAGGATCAGATGTCTGACAGACATCATTCTGGAATATTGCAATATCTTGGGGATATACAAATGTCCGCTGTTTTAGATCCTACAGATATCCTACGGATATCCTTTTTAGTAACTTTAGTCCCTTTTCAGAAACTTTTAGTTTCCGAAAATTGTTACTAAAAGAAGTATTTGTAGAATATCTGTGGGATCTAAAACAACGAACATTTGTATATCCTCAGGATATTATTGTAGGACGTCCTTAGGATAACGTGTGTTGTGTGTATGTAATAACTTGATAACTATTACGATTTTTGTAAAATGGTACTTGACTTTTCCTCTCAGGTTGATCCGATTAATCTTCACAATTTTTCCTTTCCAAAAGATTCCGGACACCCTGTATATATATACATGCGCTAAAATGAAAGTTTCAAGAGAAGCGTGGGATACACATTGCAAGGCGACGGGTGGGAGAACCGAACCTTTGAACTTCCGTATAAGGTTTTTTCTGACTAACCGTGGCTCCCCAGCTATTCACTTGTGCCTCATCGTGCGCCTTGGTAACCTCGTATATTGCGTAGGCTGATATTACCTACGTAATATTTCGTATTTAATATACGCAGGTGATCTCTAGTCCGAACTACAATCCACCTTATTATCCCTTCCCCAGGATTATCCATAGTCGTGCCGAAGAGTCGATGGGCGTATCTTCTATTTCATCGCGGGGGGAATAAACGTTTTTGTTCGTTTCGAGAGAGCGAAATACGGTATCGCCGAAAGACTTTAGAACGATCAGCAGCTGCATCGCAAGTACATCGAAAAAGAACATGAGGAAACTTTCTTCTTAGGTTTCAGCGACTAATTCGAGAAGTCTTTGTCTGAGGTTCATTCTCGTAACTTATTTTGGCCAGAGTTTAACTTGATGAAGGCATATCTATGGGTCTAAATCGTAGATGGAGCAGAAAGTTGCGATAACGTCAAAATGGCAAAAAAAGGATTAAATTGTAAATCTTCATGGCTATTCTCTCGTCATTCGGACGCCATTGTAATTTTCTCTACCTGGAATTTGAACTCAGGTTAAGGCTTCACCTTGAAGTAAAGTGACCTGCGTGAAGTTGGCTTCCGAAAATAAAAAAATCAGAGCATCTAAAACTCCTTTAAAAAATTCTGAAGAGATAGAGGGCGGGGGGGAGCAACCAGAATTCTAATCATGTTTCCCCATGCTTGAAAATGAGCCAACTTCATTCGAGATTGAGATAACTATAATTATCCTAACCTAATAATTATTAAAACAAAGCGGATGAATCGGGAGTCAAGGTGCCGCAAAACATGAGCTTGCGTATTTTCCGCGAGTCGCACAAACGATTCTCGCTTCGTCGGGACGATGCAGCTCGCCATCAGCGAAATTCGCCAAAATGCAAAATCGAGCCGAACGTTCGAGGGAACGTCTCGTTTTCCCGACAGTTTATTACTTGCCGCGGGATATTACGTTCACGCACGGCGAAGCGCGTCCGGACGAGTCGCATCCTGCTGCCAGCTAAAAAACCTACCTCGGCATCATCGGCGAGGATCGATCGTTGCCAAGGCACACACGGCTCGTTTCCGCAGCCGTTCACCCCGCGCCGGCGAAATCGATGAGACAAAGCGAGGCGGCATATGGCAACCGAGAAGGCTTCGGGGACTATATTTCGCGAGCGAAGGGCTCGCGCTGGAAAACAATCGAAACCGGCATAATTGCCCACGCTCAATTATCCTGCGCGCGAAAAAGATCCTCGTGTCGCCGCGGATGTTAGCCGGCTCGGAATAAGCGCGTGCTGCACGCGATACGCGAATCCCGACGCTTCGCAGAAAGGCTTCCTCGTCGATGTGGATTCCGTCGGACCCCGAAAACGGCCACGGTAGATTATTATTCGGCAATCCGGCGACGCTCGGCGAACTCGCCGCAGCGCGCTGCGTGCTGCGGTCGGCGGCGGCCAATCGCGTGCGGCGGCTCGACTGCAACGGACGTCGGGTTGAGCCGCCGGGCCAATAAGTGGCCGCCTAGCGGATCGATCTGCCGGCCTATAAAAGGCCATCGCCCGGAGAACGCCGCGCATTAATCGTTGATTCCGCTGAGAGGACGTGCGTGCTTGATAGCGGAGGCTCCATTACTTGCTGCGTCTATCGACCGCTCCCTCTTCGTTGAAGCGTTATCCGTTGGGAATAAGGAAGCAAAATGGTGAGTACTGTGGGAATTTACGAGCGAACGATCGATCGATTCATCGTCTCGGCCGTGGCGACGGATTGACGGCGGGTGGACCGAGAAAATTCCTCGGCGAGAGATATCTTCGCGACCGGCCGGCTCCGCCCTTTCTGTCGCCATGGATGACTCATCCTTGTCGCGATACGTCGCCTTCTTTTTGAGATGCAACGGCCGTCGCGTGCCTGCGCGATGCGTTGTGTTAATGTGACGCTGGAAATTCGTTCTCACGGACGAAAATGCCTGTCATTCGCCGCTGACGCGGTGTCTCGGGGAATCTGGGTACTTGAGATTGCGGGTTCGAGAAAGTTTGATGACTCGTTTTATTGTGGGATTATTTGGGAGGACCGACTGGAATGGTTCCGTTATTCCTCGACGCCTGTTCCTCCGTATAGGAAAAACAGCTATTCCGCTTGAAAGTCGTCAAAGTGATTTCATATCTGTGACCCGATAAAAGCTTTCAATGCTTATCTTTCATGTATTTTCGAGAATGATATCCTCGGAGAACAATGTTATCTATTATCCGTGATGCAAAGTTCGCATCAGACTGAGTATTGAAAGTTGAGGTTTGTGGATTAGAGACTAGAATTTGAATCAATTTCAATCTTGGCTGGCTTAGCACAGCCTTTGTCCTGTAATTTATTCAGAATCCAACTTATGATATTTAAACTGACGTAGGCTTAAATAGCAGTGGATTGTAGATTAGTGATGAAGAATTTAAGATTGTTTCGAGTCGAGACTGTAAGAACTACTTTATTAGCTATATTGATGAATCAACTAATTTCAAATATTAACTCATCTTATGCTGGTTCTGGTCAAGTTTCAACATTCGATATCTAGTCTACAAATATCCCATAGGAAACTAGAAATATTTATTTCCCTCATGTTGAATACTTTGTTTCCAGCGTGAGTGCATCTCAATCCACGTTGGTCAGGCTGGAGTACAGATTGGAAATGCCTGCTGGGAACTGTATTGTCTGGAACATGGCATTCAGCCGGACGGTCAGATGCCATCCGACAAGACCATCGGTGGTGGTGACGACAGTTTCAACACCTTCTTCAGTGAGACTGGTGCTGGCAAGCATGTTCCTAGAGCCGTGTTTATCGACTTGGAGCCAACAGTAGTCGGTTGGTATCTCCTTTTTAACCAAGTGCTCTTCACCAGTGTCAGGCTTGAGCAAACAACATTCCATAAATCGCCATATCAATTTTTCAGATGAGGTTCGCACTGGCACCTACCGACAGCTGTTCCACCCGGAGCAATTAATCACAGGCAAGGAAGATGCCGCCAATAATTACGCCCGTGGCCACTACACCATCGGCAAGGAGATTGTTGACTTGGTGTTGGACCGCATCCGCAAGCTCGCTGATCAGTGCACCGGTCTTCAAGGTTTCCTCATTTTTCACTCGTTCGGCGGCGGCACAGGCTCAGGCTTCACCTCACTGCTGATGGAACGCCTGTCCGTGGACTACGGCAAGAAGTCGAAGCTGGAATTCGCCATTTACCCCGCGCCCCAGGTGTCCACCGCTGTCGTCGAGCCATACAACTCTATCCTGACCACGCACACCACACTGGAACATTCCGACTGCGCTTTCATGGTCGACAACGAAGCCATCTACGATATTTGCCGTCGTAACTTGGACATCGAGCGACCGACCTACACCAACCTCAACAGACTGATCGGACAGATCGTGTCCTCCATCACCGCGTCCTTGCGCTTCGACGGCGCCCTCAACGTCGATCTCACCGAGTTCCAGACCAACTTGGTACCTTACCCGCGCATTCACTTCCCTCTGGTGACGTACGCGCCGGTCATTTCCGCCGAAAAGGCCTACCACGAGCAGCTGTCCGTCGCCGAGATCACTAACGCCTGCTTCGAGCCGGCCAATCAGATGGTCAAGTGCGACCCGCGACACGGCAAATACATGGCCTGCTGTATGCTGTACAGAGGCGACGTCGTGCCCAAGGACGTGAACGCTGCGATCGCGACCATCAAGACCAAGCGCACCATCCAGTTCGTCGACTGGTGCCCCACCGGCTTCAAGGTTGGCATCAATTACCAGCCGCCGACCGTCGTGCCCGGCGGCGACCTCGCCAAGGTACAGCGCGCCGTTTGCATGTTGTCCAACACCACCGCGATCGCGGAGGCCTGGGCTCGGTTGGACCACAAGTTCGATCTCATGTACGCCAAGAGGGCGTTCGTCCACTGGTATGTCGGTGAGGGTATGGAGGAGGGTGAGTTCTCCGAGGCCCGTGAGGACTTGGCCGCCCTCGAGAAGGACTACGAGGAAGTCGGTATGGATTCCGCGGAGGGCGAGGGCGAAGGAGCCGAGGAGTACTAATCCTCCGTTCTCTGCTCATGTCAGAGAGGTGTTTCCGTATTTTTCTCTTTCTTTTTCATTCACATAACGGGACACGAGTCTAAATAAATTGTCTGATTTGCAAGTATGATGCGTGTTCTGAATTCGTATCGCATTCCCGCCGAGCGTTCGGCCGATTGCGCACCGTTCCTCGTGCTGATCGAGCAATGTTATACCTCGCGATCCACTTTCCACAGAAACAGAACCTCTTCCTCGTCCCTCGTCTTGTCTCTCTTCTCCGTCAGCGGGCGGTCCCATGTCGGCTCGTTCGTCATCCTCGTAGCGCCTGAACATTTCGACTGATGAATTCGTCCCGAGCGACTTTCCACGTCTGTTATTATCGAGATGATGGAAGCCAAGCGGACGGTTGAAACTTCTTGGGAAGAAGTTGGCGAGCCGGGACGGCTCGCTATCAGGCTCGTCGATCGTCCACTTATCAGCCGGTGCATTATCGCGATTATAGTGGGTCACTGGATCACACACATGCGCGCAGCAGTTTTACGGCGCGTACAAACGACCGGGTATTCCCGAGCGGGTCTGGTATGAGGATATATGGGGAGAAACGATGCGAGAGCGTGACCGGCGGATCAAATCGATCCGTCGGCTGCGGATAGCGTGATGATCGCGCGCGCGCGAGAGAGAGAGAGCCGGTTCTCCTTGTGCGCGATCCGCTCTGTCTGGGAATAGACGCAGCGAGAGAACGAAATTGTCGATCTCGTTGCGATGCTTTCCTGCCGGCATCCCAACGAGGAGCCAGCGGTGGACGCTGCTAAGACGTCGTAACGGCGCTTCATCCCGAACTGGATTCTTGCGCGAACTGGAAGAAACGCTTTCCTCTCGGCACGACGGCCTTAGCCCTTTATATCCTGTCGGTACCGCTCATGTTTTTCAGCGTCCCGAGCTCTACCTTCCTGTCGGTACTTGCAAGCACCGCTTTAAAATTTAATCATTACATTGTTATCAAATTAATTTTCCTGCTCCTTATGTGTTTATGATACGCCAAAAGTTATTTATCCAGATAGCACAATATCCTTTGGAAATCCTGAGGATATCCGGAAGGAACATTGCCTGAGGAAGAGAAAATAACTGAATGCTAGCTTCTAGGACATCCAGAATATCCCACCGGACGTCCTGAGGACTTGACAGGATATATTCTTTGAGCGTCTAAAGGAGAAAGAAAGAACATAATGTATTGAATTTGCCGATTCCGAATTGCATCGAGTTTTTTTTCTATTCGAATTATAAGGACTTGACTCGATTCCAAGTCGAAGTTGGCAAATTGGATACACTAACAGTCCAGTTTCGTTTTTAGCAACGAAAAAGTTCTGGAATCGTTTTAAATTTTAATCTCTTGGAATTTTTGTCTTTTAATTCTAAAAGAAATCGGACTATTAATGCATCGGATGCTTTTTTCTTTTGTATTTGTAATTTTTACAGTAACAATTAAATATCCCTGAGGTTACCCTGGATATATTCAGGGTCATCCTGAGGACGTTCTTGTATTGTCTGGATAATCACTGAAAAATTTAATAAGGTCTCGGGTGAATTAATTGAGGATACAAAGGATCAAAGACTCCAACTTTTTGCTCAACTAGCTGATTCGAATTTTCTAATTGCGCGCAGCGTCTCGGTTTATTACCGAGGTCGCTCAGTCAGCGACCTCGTTACAGCGGTGGCTTCATCATTAAATTCAAATTACACGCGGAAGGCCGTTTTCAAAGCTATTTTTACGAATTTTTTCAACAGAAACGGTAAGATCAATGGACTTGAAATTTTCACAGTGTATTCATTAATGTTCAAAGTATAAAATAAATGTTATTGAATCACAAGAACCGATCCAATTTGTAATTACAGATAAAAATGCAGTCATCCGTTTGCGAGCTCTATATTTGCTGTCAACATAATTCCGAGCCTTTCACTGCTCCGAAACCAAAAACTGAGAAAAATTTTGAAAATATACGGTTGCCATTATAGCCAGTGCCAAAATGGAGGCAGCGAATCCAAGTTTGGAAAAATAATGACTATGTAAAAAAAAAGTATCGAAAATGAAACTTTTTTCAACTTGCAATCATGTTTGAAAAAAATTAATAAAGTAAAATATAATTGTGTTCAAGGTAAGGGGCGAAAATTACACGTCTACTGTATATTGTGTAAAAATTTCAATTTATTCGGTTCAGTAGTTTCCGCGCAATCGTGTCGACAGTTTAAGAAAATGGTGTTTCCAGATAAACGAGTTTAAAATTTTATGTGTATTTTCCATGTAGATAGTAATTAGAGATGTGCGAACTATTCGAATAGGAATGAAATACATTATCGTTTGCGTGCATCAGCTACAAAACGGGCCATCTAGGCCTGTATGTTTGAACCCTTAACTTGTAATTAACTTAACTTATAATTAATAATTTAATTATAAATTACTTTAAATATTTAAATATATATATTTACTATAATAATATAATATATATTAAATATATATATTATTGATATTACAATATCAATCATCCCTTTCATATTAAAATCTTCCATCATTATTTGTATGTTTAATAGTCATGTTAAATTTTTTAATCATTCGATTCGATTTGAATTTAAAAAATGGGATTCGATTCGATTCGACATAAAAATTCTTGATTCGCACATCTCTAATAGTAACAAATTTATTTTATACCTTGAACATTGATGAATACACTGTGAAAATTTCAAGTCCATTAATCCTACCGTTTCTGTTGAAAAAAATTCCCTTGTAAAAATAGCCTTGAAAACGGCCTGTTCCGCGCATAATTCCCCCCTTAATTTATCGTTACTTATTATTAATTTATTGTTAATTAACATTGCCGTAAGCTCGCCGCCGAATGTCGTTACACCGGTCCGTGTGCCGTCAATCGTCAGCTCCCGTTTACCCAAAACACCGAGGGTCTCTTCGGCGCCGCGCATTGTCCGCTGCGCTCGTCTCGACTTATCGCAGCCTCATCACTCAGCGATCCGCGAGGAAAGTCGAATTCTTCGCGATAAGCGCTCTCGATGTGGCCGTGCGATGTGTAACGCAGCGTGATCACGTAAATAAAACGGAGTCGTCGGACGTCAGTCGAGCGCTGATGAAGAGTAGACTCGTGCGCGCGAGGATGATCCGTAGTCCGTTTTCGCGATGGCTGCCGGCGTGCCGAGGCAGGTGCGCGCCGGGTAGGAGGCCGGTTTCAGTCTCTCCGATGATACATTCGCCGGCACACCGGGGGTATAAATGAAGGACAATGACCTAATTGCGCGCAGAAGGCCTCGTGCTCCGAGACCGATGGTCAATCAGCGGGCGCGCGCGCTTTGATCCTCGCTTTGGCCTCCTCACACGTCGCGGCAGCCCGCTCTTCCGGACGCGTATTTGAGAGCGGCAGCAACCGGGACCGGTGCGGTTTCGTGCGTCGCAGGTGCGCAGGTCGCCATGAAGGTAAGAAGCACACGAGCCATTAGACCGATCGCGTTCGTCGAAAGTGCACGCACGAGCATCTCTCTTCCGGGTCTCGCGCGCTCTCCCGCAACATTCCTGGCAGTTGCGAGTCGCGGCTCCCCGTGAGGGAGAAATGCGATTTATAGCGGTACAAGTATATAAGGATACAAGGACACGGATAAAATTCAGGATAGAACCGACTATCAATGCCACTGAGCATCTCCGTCGATGGTCAATGGCGCCGCCGGTGAATTTTGCGCCCGCCGCGTCGCGCCGCGGTGATGATGATGAATCGACCCGGCAAGGTCGCGCGGCGAGTCGCACGCCGAGGTAACGGCGATTCACCACCAGGTCTCGCGGCGAGGGGGTTTTCGGGCAAGGCGATTACGGTTCTCTCCTCGGCAAGGCGGCGAAATGGCCGCCTCGGGATTCCGTGCGCGTCTCAGTCCACTTAGCCGCCGCGTTAGGTTTCACCGGTCAGGTTCAAGGACGAGGGCGCCCGCGGCCAAACGTTTTCTAATCCTCGGCTCGAACGATCATTTCCTCCGCGACCTCGCTTCCTACTCCGGCCGCGGACAGCCAGTCAGGCTATCGCGCTTTTCCCGAGCGGCGAGCGATGTGGCACAGCGTGCCACTTTTCGCTCGTCCCACCATCGAGAGCGATACGACATCGCCGGCTTCCTTGCTCGGCCCGGCCCGGCCCGCCGGCGCGGCGGCTCTCGCGTTTGATGCCCGTTGACGAGGACGTCGCACGCGCGATATGGCCCGCAGGAACGGCCGACGTGTCAATATGCGGTACTGTAAATCCGCTCGTGACTTTCGACTTCCTGTTCCGCGCTCGCTCCCTCCGGCCGCGCGTTCTCGAGTCCCGTAAGACCGCCGCCGAATCGACTCGCGCGCGACCGCGACCGTAAAACGCTAGTAGGTTGACTCGAAAGCGTCCTTTTCCGCGGACGCTCAGACGCTGAGTCGTGACGTGAAGCGAGCTTCTTAGGCGAAGCGGCGGCATCTTGTGAAATCTGTAGCCCAGCGGGAAATGTCTCCAGGTCGGTCCCGGAGCCAGCTGAAAAATGTCCTTTGAGGGCCTTTGAGAAAAGGCTGGGAAAACGTAGCTTGAGAAATGGTGTCAATGGATATTTTTGACACCAGTTGGACATTATTATGTCATTGAATATATGAAATGTTCGATTTCAGATCAAAAGTTGCTTTATTATATCCAGCGGCGGCGCCAAAGGTGGGCCTGACTGAGTGGGTCCAGGCCCATCCTGAAATTTTAGAAAATTTTAACACAATTATGCTATCTTATTCTGTCTAAGTTTTCGGCTTTTTTATATAAAGTTATTTTTATATAATCAAATTTCTGCAATTAATTTTAAATTCTATCTTCATAGTTCATTTCTCCCAGGAACAAAGCGCAACGGTTCGAAGCATTAAAATGAACGACAAAATGATACATAATATCCCACACAACACACGTTATCCTAAGGACGTCCTACAATAATATCCTGGGGACATACAAATGCCCGTTGTTTTAGATCCCACAGATATTCTACAAATATCTCTTTTGGTAATAATTTTTGGAAATTAAAAGTTTCTAGAAAGGAACTAAAGTTACTAAAAAGGATATTCGTAGGATATCTGTAGGATCTAAAACAGCGGACATTTGTATATCCCTAAGATATTGCAGTATTCCAGAATGATGTCTGTCGGACGTCCTTGAGATAAAGTGTGCTATGTATGGGATATAATAAATATGGCCCATGCGCGTGAATAGTTCGGGCGCCGCCTATGATTGTATCTCAAACTGGCAGTACAATTAATCAAAGTGTGCGCCTAAACTACCGACACAGTTTTGCCATCTTAACGATAGCTTCTTTACGCCAGTAGCGAAGAAGCCTGAAGAGAGCGGGTGGCGATGAAATCGCGGAAAGCGTCTTTCGCAGCTTGTGGAGAATCGAATATTTTTCCTCGCAAGAAGTGGTCCAGTGCCTGGAAGAAGTGGTGTAGTTAGGTTAGTTAGTTAGCGGTGCAAGATCCGATGAATACGGTGGGTGACAGAGAGAGTTCGCAAGTCGATGAGTGGTCGAGCGTTGTCTCGCAAGAGGACTGGCCTGTCTCTATTGATCAATCTCGTCTATTTAATCGCAAGCATCCTCATTATTTCGTTCAGTTGGTTACAATAGACATCCGCTGTAATCGATTGACCAGGTTTCATGAAGCTGTAGTGGATGATACCAGCGTCGAATCGCCAAACAGATAGCACTAGCTTTTTTTGCTGAATTTTCGACTTCTCTTCTGACGCGCGTTTGATTCATGCAGAACCCATCTATCCAGCTTCTTTACCTCGCCGATTTCTTCCAAATGGCCCAATATTGTTGGAATAATGTTGGAGTAACGTTGAACCTTGCCGCTGATTCACGCGTAGTTTGAAATATGTCCGCTTCTACTACAGCTTTCAGTTTATTATCATCCACCTTGGTCTCAGGTCGCCCACATGGCTCATTCTCAAGATTGAAATCGCCAAAACGAGACTTCTCGAATCATCGACGTACTGTACGCTCATCAGCCACATCTTCACCAAACACTTTGTCGATGTTTCGAGTTGTCTGTGCTGCATTAGTTCCATGACGGAACTCTTGTTCGAAAGTAATTCGAAATAAAAACACGAATTCTTGACTTATCCATGGTTGCACAAAAATTACTATGATATAAACAATTCGAAAGATAATCACAAAGCAAAACATGCGTTTGAAAGAGTGATGGAGTATCTTCGGGAAAAGAAAAATCAAGAATCGTGAAATGTCAGAGACATCAAACTTAGTACTTGAGGAAATCAGACTTTTCATATTTAATGACCTAATAAAATCTGGACAATTGGCAATCCTGATGGATCCAACGTATACAGCATACAGAACTATATGTGATATTTATAATGGCTGACCGGCTGTTCTCGGAGTTTCTTCGAGTAAAATTCCTTGAAAAGCAGAGAGACGGCTGAGTCATTCTAATTCGAGCGACTTGTCGCTCGTGTGGAATAAATCTTCCGTTATGACTCGTGGAATATTTTCATTCGACAATAAAACGAATCTCGATCGCCCTGATCGATTGAAACGGTAAACTTATATACATGAAGAATACACTTGAAATTCGAGTTGAACGTCCGCTCTTGTGTGAATCCAGTTGAAAGAAAGAAAAGATCCGCCTCGTCCTTGCGTTTTCTTCAAGATCTCCCGAATGAATTAACAGAAAAAAGCCAATACGATGATTCCGCATGATGGTAAAATCGCAGGCAATCAGTTGGCTCTGCTGGCTCCTCGCCGTCTGCATCTGCCTTTCCGATGCGAAGAGCAAGGTCAGGAGGCCGTTACCACCGTTGTACGCGGTGGTCCTGAAGAAACCACGGCCCATCGGCCACAGAATATCCATGGGCAACACCATCCACATCGGCGCTAATTTTCCCCATCAGAGAGTACCCTACAAGCACGTCAACTACAGGTGAGGCCTCCAATGGGCGAGATGTTCCCCTTCGTCATCTTGCGTCACGTCGCATCATCTGGGACATAATCTCATTTTCGATTTCAGGCCCCGCCGGCCTGTGTACAACGTCTTGCCAGCCAGCTGGAAAAACCAGATCCCGATGCGCGCGACCTTGAACAACAATCGCGCGGTGCTGCCGCAACGCGTTCCGCTCAAGGAGTTCCACTCGGTGAACAAGGTGCCGGAGTACAGTCCGGAGTACCGGCCGGAGCTGGTGGTGTTGCCGGCCACCCATCGAGGAGGTATCGACGACGACAAAGGACCCATCCACACGATCCCAGCGCCGAACCTAAGCCCGGCCGATAAGCCTTACAACTCGCCAGTGGATCAGAAAGAGATCGCTGATCGCCGCCCGTACCCCGCTGATCTTAATTATCACACCACAGCGCAAAGTAAAGTTTACGCTTCCGTTACGTTGAGTTAGAGGCACCAACCGAGCGAGCGAGCGATCATTATCTCCTCCTGTTGCGAGGTGGCAAGGTTGGGAAGCAAGCGCGCAAGCTTCCAAGGAGACGGATAGATAAAGATTGGACTATATTTGTTTCCGTCACGCCCGATTAAACCTTCATCTGAGTTGAAGTTCTCCTCAGAAGAAGACGTTGGGCTTTGATAGTAATAGAAACTCACTAGAGCTCACTGAACATACAACATGTTACCGTCACGAGTTGCTTTTTTCAATAAGGATCTCAGTGAAGTTCTTTTTTTTTTTCGTCAGCAACGGTAACGCAATTACATTTTCTGGCTAACGGTAACGAACATTGTTGTCACTTTCATCGTAATGTTGCACATGTACATTAGATGGAAGGTAGTGGATCGTAAAAAGAGGTCTTCAGAATCTGATGAAAGCAGAGAAAGTCTTAACGCTTCTTTGCTTCTTGAAACGTGATAACGGTAACGCGTGTTCTTCTTCCACTGATATTAATAATACATATTTTCATATTTGCATACCTTGATATTTTAGTTTTGACTAGATCTTGATATCCAAATTTTTCAATTTTTCAATATGAGCGACGAGTAACGAGGTGTCGAACTGAAAAGAATAACTCTCCCAACCCTGCCTGTGTCCTCTTCCTTATTTTTAACACGGGAAGGAGGAGAAACGAGATGGTCACTCGCGGGTTGGCTCGCAATCGAGGTTCACGAGGGTACAAGCAGAGTCCCACGATTCTCGCACAGATTCCAACGTTGGGTTGGCCGCGATCGACAACAGTCTGTCGCTGCAGAGGCCAGCGACGAGTCCAAGCACGCCTCAGCATCAGTACGAGGTGACGGAGAGCAATGACGCGGTGGTTCTGAAGGATCACCAGGCCGCTGTGCAGTCGGTGACCCTCCAGCCTCAGGACCTCGACGTGACCAGACTCTACTCGACCATCATGAATCCTCATCCGCACTCCAGCGAGCTGTTCGTCAACCACCCGGTAAATGGCAACGCGGCTGTCGTGGGACCGAACGTGGTGCAGTTCGGCCAGTCGAGTGTGCCGATGCAGACGAACCTTCACAGTTCCCTGCACGTCGGCTTCCCCGCCACTGCCGTTCAGACACCGTACACCGTGGCGCAGCAGCAGATCCCCGAACTCCACGTGGGCCACCCAGCACCGGCTGGGCCACCGTTGTCGGCAACGCAGCTCTACGATCTGCTCAACAGCTTCCCGCACAAATTCGCGGAACAATACACACCAGGTGAGGGATCCATGACGATCTAGATAGATCCCTGTACGTATGAGTGGACGGCAAGAAGGAAATCGCGATGCTTTTAGACTGCTTGGACCAGAGCGACAGTCACCAAGCTGTCGCTTGGTGTCAAACGCTATCTGATCTTTTTTACAAGTTTCTATAGTCATAGTTGGTCGTTGGAAGGTGCCGATGCACCGACTCCGATGGCCAGTCGTATTTCCTTCTTGATAAGCTCAGCAATGAAGCGATGACGCCAGAAAGAAGTTGTACTCTTCTCGTTACCAGATCAACAACACATCCTTCAGCAGCAACTTGACCAAATTCTCCAACCGGACGGGATAACGAGCTTCTCCCAACCGCAGATGCATTCCTTCAATTACGACGAGCAAGCTAACCAGCTGCAGCAACAGCTACAGCAGCAGCAACAGCAACAGCAAATCCTGCTCGACCAAGATTACGCCTCGGGGAGTGTGACGGCGGACTACAACCTCGACCCGGAGTCTTCGGTGGACGCTCGCAAGCAGAACGACGTGCGCGCGAGCGAGGAACTCGCGTACCCTGTCGATGGAGTGGAACAGTCCGAGAACAACATCGAGTACGAGGCAACGAGTCCTCCAAGAAGCCCGACGCCGTACTCGAGGAAACCGGGCAACATCGGCGGTGCGATAGCGACAAAATTCTACACGACGCTACCTAACAGGGACGCCGCCGAGAAGCTGGCCGCGTTGGCTGCCGCGGGCAATGTCAACAGTCGCCTGATGGGCCAGCTGCGAAAGCGGCAGCAACAGCAACAGCAACAGTGGCAGGACATGCAAAGCGACGAGTCAATGCCGCCCAATCACAAGAACGACGACAACGCGGGCCAGCAGACGTGGACCGATGGCGAGCAGCTGCAAAGATACAACCAGCACAATAAGCATCAGAAGAATCAGCAGCAACGTCGCAAGCAAGGCTACAAGAGCGCGCCGAGCGACGAGAAGTTACCTCTGCAAATAACGGTACCTGAGGAGGACGAGTACGCGAGCGACGACCAGCTGAGCGACATAAGGAAGGACAACGCGGACGTGGAGTACGAATATGAGGGTGAAGACGGGGAGGGCGAGGGGTCGCAGGAGTCTGCCGCTTCGTTCGCTGGACAAGCCGCGCCTCACGACGACGACCCTCACGTCGAGTTCGGCAGCCGCCTGCGGTCAAAGACTAGAGAATGAGGAGGCGCGTGCTGCGCATCGGTAGGCAATAAGATCACCGACAACTGCCAGAGAGGGAGACAACGGTAATGCATCGCGTTGTCGCTTGCACACAATGTTATTTATTTGGTAGACGCTGATATATATATATATATATATATATATTTATTTATTCGACACGTCGAGATGGAGGACGAGCGTCGGAGAAATGGCTGCTCTCTCTCGCCTGTAGAATTTCACTCTCTTTATTTCAAATATTCGCACATGACCGACTGATAAGCTACCATATCGTATGTACAATAGTGATCATCAGGATAAGTTATTAGTAATTTGAACACGCGAACCTTCACGTTTTACATACAGATTGCGGCGTATCTCGGTGCAGCTTGCTCATACCGAGCTCTAGCGTAACTCGCCCTTCGACTCTGAGGGGACCCGGCAGTCTCTGCATATGGACGCGATGTCGGCAAATGCACGTAATGTATGTTTCTATAAAATTCGGAGTAACTCGACGACGCGACTTGTGGAACACAGTGACGACGAGAGGGGGGGAGTTTTCATATTTTCCAACCGTATCCTGTGTCTGTACACGGAATCCGGGCACACAGGATACGGCTGAGGTGTGCAACGGAACTTCAGAAGCAAGTCACACGCGTTGCGAAAAGAATGTATAACGCGCGAGTATGTACACGGTTGCTCTACGTTTCATTTGTACACTCAAGGAATTTCGTCGCACACGGAAGAAAGGATCGTCGTGTCGGTTAAAAAATTCGTATAAAAGCCAGTCCGGGGAACAGCTCGAGAGAGAGAGAGAGAGAGAGAGAGAGAGAGAGAGAGAGAGAGAGAGAGAGAGAGAGAGAGAGAGAGAGAGAGAGAGTGAGTGAGTGAGTGAGTGAGTGAGTGAGTGAGTGAGTGAGTGAGTGAGTGAGTGAGTGAGTGAGTGAGTGAGTGAGTGAGTGAGTGAGAGAGAGAGAGAGAGAGAGAGAGAGAGAGAGAGAGAGAGAGAGAGAGAGAGAGAGAGAGAGAGAGAGAGAGAGAGAGAGAGAGAGAGAGAGAGAGAGAGAGAGAGAGAGAGAGAGAGAGAGAGAGAGAGAGAGAGAGAGAGAGAGAGAGAGAGAGAGAGAGAGAGAGAGAGAGAGAGAGAGAGAGAGAGAGGTTCGACGAGGTTCAAGGAGGTCTGTATATAAAAACTTTACACCGCGTGTGTTTACTTTCTCGATCGCATTTCCGCGATAGCAGTGTTGGAACTGCGTCTCACAATCTGATCGGGGTGACTTGAGAAGAAGAGGGTGCGGGGAGAGAATCCTCATCATGCGAATGTATGTACACTGTCTTCGGTTCTACGGCGTCTGCGACTTGGTTCTGACGTTTAATCACACACATTCAGATTCTACACTGTATAGAGCAACTTACGTCGAATTCCTAGCGAGATTTGCGCGAATCTCTGCGTAGATTATACGCCGCGGGGGAGGATCAAGAGAGGAAACGCTACTACAAACGATCCATGAACCACGGCCTTCCGTCGTTTGTGCGGCGCTTCGTTAGAATGTCACAACCTGTCTCTGTTACTAAAAGCGTATGCTCAAATTGCGCGGACCACTGACCGTCCGAAGTAACAGCAGTCCAATTGTCGGGCCACGTTTCGTCCTTCCATGTTCCCTGGGATATCATTGGCTCGATCGTGAAGCAGTGCCCGGGTTTCATAACGCCCACTGCTTTGTTTTCTACAAATTTTCATCATTTTTGTATTCATTGCTTACTTATTTATTTACTCGTAAATGGACAGAGCTCTCTTGACAACGTGAGAGAGAGAGAGAGAAAGAAAGAAAGAAAGAATGTTGCAATCAACTCGAGGCTCTCTTGATGATGCACGATCGAGAGTGGTTTATTTAACGTTTTCCTCATTACTGTTATTAAATCGTTTGATCAAATCTCATCGACGAAATGCTGTTTTTTTTCCACACACAAATTGTCGAACGAGAAGAAGTACTCACTGGCATAGTGCGGCACATTCGGCGCGGTGTGGAATAAACGATGAATCCCATGGCCACAGTAACTACGCACCACGCTGAATCCGTGCGCCTGTGCGTGCTTCTGTATGACATTGCCGATCTCCCTGTACTTTCCACCGGGTTTCACAATGCCGATGGCCTTGGACAGACATTCATACGTCACTTCCACCAACTTCTTCACCTCCGGCTTAACGTTACCCACTAAGAAAGTCTCGTTCAGATCCCCGTGGAAGCCGTTGTGGTACACCGTGACGTCGACTGAATAGAAACGATCATTAGAATGCGTATGTTGTAAGGCTGTCATAATACTCTCCGATCAGCAGCATACCGTTACAGATGTCGCCGTCTTGCAGTGGTCGAGTATCGGGTATGCCGTGACAAATCACTTCGTTGACAGAGGTGCAACAGCTGGCAGGGAACTGATAATAATTTAGTGGTGATGGATAACAGTCCCTCTCGATGCAAGCCTCGTGCACTATTCTGTCAATTTCAGCCGTTGTAACACCGATATCGCATGTCTTTGCGGCTTCATCTAGTACTTCTCGGCCAAGCTATGCAAATTAATCTAGATTTAATTCAGGATCAGAATGAAAAATTCATGTGTGAGAGAGATATGGAGAATATAAGCGTGTTCAGTGATAAAAGTACAGCAGAATACCCGCGGAATACCTTGCAAGCCACTCTCATGCCTTCGATCTCTTCATCATTGAGAACCTTTATCTGTCCTGAACCTCTCACAGCTTGTTCACTAAGTGGCACCCCAGCTGAATGCAAAGCATAGTCTGGCCGATTAATATTCTCGGGAACCTCCCTGCGTTGCTCTTTCTTATGTGGCCGCAATTTCCCAGTATAATTGTAATTCGGCCAGGGATTGAATGTGTTTGAGACTTTACTGCCATTTTCCCCTTCTGATTACAAAAACACGCGATTATACACAATCATAACAACTTGCAGAAATAAAGATGAGTGGTGTCACATGGCAGAAACTTACTTGCTAACTGATGAATGACTTTGTGCGTCTTCCAGCTTCCCTTGAAGCAATCCTAGAATCAAAGAAATCGAATGCTGCATCAACTGGCTAATCTTCTGACAAATGGGAACATATGTGCAACGTGCGTTGACAAGACAAAACAAAAGTGAACATTATCGCAAAGCAAGAAACGTATCGCATGACATCAGCATCATCAACGGCGCTTAACGTGCGCCATGAATATTAATAATGAGACAAAAGAAACGAGCTGAAGATAGAGAGCGAAGCGAGAGGGCACTTAACCTAAAGCACATAGCTAACGTGTCTCACTTGACTGCAGAAGTACGAGCCCTGAATGCCGATCTTCAGGCAAGTCGGACACTGCAGGCTCGCGACGGCGTTGCAGCCGGGCGTCTCGCACATCCCGAACGTCGATGACATTGTCAAAGAAGATTTTCCGGAGCGGACGGGAAGAGCGGCCAGGCTGGGAGACGAGGTAATTCGAGACGATCCTGTACTGTTTTACCGGCCGAGCCTGCGCGCGAGGACGACGGCGAGAGGAGAGGGAGAGACCGAAGGACGGAGAAGGAGAGGAGAGCTCGAAGCGTGCGCGATCGCAAGCCGAACGAATCGATCAGCGATTCGTTGCTATCCGAGGCTCGCGGGGCGCGCGCGAGATGGCGCGCGGGTCGCGGCTGCGGTGCCGTCGGTGGCGAGGGATGGATCAGTGAAAAATGGCTGGTGCCAGCGACTGGTTTAGCATCGGAAGCACGGTGGTATGTAAGACATGTCACGAGCAGGAAATCGAGGGCGAGGTGTTGGCCTTCGACCCACAGACAAAAATGCTGATACTCAGTATCCTTTTGGACGGGGAACTCGCGCCGATGGCGGCCCGCTCGCGCGAGAACGCCGGACGACAGGCCCGCGCGCGCACTGTGTGCAGCCTGCCGTGTGCCAGACGCGCAGTGTAAATAACAGCGTGGTGGCGGCGACGGGTGTCGCGCGACGCGCACCACGCGTCCCGATGCGGCCCCGCGCCCCACGACGCGTCGTCCGCGACGCGCTCGCCGCGAAATGGTGCCCGCGATCGAGTCGCGCGAGTCAGGTTAGTTTCGTCACTCGTCAAGCATGCTTCACGCTCGGGGTGCTCGTCTCGCGAACGCCCCCGTCGTCGTCGTCGTCGTCGGGGTCGACGTGTTGGTGTAACGGTACCCATGTGCTGACGACGCTTGACGTCGTCCCGCGGCTCCCGGGAACAGGCCGACTGAACGAAGTCGGCGTCGCGACACCGTGTGCTCGATTCTGTGTGTACGTATCGTTGTCACGTCTCATTTCTGTTTCCCATCGCGCAGTGAGAGTACACGTAAATACGCGAGCCAGGGCCCTCGTTATCAGGTTGGAAATCGCGCGGTCTGTGTGCACTTTGGACTGGCAGGGGTTAAATTTCATTTCGAGCGAACGCCGCGCGTGACTTGCCTTTTCTCACGATTTGCAACGCCTTGGTCGATCCCGCCTTCGGTATGAATAGTAGTAGCATCGACAGCTGTTGGTCGTACTTAGGAGAATGTTTTCCTTAATAATGACTCCTCAGAATGTCCATCGACGAGTGGTAGATCCTCGTTAAACGATGTACATGTAGTAAATTTATCTCTCGTGTCCAATGTTCAAGTGATACGAGAAGTTAGCGCAACTACAAACGAACCACCACAGAGCCTTAATTTACAAAGGCTAAACACGCGAGTCCGCAACCAGATCGAAGAGAAGAAAAGGTTGGTTATGGCTCTGCAGGCCGGAGTATCTCCAGAAGGACAGAAATTATTTATCGCAATTTCAAAGACTATCCAAGACATTACGTGGAACGGAGCGAATATCGTTGTATTTGATAATGTCACTATTAGACCACCGTACAAAGTCGACAACGTTCACGGGAACGCAGAGTCTGGGGCGTATAGACATGTAAAAAAAGTGGTACGTAAAGCACAGTAGACATTGAGATTCAACTTTTGAGTGTACTCCTTGTAATGTCTCCGAGGATCAAGAGCACTCAAATGCAGCTGTCATAGTTGTCTTTGTGCGACAAGTTGTTCTTTATTTGTTTACAATTGGAAGCTAAAATTTCTTGAGAGAAGAAATGCACATGTAACTTGAAATTAAGTTGTCAACTATAGTCTGCTGTAATGTGTTGAATATACAATAATATAATATGTAGAATAGTGTGTAATGTAACATCAGACACAGACCAAACATGTGTGAGTGCTCGACGGCTGTTGACTTTAGTCAACCACCATATCAAAAAGCTTAATAGACGACAATTGTATCAGTGTGTTTCTTAATCCACTTTGTAGAGAATCGGGTTCTCTATAGGAGTTCTTTATATGAGTAAGCGATACTTTTGTTTGCCATCACAACATGATTTTCAATAACTACTTGAGAACTAAAAGAGACTAATTGTATTGATGCCTCGGTTGAAGTGTAGGAAATTAAACATTGTAATTTTATGTTTACCCCCTGGCCCATTTAATTCCACTTGCTACATTGACGCAATACATTACAGCAGACTCGGTTGTACATTTAGTCGCCATGAGGATTGTCTTTGGATTCTGCCTCTTGCATTCCTACATTCTCTCCTATTGTTCACAGGTTGAGAAACACATTAAAGATACAGCGCAAGCTCAACAACAACGAGAATTGCAACAGCAAACGCAAAAGGGAGCCGAGCTACAATAAAGGTCCAAAAAGGCACTATACTACATCGCAGAGCGCTAAGACACACACATTGAAGAAGCTCCATTTGACCAGAGATAGGAGGGGACAAGTTAACGAGACACTGAGCGGAAGACCGTGGCAGCGCGACTAGGCAGGCGCGCCTATAGCGAAAAATCGGATATCTTCGAGCGAACTCTCTCCAGCTGCTTGTTCGGATGAAAAAAAAAGAGAAAGAGCAGACAGAACAAGATATAAAGTGCAGACTTCAACACAGAAATTTCGCATTCTGACCCGAGTATTGTTAATAGTATCGCATGTGCAGCATTTTATAAAATACAGTCGGACGTACAATTCGTGATTATTAGTCGCCAGCCTAGAAATTTCACTGCGAGCGAGCGAGCGGCAGTCGATTGCTGCGAGTGAACGGAATCATACTCGTTGAGAGCTAACTCTACCAGCGCTGGTTACTATGATGTACACGAAATTGCGCCGTCACTCTTCGTCGAAATACGTTTTAGCAGAGTGATTTATAAGACCGACTTCCTCCGATTAAGCCCGTATGAAACGGCTCGAGCTTTTACGCGCAGCGTCCGAGTACAAAGACGCGTCGCCAAGTCGGGACAAGACGCGCGGCCACCGACTTCCGCGAGGACGTTCCTACCAAGGTCTGGAGTAAGCGCCTTCGGCCCGAGTCTAAGATCCGTTCAAAGAATCCAGACGCGGCCTCAGGCTCCTCGACGTCGGTTGGAACGGACGTTGAGGCGCGACGCGCTTGATTGCAAGGTCGTCACCTTTGTTTTGTATCCACGCCGCGACTCGGCCAGAGACGCGGTGAACCTCCTCGACGGGTCGGTCGGCGGGTGCATCTCTTGTCCCAATTTCGCGAACGACTCTAGTTTTACAATCACGGCGACCCCCGTCCCCGTTCTCAGGTGCGCGTCGCGTGCAACCGCGAACTCCTGCTTTTCAGAGAAATTGACCGATCACGAAAACATTGACTGAGCACCATGCGATCTATCATTTTCATGGCACGAGGCGCCTTCAGCCTCACGTGCGATTACCGCCGCGCTCCCCGCTGCCCCTTGCGTACGCCGAGCCGCAGGAATGTAATTTAAGAAGGCCGCGATACCTCGACTCGCGCAAGGACGAGCGCCGCTTTGTATCGCATCTCGCGAGCGGGAAGGGGATTTCGCTCACTCTGTTAAGGGCCGGTTGTTCCAACTTCTTGGTAAGTTAACTGATGGTTAAATCATATGTTTGTCTTTGTTTTTCCTTCAACTTAGGCAAAGACAGACGTATGATTCAACTACCAGTTAACTTGCCAAGGAATTGGAACAACCTGCCCTAAGCCCAGGAAGAAGTCGCTTCCCGTTTAATGGAGTGAGCGAAGACTGTTCTTCACGTCGACGACGCATCCCTTCTCTGCCCATCACCGGTCCGAGGAACAGCTGATGTTGTCCGACCAACGCAGTGTGCTAGCTCGAACGACACAGCCACAGTAGGTACAGGCCACTAGGAATCGTCCGAATCGGAGAAGAAAGGAGCCTCTTCCGAATCGATGCGCAGAAATCGTTCCTTTCTTCGAGAAGATATCAAAGATTAGTCGGTGTAAGATGTTGATTATGGAATCGGCCAGTGCGCCTTTGCCGAGCCAGGTGATGCCGCGGCACTCGTGGTGCTCATGCGATTCCATATTAACTATTCCTTCTTCTTTTTCATGTATACCCAGTGGCACACACTGGGAATAGATGAAGTCCGAGGAGTCCCTGGACACGTCCTCGTGTGGTGCCGTCGTTCTCGCAGAGAAAAAAAGAAAGAAAAAGAAAGACCCAAACTCGTCTCGTGCCCTTTTACCATACGAACGGGGAGATTCCGAGATTGCGAAGGGAGAACAAGAGCGCGGGAGATTGTAAGAAGAATTATACGAGAAAAGACATAAATAAATGTAATATAAATTCTGTAGCTACGTGTGTACAGGCTCTTCGCTCGTGCCTCTCTCGTCTTGCCTCGTCGGCCGTCGTTGAGACATTTAATCAGATCTCATCATTTTATTTGCCGTAGGTAGAGCCGCACTCGGCGGAGAGAGAGAGAGAGAGAGAGAGAGAGAGAGAGAGAGAGAGAGACTGCTTGCTCCTGCTTATTCAGTGCGGAGTAGATCGGAAGTGGACAAGGCATAGAAGCGAGCGGAACTAGATCAGTTGCGTCACATGTCCAAGTCCGAGTAGACTGAGATAATGAATCCTGCTAAAAATAGAAGTAATGGACTAGATAAAGCGCCTCACGTCATCCAGACGGACTAGAGGCGCGAGTCGCCTTGATGGATCACTCGGCGCTCTCGTCCGCTTCCTCGATCGTCTCCGCCACGCTCGATGTGGATTTCACGCTTGTGGACAGGTCGTGTGTCACACGGGCGATCCGGGCGGCAGCCTTGAACTTGATCGCGGCCCGATGCTTCTCGGTTTTCCTCTTCCACTGTAACGTGAATTAATTACACGAGTTAATTGTGCGGATGCGAGATTCCCCCGGACGCGCGCGATTCATCGAGTAACAATGGTAAAACGGAGTGTCGTTTTTAAACAGATTTTGCTTTGATTTTTATCAACTCTCTGCCCATCTTGGCGAAGCGCTTTTGCTTCGTATGAGTATTTTTCCTTGACGAAATGTCAGATATTACATTTCTTCTCGGTTTGACTCTGCCGCCAATTGTCAAGTTAAACGTCCGGAATTTTACGCGGCAGATGTTGCGCGAGATTTGCAGCCTTGTACGCGTGCGCATAAGACCAAAAGTCGCTTGTTAACGAAACGCGCATACGCGACGCGTCCCTTCGCGTCTTCACAATTCCCCGCCTGTTATTATTTGATATTATTTACGATTTATTTGGTACTCTGGAGTGAATTCCTCCGAGTATAGGCAGCGTGAATGACGATATACCAGGCTTCTCTGCCGTTTTGATTGTCAATTTTACGAGTATGGGTCTGTTCTTTTTAGCTGCACTGCTGAACCGGTACAATAAAGCCAGCGGCACACGGTGCTTGTTTTCGTACTGGATTGCTTGCTGGATGAAAATACTGCGTTGTGATTGGTATATTTTCGAAGATGGATGAAAATGCACCAATCAGAACGCAGTATTTTCATCCAGCAAGCAATCCAGCACGAAAACAAACACCGTGTGCCGTTGGCTTAAGAAAAAATATAGTTGTCTCATTCTAACTTGTTACACCGCTGAACTAGTGCAACAAGTTAGACCCGGTTCCACAACTTACTATAAACGAAGTTTAACTCGTTAACCCTAGTTTAGACGAAAAACTGCGTTCCACAACTGCCTTAAACCATGGTTAACGTTGATTTCTCATAGTTAAAGTTAAACCCAAAACTTTGGGCGTTTAATGAATTTAAACGAAGTTTAATACTGCAGTACCATCAATTTGAGAAAAAAATTTATGACTATCCCGGTTTTGGAGTTTAGTTGATAAATATTTTGAACGTTTGAACACCAAAGAGATACGGCTTTAGAATACATATTATCTTCATCTAAAGATGAAGATTTTGAAAACCTAATTTATCGACGGACAAGAAATATAAGAATAAGACGACCATCATTTTTGGAAAAATTTGATAATGCCGATTTTCATGCACGATTTAGATTATCAAAAGAATCTGTTATTGCAGTTCTAGCAGAAATCGAGCATGAAATTTCTCATAAAACAGAACAGTAAGTATATAAATTTAATTTAAAATATTCGGTTTTTTGCTTCGGTAGATTATATTCTAAAACAGAGTATAAAACTATATATAAAACTATATATAAAAGTCAATTATTATATGATAAATGCAATCAAATCAATAATATAAACTAATTGATTATTATTAACACTGGACTTCCACCTTTTAATAAATTAATATTTATATACAAATACAGCAAATGTTAATGTTGGTTAGTGTTTACTTCATACGAAACAGATATACAGAGTGTCCGGAATGTGATCATTAATATTTTGTGTACTGGTAGAACTCGTTAAAACAATTAAGAAAGTCCTGTGCCATTTTACAATTTTTTCAATATTTATTCCGTAATTAATTAAAATGTGTAAACGAATGAGCGCACGAGAAAGCGACAGGACGAGCTCTGTGTATAAGAAGATGACTTACCTCGCGCGGCGAGAGACAACCGTAAACGACAAGAGGCGTGCGCGCGCGACGAGGAGCGAGCGAGCACGAACGACGAGCAAGCGACAAGAGGCGGCCGCCCAGCGCTCTCTACGCGCTCATTGGTTCACATGTTTCAATTAATAACTCGGTAACTATTGCCAATTTAACATTATGGTACATGACTTTTCTTCTCGGCTACATTCAATCTACCAGTACACAAAATATTAATGATTACATTCCGAACACCCTGTATTGTTCTCTACTAGATATCATAGCATCCAACTTATTTCAATTTTCCCTCTTTTCACCATTAGCAACAACCAATCATACTCTATGTTTGAAAAGAAAGAGAAGTCTTTGACAGTTTCTTCATACAGACTATAGGTTTAAAGCCAGCGGCACATGGTGCTTGTTTTCGTGCTGGATTGCTTGCTGGATGAAAATATTGCGTTGTGATTGGTACATTTCCGAAGTTGGATGGAAATGCACCAATCAGAACGCAGTATTTTCATCCAGCAAGCAATCCAGCACAAAAACAAGCACCGTGTGCCGTTGGATTTAAAAACATGATGTGGAACACGATATAAGTTTAACCATGCCGTTAAATGTAACGTCAGTTCAGATAATCACGGTTTAAACTTGATTTTGTGAAACTGGGCCTTAAACTTGATTTTGTGGAACTGGGCCTTAGAAGTGGTCTGTTCTTTATAGCTGCACTGCTAAACTGGTGCAATAAACTAGAATGAGAAAACCTATATTTGTCTCACTTTAACTTATTGCACCAGTTCAACAGTGTTACAAAGAACAGACCAAAGGTCTGGTCTTTTTCGAAGAACTTCTGAACTAGTGTAATAAGTTGGAATGAAATAGATATATTTTCTCTCATTCTAATTTCTTATACTAGTATGCACTAGTTCAAAAGTTTTTCGAAAAAGAACAGACCCAGAGTGAGACAACTATATTTTTTCTCACTCTAACTTATTGCACCAGTTCAGTAGTGCAGCTAAAAAGAACAGACCATGCGGCTGCATTTTGAAATTCTCTGCCAGTACTGAAAATCTATAGTATACGTGACACAAACTATGTATTTTCAGTACTGGCAGTGGATTTCAGAACGCAACCTGCACGTTGCATTAACGGTACATATCAGAACGTATCTGTGGTACCTAACCTAGCTTCATGGGATAGATCACGCGTGTAAATATCCTCGTCTTGTGCTTCACGAAAGTTTCGAGCGATGTATTCGTGAAGAAATTGATACAAATGTAAGTATCTACTCATAATTTCGATAATAGAATAGTTTGTGCTTTCGTGTATATATACCACACGCGTAACATGTGTAAGAATACACACGCATCGGTACGTGCTTGTACACACATAACCTAAAGGAAACATGCCGCGGCAAGCGAAAAACATCTTTATTCGGAAGACGTCCGCTTTTTTCTCAAATAAAACGATCGTGATGTTTGGACAATTTGCTGAATAATCTTTCTATACCGTCTGTCTATACGACTGTCCATCAGTCGCAAACCCACGGGACTTACTCCGTAGTGAGTAAATTAACAAAGTAACATGCAGGTTTCATTAATATTATACAGCGTGGATAACGTTGTAAAAAATGGAATATACACTATATTTTACAGTGATATAGCAACTTTTATATGTAAAGAGTTAACTTTATCGTACTTATAGAATGTTATAGCTTTACATGTCTATAATATTATGTTGATTTGTGTATCGGGTGAATACAAGTTTTGATAAATTTCGTAGTGGTAAAATATATGGAGTGATTTTATTAAAAATGACTCATTCACTCCATTGATTGAGTTGCTATTGTTTTCTATTACTTTTAATGTATAATACAAATTTGCAAGTGCTGCCATAAAACTGGGTCAGCCACATCTTTGAGAAATTTGGCAAAACTTGTACTTATCCAATATAATAAATGGATCAAGCTCAACAAAAGCAATGTAGCAAATAGCACTATTTGCACCATTTTTATTCTCTCGGTCTATCTTTCTCACCTGTTCATCACGAGATGGTACGTTTGCCAGATATTGCTTCATCTCAGGCTTTTCACAGTCAGCTATAGCCAGTACTGATACACATCCATCCACTGTTCCCAAAACGATACTTTTACCATCATATGTGCTATCAATAGCACTCAGTTCGGCTTGTACTCTATAATTTGCTATCATCTCACAATCCGAAGATCTGTGGAGTAAATTATTTACACATAAATGTAATAAAATTCAAGATCTTTTCCTTTTAACAGGCCTGCAGTGCATAAATTCAAATAAGATTTAGACAATAGCTTTTTTTTTACAAGTTTGTAGATTGAGACTTAGCTTGATTGAAACATATGTATACTTGCCTGAAGACTCTGATAGTTTTCCGTCCACTATGATAATAAAGCACATATTCGTCTGTTCGATTAAACATCGATATGACGGTAAAAACTCCTTCAGCTACTTTGGGTATATATGTCTTCACGCTTGTACCTTTTTTTAATTCTATGAGTTCGAGACCACCTCTAATATATAAGTTTGATTATTCAGAAGTAAACATACACACATCGATTCTTCAAATATTATTTGGTCAAACGTACGGTTATCCAATTTACTTTTTCTATTACTTTATCTATTTCTTTTTCTATGTATGAGTCACAACGTATTTAGATACATTATAGACTTAGCTACTGCTGAATTTTTACAGGTAAAACACGTGTTATGATCTTATTCGAGAATGCCCATACCTGCTGGGAGCGTATAGCGTGTACTTGCCGTCCTTGCTGATATTGCCGCTCCACTTTGGAATTGTACGTATAACTTTCTTTTTATTAATATCAAGAATTGTACCCTTGTCGGAGCCGATGATTCCCACCCATTGCGGCTTGTTAGGCAGAGGGGTGATGCATATAATATCCTGTGGACGTGAATTTTTCACGATTAGTCCCTTATGATGCAATCACGCGTCGAATTTCCATTTACATCTCATCTCTCATCTATGAAATTTTATTCAAGCCATTTTGAGGAAATAGTTGGCTTGTTTTTATCACGATCGAACCCGAAATACCTTAAATCCAGGCAACTTTATCGGTATCTTGCTGATCAGCGTTCCCGTCTTGGCGCTGTAAATTGTAACGCAATCTCTATTGCCCTTGTCTGCTGCTGGCACTGCCAGGAAAGCGTCGTCCGACGTTATGACTACTTGTCGGAAAGGCGTACTGGTGTTACTTCTTACGGGATACTCCAGAGAAAAAATTGTTCTACCGTCTATCGCATAAACACACAAGATACTCGTTATATAGGATGGGACAAGATAACTATCATCGCCTCAAATATCTTCGGAGTGTGAGAGTAGGGGAAAAAATTGATTAAACAGAAATTGGTACATAGTACAAAAACCATCGTTTTACGACGGTAGCGATTTTTTTCAAGTGGAGTAGGTTACCTTCATTTTATTTTTTCTCTCAACCGAATATAGTTGTGTGAACTTGACACCCGACTTTTTAAAAATTAACTTTTCTGCATAAAAAACGTTAGATTTTCGTTTGTAGTTGTTTGTAGTAACATTAATTTCGTTTGTAGTTCGACCGTTTAAAAAATATAAAAATTTTAAAAAAATAACACGCACCCGACTTTGAGATATCTTAAATCCGCTTTCGCAGCCTTCTTTAGAATCGCTTGTAGTTGTTTGTAGTGCTTTCCGTTTCATTTGTAGTTGAATCGTTCAAAAGTTATAACAATTTAAAGAAACGCCCAAGAGGCAATTCTGTCAATTTTTGAGATATCTCAAATCCGCTTTCGCAGCCTTCTTTAGAATCGTTTGTAGTTGTTTGTAGTGCTTTTCGTTTTGTTTGTAGTTGAACCGTTCAAAAGTTGTAACAATTTAAAAAAACGCCCAAGAACGATTCAACCACAAACGAAAGGGAAAGCACTACAAACAACTACAAACGATTCTAAAGAAGGCTGCGAAAGCGGATTTGAGATATCTTAAAGTCAGGTGGGTGTCATTTCTTTAAATTTTCATATTTTTTAGACGGTCGAACTACAAACGAAATTAATGTTACTACAAACAACTACAAACGAAGGTCTAACGTTTTTTATGCAGAAAAGTTAATCTTTAAAAAGTCGGGTGTCAAGTTCACACAGCTACCGAATGTTGTGGTTTGTATTCATTTTTTGATAGCAATGTATTGATACCATGACTTTGAATCAACTTTTGTCATAGATTGTCGCATGTAACTCTCAATAGTTGCTATAAAAAGATAAATGTAAAGTATAACGTTCTAAAAAAACGACTTTCAGATCTTTGAAGCTATTCCTAAAAAAGTAATGTGTTACCGCTATAAGACACTTCTACACCACTCGATATATTTTTCTCTTGATCTCATACTAGGCTTTCATTTTTTTTTTTTTTTTCAAAAACATCATCCAATCGAGTTAATGCAGGATACCCATCTCTCTGGTACATCCTTGTATGTGTGATCATAATAATTTTGTATAAACATTTTTTCCCAGCCATTGCCCCCCGGGCCATTGCCTCACTTTGCGCAACTTATCAGGAACATGTGTAATTCTCATATTCGACAAGTATCAGATTTTATCAAGACGTGTTGTGCACAGGGCTCGCGGGCGCTTCGCGGCGTGAGAGCGTCGTGACTTCTTGCTTACCGGGAATGCTTCGCATTACGAGGGTCGCCATGGTTCGCATGTTTTCCACTCCTGCAGGATTATTGGGTCGAGAAATCGCCATGAACTTGGAAGAGTTCTCAACTAGCGTTAATTGCTTCACGCTCGGCTGCTCCTCCTTAAACAGTACTTGCTCCGTGATTCTGTTCCACACGAGAACGTTGCCCGACTCCGTTGACACGATGTATCTGAAATACGGAGTTTGTTGCATTATGCTCTTCCTGTACCGGTTTCCTTTTCCGTCTCATATGTCGCTTGCTAAGCTTCCGAGTGCCAAGTGGCAAGATCGACTCACCTGCTGTCCTGCGTGATGCAGACGTGCGTGACGATCGCTCCTAACGGGCTATCGGCTAGCTTCGATATCAGTCTGCCCGTTTGCAAGTCCCAAACACCGACGCAATCTCTGGTGACCGTGACGGCCAAGTTGCCTTCTTCGGCTAGGCTGTTTTGCAAGGTGGAAGTGATTAATCGTCGTACGACGTACGCGTTGCTCGCAGCAACAAGGTATTCTTCAGGGTATCTCCTTATCTTCGAGAATACATATCATCGGCAACGTGAGACGTTACCGGCGATGTATTACCTTATCATGTCTATCTGCAGTTCATGTCGGTCGATAACGTGAACCTGCTCGAAAATATTGTTGATGTTCCACACCTTGACGCTCCTGTCGATGCTCGACGTTACCACGCTGTTCCAGTTGCCGATGGTCAGTGCCTCAAGTTGAATGATCCTCGCGAAGTGCGCATCCAATATCTTCACCAGTTCGGAAGTCTCGAGCGACCAGACGTACAGGTTCTTCCTGCGAAAGGTAATTCAACATCATGCGTTGATTGATGAGGGAATTTAGCAGACGCGGGTGTGTCATCGAGTGTTGCAAAGCGCGCACCTCACACCAGCGACAGTGTAGTTCTTCGTGCCGCTGACCATGATGGAATTTGAGCACATCATCCTCGTGCTGATATTCCTCACGCCGTTCGGCAGCATTAACACGTGCGCATCGCTTTTGCTCTCCAAGAACCATACGATGAAGCCGTTACCGGTGGTCGCCAGTAGCATCTCCTCTTCTCTATCCAGCTTCAATTGCAACAAATACTCCACGTCGTCGTTGTACGCGCGGGGCATGTCGAAAACTTTCTCCCAGTAAGACGAAGTCTCGTCGCTGCTGTACTTGGTGATCCTGTAGTCGTCCTTGCTCGTACATGCGTACAAAGTTCCCTTGTCCTTGGTCATAACCATGGCGCTGAAATCATTTATTCCATGACTTGAGTTTGACTGAATTTGAAGTTTCGGACGTAATCGCCTCCTCATCTCATTCCTTTCTTGTAGTCTGCTCGTTACGTTGGCTATAATAATTTTACTATCTTTTCCAGCGTGTTACCTCTTAAGTTGTGGCCCACTGAAAAATATCTAGAAATTAAAAAATATTTATTCGATGAGTACTATAACATATTTACTCATATCGATATATTTTCATGCTGAGGAAACTTCTTTTTTTCAAATGAGAATTGCATTACTTTTTCTTAAATCTGTAATTTCTCACAGCAATTATATATATTTATTTCATTATTTGTTATTTTTATTATTTTTATTATATTTTCAGCAACTGTAGATATTCTATTTAAGTAAAAGAATTTGGGTTTAAATAAATGTGTTGCTATAGTACTGGTTGAATAAATATTTCTCCCGTTTTTTAAGTATCTTTCTCTTCAGGGGTAGCGTGTAGGCGACTTGTTGATATTCATCACAAGTCAAATTCCAGTAGGAGTCTTCCAGCTATTTTAACAAGTGTGAAGGAAAAAGCTCAAAGAGTTAATAATAGGGATTGACAAAGTCTCATGTATCGTACCTGTGGAACTGGAACGGATCCAGAGACATCTTTTTTCTATAAGTGTGCAAAAGCATACGCGTATCATCGATGCTTCCCGACCAGAAGACGATTCTGTAGTAGTCCAAGCTCGTGTACTCCACGTCTACATCACAGAAATACCAGAATGAGAAACCTGTGATGCATACAAGACGCGAAAAGTTTACTTCTTACGCAGAATGGGCCATTTGTTGGAGTCCTCGGGGTTGGTGTGAGTGTCGAGCAGGTTTCCTCGCAGGTCGAACCTGCACCAGCCCAACTTGCCGCAAATAAAGACGTACTGGTTCATCAGATACACGCCGCACACCTCGTCCCCGCTCGGTAGAGGATTATCGATGACGACGAATTCACTCGTCAAGGTATTCAGCACCACCGTCTACGAGAGATTGAAGGTCAACAAATTTAGTGTCAACCTTGTTTCTCCCAGTCGTGCCAATCAGTGACTGCACACCTGCAAAAATATCGTACCTGGTAATTGGTTGTAAACGCCGCAGCATATCTGTTGTCAGGACTCAGAACCAATTGTTGCATTATGCCTTCCACGCCGGGATTCACGTCCCTCGTCATGTCACTAGTGCTCAGGTCCCAGGTGATGAACTTGTTGGATATCGACACCACGTAGCGGTAGTCTGACGTCAGACAGAATCCGAATACCGCGAATTGATGACCCTCCAGCGAGTACTGCAGCAGGAAGCAACATCATCAACGTAGAGAACTAAGCGGTGGTCATATGAGAGAATTCATCAATGAATTCGGGGAAGATTACTTTCAACGGTCCACCCGGTGTATGCAGACAATGGTAGAGTGGAAGCAACGCACAGTCTTTGACACCGTCCTGATCGCAAGCTCGAAGCAGCATCCTCACGTTAACGTTCGCGCCGATCTCCGGCAGCAATCGGCCGATTAGTTGGGGCGCGAGCATGTCTGGATGATTGCCTAGAATCGCGCCGCCTAATCTCAAAGCGTCGGCTACTAACATGAGTTCTCTGAAAGAACGTTTCCAACAGTGTCATAATGTTGGAAATATCGTTAGGAATCTGGAAATCTATGAAGCTTTGGAAATCTTTGAAGGACATTAGAAAAAGATTAAGACGTCTGTAAACATAAAAAATAAGATAAGGGAGTGTGAAGTATCTGAAAAGATCTTTTTTCCCTGTTGACTCACCGCACTAAACTTTGGTCGTCGATAAAATTACAAGCGTCTTCAAAGTCGGAAAGTACAGCCTGCAGAGGACAAGAGCTCAGTTTAGCGTGCAACCATTCATAGTTGAACAGAACGTTCTCGAACAGGTCCTTGAAGCGTCGTGCCCTCACTAGATGAAACGGTAATTCTCCAAACTGTAATCGTAGTAAAGGGAAGAATTAATGGGTCTCTCTCGAGCTTCAATAGTAAGGATCAGTTTCAACTTATGAGGATATCTTTCGTGGAACCTTTCGCAAATTGTATCTCGAGATGGTTCCTTCCTTCGAGTAAAACGCCAACGGCTGCTCCGGCACTTTTCTGTCCGCCACGCCTTCCTTGTCTGTCAAGTTGAATCTGGAAATTGTGATTATGTAAGTCTTGTTATTATATAGCGCCCAACAACGCTAAGGTCAAGGTGAATCTGGTAAAAAGTCTACCACAAAAGTCTGATGACGTCTTCATCTTCAACTTTGCCAAAGTTACCTTTAATTTTTTCTTATTACCGATGTCTCTGTATCTCGGTGTATTTGAAGGGCTTCGGTTTGCCGCCACCCCAAATTCCCAGGTAGTAGTCCGCGATCATGGAGTGAAAATACATGGCCATGTTCATGTTCTTGAAGTACCGCTCCTTGGCAGTGTCTCTGAATTGCCTGTGGTACCAGTTTAGCACGCTTACACCGTCCGCCTCCCTCTCGCTGAGATAATTAGGCAGGTCGTTCCTTATTCTCGTCCAGAGCAAAGGAGGGATACGCCTCACTGGCGGTAAATGATACTGATAGACATCGTCCAGGACCTTGTCGTCCAAGGAGATCAAGTCCTCGAGCTCGGACTCGGACAGGCCCGACTTGGCGGCTGTGATGTAAGCTAACGCGTGGAAGACCAGGATCTTGCCGTGCTGCTTCTCGATCCTTTCAAACAGCATCATTATGCTGTCCATCACTGTGCTGGCCAAATGCGTGTCCGCCGGTTTCGTGTAGCTCCGCCACCTGCAGATCTCCGCGAACACGAGTTTCACGAAGATCGGCAGCGAGCATTTCGAGATCGCGTTCGCCACCAGACGCCATTGGTAGTTATTTAGGTCCCTCTTGGCTGTCTTCATCCACATTCTGTAAAAATTATTATTTAAGCGATATTCGAGGAAACAAAAAGAATGAGCAAGTTTCAACAATAACAATCATTCACTTCAGTAGCATTTGATAACACAATCGTTTAAACCGATCAACTGATCATTTGAGAAGTTGGAATGTTGCCCTGTTCGCGCTCACCTTATCACATCCATAGCTAGGTCTTCGCCTAAAGCAGTCACTTCGATGAAGCTCTCTTCGGTGTCTATCATCCTGCGCAGCAGCTGGTAATCCTTCGAAATCACGGGATTCGATTCTTCTGCTGCGCACGATAAAATCATCTGAAAGGTGCAATCCAATGATTATTCTCCAGTAGGAATTCCGCGAGCAAGGAAACCTATTCTACACGATTGAACCTTAAACGGCAAGGACTTGACATTGCCAGGTCCGATTAATTCCATCACTAAGCGTATTCGCGTCTACCTTGCAGTTCGCTGGGAGCCTCGTGGGCAGCCACGACAGCTTGTTGCCCTGTACACCTGTCAGCTGATCGACGCTGTCTAAGAATAGTAGAATGGGCTGTTCGGTGTTAGCTAGAGTCAGTAAGTATTTGAAATAAGCTGTGAGCGGCACCAGGTCGTCGGGGATTTCTTCAAACGATAATCCATAATTGTAAGAGATCTGAGAACACACACGGAGAGACTCAGTTTCCTGTTTCAGTAAACATTTAGAGAAGCTTACATCTCATTGATTCTTTTGAAATCTATTTATAGCATGTCTGACACGACTTGTACATCCGCTCATGTGCAGGTAGAATTCGTCAAACTGGACAAGAGTCCTGTTTCCTTTGCATTTGGGTTTAGGTTCACTTAACCCTTTCACTGTTAGTGGGAAGTATACTTCCTACCTTTTTTTGATTCAATTTTGCGTTGTAAATCATATAATTTTGAAGAACTAATCGGGGATTTGAGTTTTCCAGATAACTGAATAGTTATTCAACATACTCCGATAGGTTTTTATACCCAATTATTTATTTGTGATTATTTATAACAAATCAAAGTTGAAAAAAATGCTTTTTTTTAGGGAAAAATCGATTCCTCGGGAAGTATTGAATACAAAGGTCTGAAATTTTTACTAAATATTTTTCTGATGTACAAAAACATATATTTTTTTGCAGGTTAGATTTTTTTTTATAAACAAATATTTCTACAAAAACAGCCGACATTTGATTTTTTTGCACTTTTTAGCTCTATTTTCCTAGTTTTTTCATTCTGTATCTCCATGTTATCCATACTATCAATATTATTTTATTCAAAAATGAATGTTTAATCTCTAGTAAGCATAAATATGCAGTATTGAACATTTTCCCACATACATTTTTTCCAGCTCGATCGAGTTCCATCGTCTAGAATCATATGTTCTTATTACGACCTGGTCATTATTTAATAATAATTGGAATTTTCATTAATTTTGTACATTTTGATCGCCATATTGAGTCCGCCATTTTGAATTTTGCAAATCTGACTTTAGATTCGTAATCAGCGACCCAAAAAACGTAAGACTACCAAATATTAATAATTTTCTCAAGGGAAGTTAATTCAGCAGTGAAAGGGTTAAATTCAAACCTTATATGTAGAGAGCTTTGCTAATCTTTACAGATTCTCCATTTTCAGCACATAGTAGGCGAAAGATTCTAGCAACAATAAGATCGTGCGTTTTTTCCCACTTGGTTCTCGCTGTAAATCACTCTCGATTGTCTTCCCTATAATATATTAGTTAAAAGAAACTTTGTTGAGGTGTGACACTTCTACATGTTCTTACCTTTCTTCTCAGGAGCAAGGAGTGCAAGTAGGGTGCTGAAATTGTTTACCTGTTGACAGATCGAAATCAAAGTAGGGGTGAGCGCACTGCTGTCGGGGGTAGTACCGAGGAATCGAATTATGCTAATCGGTTTCTTGTCCTTGAGCCAGCTGCTGCTGGTCAAACCTGCGCTCTTCGCTAACAAAGAGGTCTTGCCGCAACCACCTTCCCCGTACAACACCAACGGCTTGTCGCTGTCATCGAGCATGTAGTTTTTTATCTTCTCCAAGGTGTCTTCGCGTCCATAAAAGACCTACACAATACACATCATAAACGTGCAGAATGGTACACAGGAAATGGGGATTAAAATAGTGACTTTATTATGAACAATTACTGGGATAAAGAACCATCAATTTCAGAAAGAGGAAATTATACAACAGCAACCTTCCCATAAGCACCAACTAACGATCATATTAATGATAACATTGATGTAATATTGCTGTTTACTGGCTCCACTTATGAAGCGGAACTAAACAGAACGACAATCTCACCTTCACGGAATTATTGCAAGCGTGAAGGTGCTGCAGGATCTCGGTTATTATCTGCCCCTGCGCGGAGCTGTCTTCCTTCCTCATGGCACGGTCCACGAGCTTCACTATGTTTCTGTAAAAGTGGGTTATAAAGTGCTGCAGGTACTCGCTGTGGGTTTCAGGATCCAAGCCCTCTCTTCCAATCCATTCCACGGTGTACCTGCACAGTGTTTCCTATGTAGTCGAGTAGTTTAACGCAAAGCTGTTCATCTCGTGCAAGATCATTGAGGAGAATACCTCTGCAAATTTGTACTCTCGATTTTATTCGGCAGTCTCTCGTCCCTGAGGTCTGCCAATAACTTTGAGGCTTCGTTGTCCAAGCTTCTGTTAGCTATGTCCAGGAACAAGCTGGCCTTCCTCAGGTTCTGCAGATTAATGTTGTTTATGTATCGTACATACGCCAGACAGTGGTTCTTGGTGTTCTTCACGTTCAGCACGCCATTGATCACCTCCCTTTCGGTCACTATTTGGAGATTGGCGATTGTTAGAATTCCACGGGGTGACACAGGATGGCATCGGCATTTCTTCTACGTACCAGACATGAAGTAATTATGCATGGTATCCTTGTCGAACTTGCCGGAATTGAACAAGGACTGCGCTCCCTTTCTGAACAGTTTCTGCATCTTCAACATGGTATCCCACCAAATCGCTTGATCCTCTTGCTGCAGCTTGGGTATTCTCTTAAGAAAATACAAACAGAGGCATAAGCGTGTGCATGCAAGAGGACAATAAGTTATCAAAGATCAAGCGCGACTGACGTTGCGTTCGACAAAAAATAAGGCTGTCAGACGTGCGTTGAAGTGAACAAGATGACGGGAGACGATGATTACTTTGTTGTTGAAATTCTTAAGGATAGATGAGATCGGCTGCAATATACTGGTGGGCGGCACAGCGTTGCTATCCTTCTTATACCACTTATCCAGCAGACTAACGTCCATCCCTTGGCCATCCAATTCGGTCCTCAGCATTTCCAGTTCGGAACTCAGGACGTAAGTCGGTATGGGACGGTAGCCGTACTTTTGCCCAAGGAATACCTGCGCGAACGTGTGCTTGTGATGTCTTTTGCCCGCAAAACGATGCAATAAACAAGTGCCCTTGTCATTGTCCTGGGACAATTTCCTCCAGGGACGTTATCGCTTTGATGCAAAGTGACTATAACAAAGTTACTAGTGTGTATACAACTTTATTGTAATTCAACTCAACTATAACATGTACAAACTTATATGCAAAGTAACTATAATAAATGGTGTAAAAGCACAGCCGAAAAGAAAGGGATGAGAAGATGAGAATTTACAAAGATTGACATGAGAAACGAAGAAAGAGAAGCAAGTGTATACGCTGAATCGCGAGACCAATTAAGGGCTGGAGAGGCAGTTTGTTATTTGTGTGCTCACGACAAAATTCGGCCCCATGGACAGCCTCTGACAGTTTTCTATTTCCCTCATGCACAGCTCCGTAGTCATGTGATCGTCGGTAGCTTCGTCACGCACTCCCCATCTCATATCGACCACCTGCGAAAAGGAACTTGACATTACTTCACGCGTAAGGGAAATTTCTACATTGATTTCTTCTGATATCTTCTGCTGTGTGTGTCGTTAGTCCCTGCTAATAATTATGCAGTGCTTTAATTGAATCCTCCAAGTTTCGTTTCAGCCAGCCAATCTTCAGCTGGTGATCGATGGGATCTGCCTCTCATTGAATCCTCAGGTTGCATGAATAGAGGAAGAAAGCTAGTCTCCAAGGAACGAATATTTTAGAAATCAGAAATCGCACAAGCTAGTCTCAGTAAGATATTGGCCAGAAGGAAATACAACGTCGCTTTAGCTTCGATGTAGGACGGGCCGGATGGCGATCGTGTAATTTTCCTTCAGAAAATGGAAACTTAAAAAGTTCCATATTTCCAAAGTGAAACACGACCGCTAAAGCTGTCGAGCTGTCGTGAAACTTTTCATTCTTCACGTTCCTGTTTTTAGGGAAAGATTACAAGGTCGCTATCCTGCAACAAAGTACTGCACCGATTGAAACGTGACGTTAGATCGCTTAAGAGCTAACACGCCAACAGCGATAGAAGATAGCTGCTGCTTATTACACCACAAATGAAGGCGCTAATTAACGAACAATCAAGACCATATTGGACTCGAGCGCCGTCTGAATTCTTAGCAGCCCTCACTCGCCGTTATCAAGAATTAACTTAGATATTATCGGTACCTGGCACCGTGAGAATCAATTTCTTTTCATCGTATATCACACTCTTCGCTATGTAGAGATTAACCCGCTCGCTGAGCAGCGCCAAATCGTTATCTTTATCACGCAGAGTCTTACCTGAAACTCTAGACCATGTTTCTCCCTGCAATAGTCCTTCAGTTTGGGATAACACTGGGCCATCAGAGTGTTTCTCTCCATCGTTGTATCTGAAATGTAGCTGCTGTTGTATCTTATACTGCAACTTGCCAATCGCTTGTGGTAGGTTTTATCCCTCTCTCTTTAGCACACCGCACACTATATCTTCTGTGCCATTCTACCATCTTATAAAAGAGACTCACCGGTGAAAGTCGAGCTTGTGAAAATCCGCACGATTTTCGAGCTGACCGGCGGTAGGGACCTGAGTGACCCCGAAAAGATCGAGTCGATCGTCGTTTCGTCCATTGTCTTATTATTTTCACGCACCTGGCGAGCACCTTGTTAGGAAGAAAATGCCTCGCATTAGTCGCGTTCACATCTCGCCGCTCGCGACAACGCCAGTAAACTGAGGCCAGCACCGGGCGGTTACCATGACTTATACATCTACAATAAAGTTTGAGCTATACAGGGTCCGCAGTTTCTCCTTTAGATGTTCCACATTGTAAGATTCTTGTGTCACTTGGTCGTCATTCGCAGGATCACCATCGCATCATTCTGCGTTTTACACGCGGAAGATCTGCTCGGGATGCAATTATACGCGATATTATGCAAATGAAGAAGATTTCAGCGTGCCGAAGCGTGGTTGCCAAGGCTTGTTTACGCGGCACACAGGAAGAGCCATTGATTTCAAGGCGCCTATAGATGTCTCCCGACATCTGTGTCAGATATAAATATAAATAAATCTACATGCGTGTATTATTTTAGACACCGTTTGTGTACGATTGTGCCCATCGGTGAATAGTTTATTGATTTTTATTTAATGCGAGACGTCTCGTGTCACATGCACAGTTTCATGTTATGCACAGTTTCTGTTTCAAGAAATATCTAAAGACTGACAGAGCACAGAGAAAAAGGAAGACACTTGCCGTGTGACAACTAATGCTTCTTCATGGTCTAAGTTCATAATCTCGCACGTGTGGTTTTCTGCACAGGTTTTCAATGAATCACTCGTAATACTTGGCAAGGATCTATCATAACAATCAAAATGGCGCCCGACCCACTGATGCAGATGAATACGTATCGGTCGTACGTGACTATGCTGGCCGATCCAGTGTCAAAAGATGAACTGAAGCTGAAAGCGGCTCAGGAACTGTCGGAGAACTTCGAGGTACGAGGACAAACCATGCTGCCAAGATTGCACAGAAGGCAGCAAGTTTCCAAGCAACTCGCCGGGGGTTGGGAGAGCGATGCATTAAAAGAAAATTAATTTTTATTCAACAGATTATTATGTGTTCGACGCAATACCCGGCATTTCTCGATCACATGATGAAGATCTTCTTGAAGATACTGCAAGAGGGAGAGCCGCATTTCATATCGGAGTACAACATCCAGCAAGTGAGAAAGCTGATTCTGGAGATGATACACCGATTACCCAGCAACGAGTACCTGCGTCCATACGTTAGACAAATCTTGACTCTGATATCTAAATTGCTCGAAACGGATAACGAAGAGAACGTCTTGGTGTGTCTGCGCATCATTATCGAGCTTCACAAGCAATATAAGCCGACATTTAATCCAGAGGTAGGTGATTCAGAGATATGTGATCTGGAGGTAGATCTCTTATTTTACTCATCTGAGTAAAAATTATTGCGTGCAGCACACGCGATAATAAAATCGATGAGGTGCAATTGTGTGGCGTACAATAAAATTACGATGACACGCGTATTTGTCTCATAGATACAATATTTCCTGCAATTCGTCAAGTCGGTGTACAGCGAGTTACCAAAGAATCTGCCAAAAATATTCGAGCCGCGGCCTCCGCTTCGCGTGAAGGATCTGTCGGAGATTAACATAGAAGCTCTTCTGAAGGAAACGTTCACAATTACGGCGATACAAAGCGAGAAGAAGGCAGCTGACGGCACTGTATTGACAGTAGGTATCTCTTGTGTATTGAACGATGAATGAGTTGTGCAAGAGTTGCGTGCGCGTGAAGACCAAAGTGAATTAACACGTATCTCGTCACTTTCAGTACAACTTAATCCCAAAGGCGGTGATGTCGCTCAAAGTACTTCAGGAATTGCCGATAATTGTGGTGTTGATGAATCAATTGTACAAGCAGAACGTACATCAAGACGTGTCGGATTTCATTCCGATCGTCATAACGACTATATCGTTGCAACCGAGTCCTCAACATCGCGCGTCCCCTGGATTCAACAAAGAAGTCTTTGTTGACTTCATGGGCGCTCAAATAAAAACTCTTTCATTTCTGGCGTACGTGATAAGAGTATATCAGGAAGTGATAACGCAGCACAGTCAGATGCTGGTGAAAGGCATTCTCGGTTTATTTACGCTATGTCCCATGGAAGTCGCTCATTTGCGGAAAGAATTAGTCATCGCATCGAGACACATTCTCGCCACGGACCTGCGTAATCAATTTATTCCACACATGGAATATTTCTTCAACGAGAATATCTTCATCGGACATGGTTGGACAACTCAAGAGGCCCTTCGGCCGTTGGCGTATTCGACGCTCGCGGATCTAGTTCATCATGTTAGACTGTTGTTACCTTTAAGCGATGTCTCCCATGCGGTTCATCTGTATAGTAAAAATTTATTGGACCCTAGCCTACCGACTACAGTGCAAATGGTTTCTTGTAAATTGCTGATGAACCTGGTGGACACAGTACGACAAAGGTCTGATGCGGAAAACAGCACACAGGGGCGGGAATTGCTGATGCGCATACTTCTGGTCTTCGTTTTGAAGTTCAAAGTTCTCTCTAAGATCTACATCCCGATCCTGCGGAACAAAACGAAGCAGCTGCGAGCCAACGCAACGGCAGACGCATCTGCAACGGAGGACACTCTTAAGAACATCGTCGAGCTGACCGAAGAAAAGGAACTCGGAAAGTCAAAGTTTGGTTTTCCAAATTGGCAAGTTATGAGTTATAATGTTGCCGACTATCGTAACCTAGTGAAAAGTTTGGTACACGGAGCCAAGGCTATCACAGCAAACTGCGTGAATAGTAGAACGGGAGGAGAGGCAACACAATCGAATCAGTTACAGCCGAAAGAAACTCTTATCTACATTCAGCTTGTCAAGTGGGCGTTACCTGCCTTGGACATTTATACCATCGGCTCCACAGTCGTTGGCACTCCTGTGCAACCAGGTAGACCGGCGCAAGCTCAAACTATTAGGACACGGGAGGAGAAAGAAGTGTTGGAATTATTCGGCAACATATTCACACAGATGAATCCTCATACCTTTCAAGAGATATTTTCCCTCTCTGTGGACTACATGGTTGAGAGGATCTTCAAGAACAGCGCGTTACAGATAATCGGTAGTGCATTTCTTTCGAGTCCGACCATATCGTCCAGGTTTGCCACGATATTGGTGCAATATTTATTAGAAAGGATGAACGATATGGGATCGAACGTTGAACGAAGTAATCTGTACCTACGATTATTCAAATTAGTGTTCGGCAGTGTGTCCCTTTTCCCAGCTGAAAATGAGCACATGCTTCGACCCCACTTGAATCAAGTGGTCAATCGTGCCATGGAGCTCGCTATGTCAGCGAAAGAACCTTACAATTATTTCCTCCTTCTGAGAGCGCTGTTTCGATCCATCGGGGGTGGGTCGCACGACTTGCTCTACCAAGAATTTTTGCCTCTACTGCCGAATATGCTAGAGGGACTGAACAGATTGCAGTCCGGCTTACATCGACAACACATGAAGGATCTATTCGTCGAACTTTGTTTAACGGTGCCGGTCAGATTGAGTTCCCTGCTGCCTTACTTACCGATGCTTATGGATCCGTTAGTATCTGCTCTCAACGGGAGTTACTGCCTTGTTAGTCAAGGCCTGCGTACTTTAGAATTATGTGTCGATAATTTGCAACCTGATTTCTTATACGAACACATCCAGCCAGTCCGTGCAGACTTAATGCAAGCTCTCTGGAGGATCTTACATAACTCCACGGACCAAGCGCACGTCGCATTCCGTGTTCTGGGGAAGTTTGGCGGTGGCAACCGCAAGATGATGATAGAGCCTCAAAAGTTACAGTACAACGACCGCGAGACCAGTTCTCCCACGGTAGTGATTTATCTTCAAGGACCCAAGAAGCCGTTCGACTTCTCCATGGAGAAGGTAATCGAGACGGCGTATATTGCCTTAAAGTCCAGTACTACAGACTTATATTACCGCAAACAATGCTGCGAGGTTGTCAACTGCTACCTGGCGGCGACCCTGAGACTCGACGATGTCGGCAACATACTACACAAGCTGTTCACGCACCCGAGCTTCCAAGAGGGCGAGATTAGTTTCTGCCACGCGTCCAGTCAGTACAAATGCCCCGACACCGTGGCGCGCGACGTCCAACAAACCGCGGTGACGAGTCTCTTCATCGCCGCGGAGACCAAGGAGCTCAGACCCCTGGTAATCGGCATGGTGATCTCCATCGTCAGGCACTATACGATGATCGCCATCGCCCAACAGGCTGGTCTGTTCTCGTGGACGGAACGCGACATTCGCATGCAAGGTCAGGATCCGCTGGTGCTGGTCGACGCGCTCGCCTCCATCATGTCGCACGAGGAGAAAGACCTGCACAGAATGGCGTACCTGGTACTTATGTTAATATTAGACACGGCGACGAAAATCCTTGGCTCGAAGGAACGAGCCTGCCGGCTGCCCATCATAGAATATGCTGCGGACAGGATGTGCATGTTGTGCTACGAGCGCGCCTGGTACACGAAACTTGGCGGTTGCATCGGCATCAAGTTCCTCACCGAACGGATGGCCATCAAGTGGGTGCTCGACCACCAGTTCATGTTCCTCAGGGCCCTCATCTTCGTGATGATGGACCTGACCGATGAAGTATCGAACGGCGCCATCGACATGGCGAAGACCAGTCTGGACAGGATGATAAGGATCTGTGTAGACCCCAGCATTCAAGAGGGCAATGCGGAGCTGTTGGACGCTCGCAACAAGGGTGTCCATGACGTCACTCGCGAATTGGTGAGACAGGTGACGTCACCGCATACTATCGTGCGAGAGCAAGCCATGGCGTCCTTGCGCCAACTTGCCGAGATCCAAAACAAGACCGTAACGGAAGTGATGGAGCCTCACAAGGAGGTTTTGGCTGACATGATCCCACCTAGGAAACATTTATTAAGACATCAGCCAGCGAACGCACAAATTGGCTTGATGGACGGGACGACATTCTGCACCGCCTTGAATCCACGTCTCTTCACTATCGATCTGAAAGTGGCAGAGCACAAAGTGTTCTTTCAAGAACTATTGGGCCTCTGTGAGGCCGAGGAGACGCAGTTGGCGAAGCTGAGCTGTTACAAGTCCGTGACGAATCTGATGCCTCTGAGGAAATCGGCGCTGCGTGCACTTGCAGCCACTCACTACATCTCCGAGTGTCGCGAGAAGATCTTTGCAGTTCTGTACAAAGCATTGGAGAAGTCAAACGGCGAACTGCAAGAAGCCGCCTTCGAATGTATGCGAACGTTCATCTCTGGTTTTCAAGTCGATATGGAGCTGGTGCACACAACAATGCGGCCGATGTTACTCACCTTGGGAGATCACAGGAATCTTAGTCTAAATTGCGTCAAGAGGCTGTCCTACTTGACGCAGCTCTTTCCAAGCACCTTTAGCATCACCCTCTGTGAACAGTTACTACAACATCTGAAGAAACTCCTGGAGAACCTCATTCAGTCTCAGAAAGGTATACTGAAGACCGGTGAAAACGAACAAAAGATTACCACCATCATCGGGATATTTCACGAGATCCCAGCGGCTACTCCAAAATTCATCGACCTGCTGTGCCGATTGGTCCTGCATACGGAGAAGACTTTATTGGTGGAGGTATCTAGTCCCTTCAGAGTGCCTCTGATGAAGTTCCTCTTACGTTATCCAGCTGATACCCTCAACCTGTTTCTGCACGACAATAACATCAAGGACCAACAATGGAGCCGGTACCTGGAGTATCTCATAAAGCACAAGGATGGTAAACCGATCAGAGACATTTTACACAACAGTACAGGCAGACTCGTCGCAATGTTGCTTGCACATTCGCAAACCAACTCGAACTTGACTCACATGGAGAAAAGCGAACTGCAGTACCGTGCGATTAAAATAATCGCCTTGCTCATCCGGTTCGACGAGCAGTGGCTTTCCACGCAGACTCAGCTAGTAGGCGCTTTGAAGCGGATCTGGTGCAACGACGATTATCAGGCGCTGCACAAGAAGGTCGAGAACGTGGAGTATTACCATTGGAAAGAGCCGAAGCTGATCGTCAAGATCCTGCTGCACTACTTCCGCCAGCAGCCCAACGACATTGACTTGCTGTTTCAATTGCTGCGAGCCACTTGCGACCGCTTCGTGCCAGACTTCCAGTTCTTGCGGGACTTCCTGGAGAACACAGTGGCGCAGGAGTATACCGTGGAGTGGAAGCGGAGCGCGTTCTTCCGCTTCGTCGAGCACTTCCCCACAAACAACTTGTCGCAGGAGCTCAAGGCCAACGTGCTGCAGCTCATCATCATCCCGTGCTTCGCGGTGAGCTTCGAGCGGGGCGAAGGCACGAAGTTAGTCGGCGGGGCTCCGATGCCTTACCAGGACAACCCGGAGAACGTGGTCTCAGTGTTCATCAGCAAGATCATCGACCCGGATAACCCGTTCGGCTCGGCCGATTGCGTGCGCATCTCCCTGCTGCAGTTCTCGTGCCTGCTCGTCGAGCAAGCGTCGCAGCACATCCATGATGTCACCAACAAGCGACAAGGCAATAAGTTGCGCCGACTGATGACGTTCGCATGGCCATGCTTGTTAGGAAAGAATTGTGTGGATCCTACCACAAGATACCATGGTCATCTGCTTCTCAGTCATATCATAGCGAAATTCGCTATACACAAACGCATAGTACTGCAAGTATTTCATAGCCTTCTGAAGGCACACGCTGTAGACGCCCGGAATGTCGTAAGACAGGCTCTGGAGATATTGACCCCGTCAATGCCAGTTCGCATGGAGGATGGTAATACGATGTTAACTCATTGGACGAAGAAGATCATAGTTGAGGAAGGACATTCCATGCAGCAGCTGTTTCACATCTTACAATTGGTTGTGCGGCATTACAGAGTATATTATCCAGTCAGACATCATCTGGTACAGCATATAGTAAATTCCATTCAGCGTTTAGGTTTTAGTCCGACTGCGACGATTGAGCACAGGAAACTCGCGGTCGAACTAGCAGAAGTGATCATCAAATGGGAATTATATAGAATCAAGGAAGAAGCTGAGGTCGCCGACGGCAATAGCGGTAACAGATCGAGTGCAAGCACGTTGAAGCGACAGGTGACATCCGACGATTCGACCAAGCGTCTAGCCAACCAGTCACCGTCTACCAGCATGTGCATGCCTCTCACGGCGTCCAAGACGGAGTCGATGAAAGCGATAGACCGAGTTCATTCGGACGCCATTTTGAACTTTTTGCTGCGTTTGGCGTGCCAAGTAAATGACGTCTCCTCAATTCATGGTAATCCCGGTGAACTGTTGTCGAAACGATGTGTGAATCTTTTAAAGATGGGATTAAAACCTGACATATGGACGGAACTGTGCGACTTGAAGTTAGTCTGGCTCGATAAGGTGCTGACAAGCGTGGACAGTGCGCAGCCGAATTACGGGAACATCAGCACTGCCCTGGACGTGCTAACATTCTTGTTAGGGGTAATGAAACGCGAGCAGATACTCGCGAGCTTCAAGCCGCTGCAACGTGGGATCAGCTCTTGTATAGCAAGCAGTAACACCAAAATAATACGTTTGGTACACGGCCTATTGTCTAGACTAATGACTCTTTTCCCAGCGGAGCCAACGTCGTCGAACGTTTGCTCCAAGCATGAAGAATTGGACACATTGTATACGGCGGTAGGTAGATTCATAGCCGACGGTCTCACGACATATGAGAAATCCACTGCCGCTACACCCAGTTCATTATTCGGCACACTGATGATGCTGAAGGCGGCCTGCACGAACAACCCAAACTACATCGACCGTATGATCACGCCTTTTATGAGAGTGCTACACCGCATGGCTAAGGAACATTTACACAGTTCCACCCAAGCTGAAACTAATCCGGTTGGGAGTGAACTGCTCATCCTGAGCATGGATCTCGTTAAGAACCGGGTGGTAGTGATGGGTGCTGAAATGCGAAAATCTTTCATTGGTACCATACTGGTTAGCCTTATCGAGAAGACGCAGGACATCAAGGTGATGAAGGCCATCACGAAGATGTTGGAGGAATGGATGAAAAGCAAGAGCACGATCGCGATGAATCAGACACCAACTCTGCGCGAGAAGACGATACTTTTGTGCAAGATGATGCAATACGTCGAGAAACGTTTCCCGGACGATCTGGAGCTGAACAGGCAATTCTTGGAGCTGGTCAACTACATCTACCGTGACGAGAGTCTGAAATCAAGCGATCTGAACAACAAGCTGGAGCAGGCTTTCTTATCGGGCTTGCGTTGCGTTCAGCCGCAGGTGAGGGCAAAATTTTTCGAGGTATTGGATGCGTCGATGGGAAAGAAGTTGCACGAGAGACTCGTGTACATCATCAGTATCCAGAATTGGGAGAATATAGGTCCGCATTATTGGATCAAGCAATGCATCGAACTGATCTTAGCGTCCGCGAACCCGAACGCGCACATACAGATGACCAATCAGGACCTGCTACTTCCCAGCATCACGTCCATTATCCACATGGGCATGGACAAAGACAACAAGGAGCACAAGAACTTCATGGCGTACTGCGCCGTGAAGGAGGAGCCCATAGACACCTCCGAACCGGTCAACGATGCGCCTGAGGCGGACCTGTCTGAGATGGATCTGTCCAACATGTCCATCTCGGAGTTTACCACCACCGTGGACGACATCATGGCGCAAAGCAGCCTAGCTGATATGATCAACAAACAGAAAAGTTTCATCGAACGCGCCAAGAAGATCAAGACTGAGCAGCTTCTCCTGGCGGTGGTCCAGCTATGTCACATGGACACGAATCTAGCGGAACGCGTCTGGCTGGACATATTCCCGCGCCTGTGGAGCATCCTCGACGAGCATCATCAGAGTCTGCTGACCGCAGAAGTGGTACCGTTCATCGCTAGCGGTGCGCACGTCATTCAGAAAGACTGCCACCCGAGCGCGCTCGGCACGTTCCTCGAGGCGTTGTCACATTGCAGTCCGTCGGTGGCCATTAAGCCATACGTGATGAAGTACCTGGGTAAATCACACAACGTGTGGCACCGAATGACACTCACCCTCGAGCAAATGGCTTTCGAACCCGACAACATTACCTACGTGAAGGGCAGAAACGAGCCCGCTCTATACCACGAACAACCTGTGCCCGCGGAAGAATTGCCTAACGAGACGATGGACGCCCTCGCGGACATGTACTCGTTGCTGCTGGAGGAGGACATGTGGTCCGGTATCTGGCAGAAGCACGCCTACTACAAGGAGACTTTGCACGCGATTGCGCTGCAGCAGCAAGGCTTCTTCGAGCAGGCCCAGGGAGCTTACGATGTGGTCATGACGAAATTCCAGCAGGATTGGGTGTCGACTCCGTCGCCTTACAAGATTCAAAAGGAAGTGGTGATGATTGCGAACCAATGGATACGCTGCGCGAAGGAGCTGAATCAATGGGACATGCTGCTGGAGTACAGCACCACGAAGGACTTTAGAGATCCTTTCGTGGCCCTGGAGAGTTCCTGGCGCATTTCTAATTGGGCCGTCATGAAGGAAGCACTCGCGCTTGTCGAACACAATTGTCCGAAAGAAATGACTTGGAAGGTATGACACGTGTGATATCCTTTTTTTTTTTCTATCTTGCCTCCTTTGGTTTTCTGTCTCGGATATTTTAAACTATTTTAGTATTATTTTTCCGTTACTATATTAGCCATCTTTTAACAAGTCTCAAACATTTTACTGCGAAGAAGTACCACATAAAAAGAATTGCTGCCTAAAGTCTTAGAGTTTCGCTAAAATCATGCAGAACTAGTCAAACATTTCGGGTTTTTTTACTCCCAGTGTTGAACGGCTTCGGAAAATGTTTGCTAAATGCAATTCTTTCGATCACAGGTAAATATGTACCGCGGATTCTTAGCCATATGCAACAGCGAGGAACAGCATTTGAATGCAGTGGAGCGCTACGTCGAAATCGCTTCTAGTTTGTGCATGAGAGAGTGGCGAAAACTTCCTCACGTCATCAGTCACATTCACCTGCCGTTGCTGCAGGCGGCGCAGCAAATAATGGAGCTGCAAGAGGCAGCTCAGATTCATCAAGGCTTGATGCTAGCCAGAGCCACGTCTCTCCATGATATGAAAGCCATTGTGAAGACGTGGCGTAATCGCTTGCCCGTGATCGCGGACGACCTCAGCCACTGGTCGGATATCTTCGCTTGGCGGCAGCAGCACTACAATTTCATCGCCAATCACTACGAGTCCCAACCAGACCCGCACCCGACGCCAACCCACTCCGTGCTCGGCGTTCACGCGTCCATGCAGTCGATCATACATTACGGCAAAATCGCTCGGAAGCAGAACCTGTACGGCGTGTGCTTGGACTCGCTGTCGAAGATCTACACGATCCCGAGCGTGCCCATGATCGATTGCTTCCAGAAAGTCCGCCAGCGCGTCAAGTGTTACATGCAGATGGCCACGATGGGCGGCCAGAATGAACTTCAGGAAGGACTGGACGTCATTGAGTGCACCGACATGCGTTACTTCTCGAAGGAGATGACCGCTGAGTTTTACGCGCTCAAGGGTCTGCTTTTGTCACAACTCGGCCGTTCCGACGACGCCAACAAAGCCTTCTCCACAGCGGTGCAGCTGCATGACACTCTGGTAAAGGCGTGGGCCTTGTGGGGCGATTACCTCGAGCAGATTTTCGCGCGTGACGCCCGCCAGATCTCCATCGGCATAGCGGCGATCACGTGTTTCTTGCACGCCGCCCGTCATCAGAACGAGACTAAGTCGAGAAAGTACATCGCTAAGGTCATCTGGTTGCTCACATACGACGACGACAAGTCGTCGTTGATGGAGACGTTGGACAAGTATTCGGTAGGCGTGCCGGCGATTCAATGGTTGCCATGGGTGCCACAGTTGCTCATGTATCTCGTGCGCAATGAGGGCAACAGCATACTGAACTTGCTGAGTCAGGTCGGCCGCATGTTCCCGCAAGCGGTGTACTTCTCTATACGGACTTTATACTTGACCTTGAAAATAGAACAGAGAGAGCGATACAACAGTGAGCTGACTGCAGGTAAGATTCAGGAGAGCAGTCAAGAAGACCGTGCCACTGGTAATGCGTCGCAGCAAGGAGCATCAGAAACCGGCCACACCGTACGAGCAACGGCACCAATGTGGAGGTGCTCCAAAATTATGCACTTGCAGAGAGATATTCACCCCACTGTGCTGAGTTCTCTCGAGGGTATCGTGGATCAAGTAAGTCCGGACGGGACTCTTTTTCCCGTGCTTATTTGTATGCCTGCAAGACTTGCAATACTTTCCATAAGAAATGTATAATAAGGCATTTAAAACTCAATTAAAATAGTAATTATTTTAATCGGTTGAATTTAAAGGGTTTTAAATTCAGTTAAATTCTGTTTTATACATCAAACTTTCTAGCTCAAGTTACGCTTTAATCAATTATATCTATATAAGTAAATTTAAAGATGAATTAGTAAAATTAGTGAATCAACGAAAAAATTAATTTAATTTCAAAGGATTTTAAATTTAATTCTATTTTATATATCAAACTTTCTAGTTCACAAGTTACACTTTAAATAATTAAATCCAAGTTGTTTCAACTTTATAACTTTGAATCTTACATTAAAAATTTTTAACTTGAAATTGAATTTTTTCTAAATCGTCTCAAATCAAATTAAATTTTATCTTAGATTGAGAGATGTATGTGAGCGTACCGTTGATGGTATTTCAAGATTTTGTCCTATAAAAATAATATAATTGGAATTTCGTGCTTCACAGATGGTATGGTTTCGCGAAACATGGTACGAAGAAGTGTTGAGACAGCTGACTCAAGGACTAGCTAAATGTTATGCATTAGCATTCGAGAACCGCGGTTCAGTGAGCGAGGCAACCATTACTCAACACACCTTGAACTTTGTCAAAAAATTAGTATCAACCTTCGGCATAGGAATTGGTAAAGTCACACATAATCTCTACTGATCCTCGGTACACCAATGATTTTCCTTTCCTTCTTTTTTTTCCCTTTTAAGAAAAAGTCTTCTCTATTCTTCCTGTCAGAAGACTTCTAAGAGAGGATAAGAATCATGAGATATGAATCTTTACAAATAATGCAAACTGCTCAACGAAGAGATTCAGTAGACAGTTTTAGTTATTAAAATTACAATTCAAGGATATTAAAGTTGGGAATAGACTTTGACGCTATATGACGAGGATCCACAATAGCGCGCAAATCGAATGGTGGAAGGATAATTTGAAAAATTATGTCTTATGATTTTCAGAGAATATATCGTCTTCCCAAAATACATCATTCTACTCGGCGGCTTCAGAATCCTTGGCGCGTAGAGCGCAGGATACTGTGCAAGATCCCGTTTTTCATAGGATGAAGGGACAATTCACAAGCGACTTCGACTTTACTGTGCCAGGAGCCAGATTACTTCACAATTTGATCAGCAAACTGAAGAAATGGATAAAAATTCTCGAAGAAAAAACCAAACAGCTACCTAGGTAATATTTGCTTCCTTACTTATTCTGCGACGATATGCGACGTTTTCAGAAACGTTATATGAACCAGAGATTCTCGCATTATTTCACAGGTCTTTCTTGATAGAGGAGAAGTGTCGTTTCTTGAGCAACTTTAGTCTCAAAACTGCCGAAGTAGAACTACCTGGTGAATTCCTCATACCTCGAGTAAGTGATACACTATTCGCAAAAGAATGTTAGAAAGAGTTACATTTAAAATAAAAACATATCGTAACGTTATATATGATATGAGTGAAAGAAAAGACATCTAAAACGGTAAATCAAGTGTACGAAGAAAACAGAACGCAAAATAAATTTAAACGTCCGTTCGTTAATTCGTTCAGCCACAATTTCTGTTTTAAATGTGTTAACTGTCGCAAGACGAAACGTTTGACTGCGAGCATTATTTATATATGACATTATTGCATCAAGTACCTGCGTTTAGCTTTTACTTACTTATTCATGTTTTAGTAAAATGTGTTGGGCACTTTTTATTTTATTTACATATATATTTTTATATCTATGTATCTTATGTGTATAGATCTTTTCAAATTTATTACCATTTTATTTATTTGTGTTTTTTTTAATAGTTTTTATCTATTTATCTGTTTCATCTGTCTCCTGCCTAATGAACAGCTATTGATCGAGGAAAGGCGTCTCCGTTTGCATTAATCTTTTGTGAAACTTTTCAGCACTCGCATTACTCCGTGAAGATAGCACGATTTATGCCGCGTGTTGAGGTGGTTCAACGGCACAACACGGCCGCCAGAAGGCTACGCATTCGCGGCCATAACGGACGTCTATACCCTTACTTGGTAGTCAACGATGCCAGCGTAGGAGATGCGAGGCGTGAGGAACGAGTGTTGCAGTTGCTGCGGATGCTGAACCACTATTTGGCCAAGCAGAAGGAGACCTCACGGAGGTTCTTACATTTCACGGTGCCGCGACTAGTCGCCGTCTCGCCGCAGATGAGGCTCGTGGAAGATAATCCAGCCGCGGTGTCACTTCTCGATGTATTCAAACAGGGTTGTGCCAAACTGGGCATGGAACACGACGCGCCGATCGCCAGGTACTACGAAAAACTGGCCGCGGTGCAAGCTCGTGGGATCCAAGCGAGTCATCAAGTGCTGCGAGACATTTTGAAAGAGGTGCAAAGCACGATGGTCTCGAAGACAATGCTAAAGGATTGGGCGAGGAAAACCTTCCCTGGCGCCACTGATTATTGGACGTTTAGGAAAATGGTGAGCTTTCCCTTTTGTTAACTTGCTGATTTTTGGAAATTTCAAAATCATCAAATTAACCAAATTCAGGGGGCTATTGGAACAATATATTCTTGAGACTAAATAGAGCAGAAAAGTCTAATACCACTTTTTCTTCTGACAAATAGTTAGCGAGATATCGTGAGTTAAATATTGAAAAAGTTATCAAGTTTTCCTTAAATATCTCAAAAATATTAGGTAAATAAAAAAATGTTTCAGACAAAAGTTCAAATTAATTGCTAGAAAAAGATGATGTAATAAAAAATTGGGGTATCCATTTAAGATTTTTATGTTGATTTAAGATTTTTATGTTGATCTTGACTGGACTTTTCAAGGTTATCCCAAGGTAAAATTTATAGCGTCAGTAAATAGATCCTTTGAAGCCCTACAACTTTTGTCTGAAATATTTTTCTCTAAAATGTCGCGTTAACGAAAAAATCGGGACCTGAGTGGTCTGAAATACCCGGGTATAGTTCGATTCGTTTGCTCCTTGTCCTGCGACTATTTCACGCAGCTTCATTTTGTTTGTTTTCTGTCCTCAGTTTACGCTACAACTGTCCTTGACTTGTTTCGCTGAGTACGTGCTTCATCTAACGAGGCTCAATCCTGACATGATGTACATGCACCAGGACTCTGGTCTCATCAATATCGCCTATTTCAAGTTCGATATCGACGACATTTCCGGGGAACTGGATGCAAACAGACCAGTACCTTTCCGCCTGACACCTAATATATATGAATTTATAACAACCACAGGTTGGTAGTCGACAAGAAACGAAGCAAAAAAGATTTCTCAGGCCCTCAGATCTATATAATTGCAGAAATATTAAATGAATCCTCAAGAGCTAATGTTAAGCTGTTCGTTTCGCAGATCAATCAGCAGTACCTAGCGTTGATTCTTACTGGCTCATTTTACATTCCTGTTTTATTGTACAAGCACTGAAAGCCCAGAAAACATTTTTTGTTATCCCATTTTTAACTACGCATTCCCAAACTCGATTGTAAGGCCAATAACTGCCAGGGTGGTTGACGAAATTCTTTCTTCCAGCCTTTCACACGAAGTTTATCGTTCACAGGAGTATCGGGCCCTTTAACCGCCAGTGCGATCGCTACGGCTCGCTGTTTGGTGCAACCGTCGTATCAGTTACACGCTATACTGCGCGCGATTCTGCGCGATGAGGTAATCGCAGAGCACAAAAGGCAGGAAGATACCGAGAGCACGTCGCAAACGCCGACTGACCTGAAGGGCGAGCTGCTGATCAAGATGGTGACTCATGCGGTCACCGCGATCATCTCGCGATTGAACTCACTGGCCAACTTCGATGGGATTGACAGTAAAGTCAGCACGTTGGTTGCCGCTGCCAACAGCCACGACAATCTCTGCAGAATGGACCCGTCGTGGCATCCGTGGTTGTAACATAGCAGAATAGAACATGGACTGACAATGCATGGCCTAATCGTATGTCTAACGAGCAGAACAGGAGAATTAGGCTGTCACGTCGTTCTTAATTCTCACTTTATTTGACAGCCTAATTTTGCTCGGAGCACTCGTTGGACATACTACCTTGCGTGCGATGTTCGCTTTTGGATAGCTAGGAGAACGTTGAACGATGGAAGAAGATAGAAAATAAGTTAGACGCAATGAATATTTATAGATTATACTTGCATATATAGGCTGTCTTGCAACTCGCGCCGTTCATTCTAATAATTTGTTGATAAGTGGACAATTCTTTTGTTCTTTAACTAAAAATATCGGAAAGATGACGGATAATCTCGAAACTATACCAGTGACTGAGAAAGGCTTCCCGCATACTTGATTTTTTCGTGGGACCAAATTGATTAAAGAAAATTGATTAAAAATGTATTTTTCAAATGATCTCAACTGAAATACGTTTTGACTCCTGTTTTCTCGTCACAAGGATCTGAACAAAATTCTTCGTGATACACTGAGCAAAAAAAGATATCACCGCTCTGTAAAGACCCTTGAAAAGAGTTTCCTCTCCGCTCCAATGATCAATAAAATTGACCGTAAATCTTACATATAGTATAATGTATAGTTACTGTGTTTTAATTAAGTATTAATAAGATCGCGTTAATTTTACGGCTATTGATCGAATATCGTCCGAGCGAAAAGGATACTCTCGGAATATGTTGCCATCTGCTCGGTCAATCGCCCCTCAACGGAGCAGTTAACTTGAAGATTGCTCGCGAGGAGGTGCTCTCATATGTTTCTAAGAGTTGCGAGACAATCTATATATCAATATACGTGTTACCTGAACATATGTAAAAAAAAAAGCGGCAAGTCGAACCTGTAAAGTGCGAATTTTATATATTGCAACGATTGACTCTTATTCTGTATATTTGTTACACTGCTCATCCCATTTCTCCACATACGACTATTGATACGACACTTCGCTGTAACATAAAGTTCAAGTTCTCTCAGTGTATCGTCGGTCATGTGTAGTCTGGAGCTTGAGCGACGACGATGTATGATCTCGCCTTAATATTTACGGTGCAGGAATACAATTTACAATCAACTGAACATGTGTCTTTGGGAAAACTTGTTTATTTCGTGGGCTTTAGATTTATATTCCGTAGCATACACAAGTCTCGTGCGGTCGATTTGCGTCCTAACGCGGTTCTTATGTCGTAAAATCGCAGCAGAATGTCCGTCGTGAACAGCTCGGGCAATGCTTTCAAGAGACAGGGTACCTGAAAACACGTATAAATTCGCACCAATCCAAACTGACGTGGAAACTCACTTAGCTGACGCAATATTTTACAGATATAAACAGGTTTCACGCAATTGAAGTAAGAAAAACAAAGAGCGATTGCAAGATATCAGTGCGAATAATCTCAAGTCACAGAAAAGCAATAATATTTTACCGCGTAATGGCGAATCAGTCATTCTTTCAGTCAAACCGTCACCTCCTGACTTATTGTTATAATATTAATATTTATAATATTAATGATTAACAACCCACTACCGACTCCCGATCAGTAAATCTTTGCACCGCTTCATTCTCTTCAAACTTTTCTAATTAGTCCAATTTCTCCATTTTACCAACTGGGAGTAGGTCTTTCATCAATATCAATGATAAATTGGAATGCAACAGAGCTTGACGAGATCTTTTGGAAGGTTGATTCGTCGTAGACGTGAACCCGGAGAAATCGTCAAATATTAAAGATTAAAGATCAAACACGTTCAGATGTTACTCTCTCGTGATTCAAGATTAATTCGCACATTGCATGTCCTGCGATCGGCTCGATTTCTCTCGACGTAGCATAACATTTCATTCGACGCACCAGCGATTGTGGCATTCCCTGCAACACGATACGAGTCCTCTCCTTCCCGCACTGCACCGTGAGCCGCAGGAATTGAAATATGAAGTGAGTTTGCTGAGACACCTCGCTATCCCTGCTGGCGAGGAAATTGAATATGATGAAGAGATTGTTCAACGCAGTCATGAGCGGCTCCCTCAGGACGAACGACTTCTTGCCGTTGTTCGTGCCGGGTGCTTGCGCGCTCTGCGAGCTGAATATAGGAACATTCTCGCCCGTCTCGCTCAGTCGTAGGAGTTTGTTCGCGGACACGCCGAGTGTTTCCAGCTCTTCCGCGTCCAAGTCGTGCCGTACGCGCTTTCGACTGTTGCCGCGGTATGGATTCGAATTGTTGTACTCGAGAGTGGAGAATATGCAGTAGACGCACAGCTTCGCCAGGATGGACGACTGCGGCTCTACAAGCTCGTCGCTTCTGCAACAGAACTGACATTCAGCGGACGTGCCGAGTGAACAGTTTCTGCTGGGAATATCCTGGCATTCCACCGCAACTATACAAAATAATTTAGAGATCTTGTATATTGTACAAGACAAGATTCTTTTTACTTCAACAAGAATGTTACTTCAACAACCATGTTCGTCTCAAAATTCTACAGTCATTCTACAGGGACGTTAAAAAATTTTATTGGACAAGAGTGTATATTGTTGAATCGAACAAATCACTTTTTACGAAGACGTCAAAGAGTGCATTGTGTAAGCATGTCCGAGCGTCTCTGATGACTCGTGTTGAGACGATTGTTCGAATTACAGAAGTGCTCGAAAATACTCTTAGGGTCTTATTTGTCATTTCTTTCATGCGACGACGACGGCAACTTACTGCAAAGAGTTGTGCAGGTATTGCGGTATTATATGGTTAATGAGGTCCAGGGTGCAGTTCTCTATGTCGAGGTGGAAGATGGCGAAGGCCAGATCCACAGCTCGATCGAGTTCCTCTTGGTAACGGTACTTGAGCACCTCCTTCACTATATTCGTGACAAACCACAGGGAGCCGCCAGTGTTCAGCAAAGACTCCAGCGACTGCGTGGCTTGTATGTTTATCCATCCGCGCTGATTGATGTTCTGCCAAACAGACTCCAACTGCTCCAATATCGGCTGCCGCGATATAATACTGCAAACGCGAGGAATGAAACTGTGAGAACGAGAATCTCGAGGAGCGAGGGAGGTAACTCATCCTCTCGGAGGGCAACGCCGTACCTGTTAGACATCGAGAGTACCTTCGTTTTCGATTGCGTAGGTGGGTGCACGTCGTACTGCATTTTCCGGATAATTTGGAACATTAAGCTAGACCTGAAAAGAGGCAAGAACAAATTAAGCTTAGCGTCACTTTCAGTTACAACTCCGACGAGTACTTGCATTTCAAATTCAACTTCAATTGCAATCCTGAAAACAAATTTATCTTTAAACTCGACATCGAGATTAACGTTCTGAATTCAAAGTAACAAAGCCAGCAACTAAAACCATTGCTAACAAGCGAAAAGAAAGAGCATAATGAATTTTTTATATACAGTCTGTTTAATAAGAAAGTGTGGGTGATATTTTTGTAGAAAATCATAGTAGCACCATCTACCTTATACCGTTTGAATCTTGAAACTAACTTCTTTTGCGCAGTATACATCAAAAAGTTGCGTTGAATAGTCGTTAAAAGTAAACATTATTTTTAAAAATGAGTATAAAATATTTGAAGCGTTAGGAGGCAATGTTTCTTATTAACCATTCTTATTAACCATTCATAAGAACCAAAATTAACAATCGCAATAACTGCTAAAAAGTCAGAAGCTTTCGTAAGAAAGTGAGTAAATATTTAAAACCGCTGGAAATATTGACGACCTGTCAGAAAGAGGGCTGTCTCATGCAACGACTCCGAAGCAGGACAAAGCGATCTTGTGTCTCTTTCAGACGAATCCCAGTCTTACCCTGCGTTAGGCCTAAGTAAAACTCCGCCGAAAAGGTCAACATATCTCGCTTAATACCATCAGAAGCCGCCTGCATGAAAATGACATGATATCACCATATTTCGGTCCACCATAAAAAAACCGCTGCTGTCAGAAAAGCTCGAAAATAACATAACTATGATGGATTGGCCGGCATTCTCTCCAGACGCAAATCCCATCGGAAATATACGGTCATACCTTAAGATGAAACTTAAAGAAAAGCGTATCTTTACTTTTAAGCAGCTGTACATAAAAATAAAAACAATATGGCGTTTTCTACCAGAATACGCCAAAAATCTGGTCGAAAATATGCAAAAATGGCGTTAAGCAATAATTGATAATGGAAGCAATTGGATCAAATATTAGATAATTACGCATTACTAAAAATCTTCTATTTTCGTTAAAAAAAAAAACAACTTGACTTTATCTTTTATTCTTTTCAAATTATTACCAACACTTTCTTGTTGAACAAACTGTACGTATAGAAGACACCAATCAACCAAGAAAAAGTGAACAATCAATCAAGGAGCAAAAGAGAAATTGCAGTATTTACTTTGCTTCAACGAGTTTCGCAATAGCCAATAGTTAAAATGGATAAAAACTACTCAAAGATACCGGAAAAAGATGTAAAAAAGGTGTAAAAAATTCCAAAGAAAGCAATTCTGTTAATTTCACGCCATTAACACACAGACCTCTCTTTAAGGTTGTCCTGCATCTCATCGCCGGGCAGCGGCGTGAGGAAGTGTTGAACCATGTTCATGGGCTTCAGCAGGGCGTCCTGGTGCGTGATGCTCATGTACGCGCATAACCACGCAGCAGCACAGACCGGCAAGCAACACGCCGCCGCGCGCAGGCCGTCCAGAGCCCTCTTGACGTCGCCAGCACTCAGCACACCGCTCTCCCAAGCGCACAGCAACTCCTTCACCGCGCCCATCGCCGACTGGCATGCGACGTGCCACTTGAGATTGCTCGACTTGAAGTCGAGGTCCGGCGAGTTGATTTGCGCCAGCAGCGCATCCACCCGCGCCGGGTCGATGTTCTGCAGCATCCTCTGCGGCGACTTCGGCTTGTTCCGCTCGGGCATGCAGCCGCGCACCCACTGCTCGAAGAACGAATCCCCGCCCTCCTCTAGGACAACCTGGAAGCAACATTTATATTTGCGATGTACACTTGATGTAATGTTTAGAAACGACCCTCTTCGAATATCCATCAAGTAAATCCATACATTAAAGCAATTAGGAGCAGTTATCAGTTGGGCAACAAATATACATTGCAGCTGAATAACTTGAACAATAAACACGCACATGGATGTTTTGGCCATTTGAGATACACGAGTCTCCTCAGTGGTTGCATAAATGTCAACACTTAGAAAGTTAAGATTTTGAAACTCATTTTTCACTCTTATTATTAACGAGTAATCGTTGACAATAAGTTGACTATTCAACTTACATCAGATCCGTATGTTTGCACTATCGAGCACAACATCAGAAACGACATGTCGAACAGCATCGCTCGCGTCGCCGCTGTTTTGCCGGGCACAGGCTCGTTGATCTGCCTGCTGCATTCGTTAAACTTGATGAGCTTGGTGACGAAGGTCTTCAGTTTGCCCTCCACGGTCGCTACCGCGAGCATCAGCTCGAAACTATTGCCCGTCAGGACCTCGCGCAGCATGCTGAGCAAGGCCTCCTGGATCTTCGTGTAATCGGCATTCAGCGTCTTCAAGATGCCGGCCAAGGTCGGTTCCGCGCGTATAATGACCTTTGGGATCGACGACTTCGGGGTGCTGGAAGGCTCCAGCTTCTGCAGGGCCGCCGTCACTCCCTCCCTGCGTAACAATTGCAAGCAGGTAATTGGACAAACAAAAAAATTGTATACATTTCTTGTAGCTTCAGTATGTCTTCTTGTTCTTCACATCCTCATCCATCTAGGAATACGTTAGGATAGTTAATTCTGATTGGTAATCTTATTGAAAATATTTGATGAGGTTGATATCTTGAGTAAGAGCAGTAAAGTCTCACCAATTCGACGGTTTCACCCCCCCCCCTCAAGCAAAAATAACCAAATTTATATTACCTCCTGGCACTTAAGTGCTTCGCTTGCTTCTCCGTGACAAGATTCACTTTCTGCAGTTCATTCAGCAAGCACTCGACGCAGTTGCACGAGCACGTCGTGTCCATTATGTCGAGCAGGGACGCGAACTGAAGCAACAGCTCGAACGCATCGAGAATATCCTGCGAGTACTCGTACTTCTCCTCACCTGCAAGGACAAAATGCAAGAAACACGACTGAGTTAGCTCTCGAGCTCCCAAACTTTACGATTCTCCCTCGAGGAATGTAGCGGGATTAATTACCGATCTTTAGATTAGCTTGGTGCAGTTCCTTCAGTATAAGAGGCACTTTTAGAAACGTGAAGGCTCCCCACTGCGATTCCTTGTAAGTTCCCGTCACATTGTGCAGGCACATTAGACAGGCGCGGATGATCTCGCAGTAGAGCCGTGCATTCGTGTAGCTCTTCAGCCTTTGCACCATTAACAGCTGATTGACAAACACAGATGTCTCTGTGCTAGGGTTCAGTAACACTTGAACGGCAAAGAGCGGCTGCAGGCAGTGAGTGATGGATTCCATCCGAGTCTTTTCGGGGCAAAAACTCTCAATCTCCAAGTCGTACAGCATCTTCAGGGAGTCTTCTATCGGTATCACAGATTTTAGAGTGGTCGTCTTTAGCAGCGCCTCGATTTCCGAGCTTTTCTTCATAACTTCTATGTACAGATCTAAAAAATGGAAAGATATACACATGAACATTGAGTTCTTGGCATCAAGATTTTCAATTTGTGTATTGTGTTACAACATACCTTCGTCGTCGTATTTAGCTAGATACATCATCGCACGTAGAAAATCAGAGTTCAGCATCTGCTGCAAGATGCTGGCAGGTTTGTCCATAAGTTCGCTTGGGTGCGGAGTCAAAGGGTTGTTCTGTGGAGCTTTAGATAATGTGTGCAGGTAACACTGCAGGAGCCAGTGGACGATGGATAAAACTGCTGCTGCTAGAAGATCCTCTTCTGGTTTGCCGCGACATGTAATACCAACTTGTATGGATTCCAAGAATTCCAGCAAACTCACTATGCAATGAGGCTTGTGGAAAGCGTCATATTTACTTATCCGCTGCAGCACTGCAGCATATGATACCAACTGCAAGATGATTGAAAATATGACTGATATGCACATATTGCACAATATATGTATATTAAGAATTACATTGATGTATCAAGCATCACAAATTATAGCATTTACCAACCTGAGAACTTAATGAATGTTTTAAGTAAGACAAAACCAATTGATTAGGCCCTGGTCCCACTAATGCCTGTTGCAATATACAATCAGCTAAGTTATATACATCACCACTCACTCCTCTTGGAAGGATCTGAAAATTTATCTTGTGTAAAAAACAATTACATAAAGAAAATATATTGTCAAAAACAAAATATAGATGCCTACAGTTTTGATATTAATACCCCATTGCAAATCACTCCAGCGTTCTCTCCATGCTCGTAACAAAAGAGCTTTCAAACTACTAGTTTTACTAGTCACTTTGGTTTCCATCGGTAATGTTAAAACATTAAATAATTTTTGCCACATTGAGGATATATAAAAGCCTTCTGTAAGTAAAATATATTGTTAAAAGAAGAAAATTAGAATAAGAAAATCAGAGAGAATGCAATGTAGAAACTAATAGTAAACATTTCATTATCACTTCATCATCAATACATTAGTTTCCTGACAATTGCAAAACAAAAAAATTATCAAAATTAATAAGATATAGTATATACTGTCTATAGAAAATATTTCTTGTATATTTATAAAATGGATATGTAACAAATAAAATATAATAAAACTGTTTACCTTATAACACATTGCTGCCCTTATAACCTTGTACGTAACGTTTCAATTTATCATTATTTACATCTATCATTGCATATAATTCATAATCAAAGCATATGGAAAAAAATTTATACTTATATTGTTTTTATTATTACAAAATTTTTGTTGTACAAATAATTCATAAATATTCAAATAATTGTATTTCCACGTATATATAATGTTGCTAAGAGCACTTTCTTACGTACATCAATGCGTTCGGACATTGCATTCTGAATGCAGTGATGCGCACTCGTGGGATTTTGTCGCGCATGCGCACAAAGCAAATGCATGCATCCTCACTAAAGCCAGCGGCACACGGTGCTTGATTTCGTACTGGATTGCTTGCTGGATGAAAATACTGCATTCTGATCGGTGCATTTCCATCTATCTTCGGAAATGTACCAATCAAAACGCAATATTTTCATTCAGCAAGCAATCCAGCACGAAAACAAACCGTGTGCCACTGGCTTAACGTATATACATCGGCCAAATATATGGTCTGTTCTTTTTAGCTGCACTCAGGAACTAGTGCAATAAATTAGAATGAGACAACTATATTTTTTCTCACTTTAACTTATCGCACCAGTTCAGTAGTGCAGCTAAAAAGAACAGACTAATATATAGTCTGTTCTTTTTAGCTGCACTGCTGAACTAGTGCAATAAGTTAGAATGAAACAACTATATTTTTTCTCACTTTAACTTATTGCACAAGTTTAGCAGTGCAGCTAAAAAGAACAGACCCATAGTCTGTTTGCACTAGTTCCGCAGTGCAGCTAAAAAGAACAGACCAATTAGGTATCGTTAGGTCCTAGCAGAGAGGAAGCTGAGAACGGCCAACACGGCGTTTTCGGCAATACCGATTTTTCGCACTGGAAATGGGCGCCATCTGCATCCATTTTGAGAGAACTACGATGCTACATCCACTTTTAGGTCTTGGTGGTAAAATCTGCATGTGGTGGAAGTCCGTGCTACATCCATTTTCAGGCGGTTTATGTCCGTGCTGGAACCATAGTTTCTACTATCTCTATGCCAGACAATAGGCCTGTTTATTTTGTCTGCACTGCTGAACTGGTGCAACAAGTTGAAGTGAGAAAATCTACGTTTGTTTTACTTTAACTTAATGCACTAATTCAGCAGTGCAGACAAAATGAACAGGCCTTATGCCCGAAGATCTAAAACGAGCGGGAGGGGGGGAGCAGGAAAAATAAAAGTATATATTAAATATTAAATCCTCTACATACATGTTGCCGTATCAAAGTCTCCTGTATAATAAATGATTTGATACGTCTGGAGACGCATGATGTATCGTTGCCTGCGTCCCGTTCCCTTTGTCATGCTTCTCAATTCAGCATCCCGTCCGCTCCGAACATTCGCTCGTGGCACTGACAATGGCCGTCGGTGAGCATTCGATCCGCTCGGAGGAGCACATGTTAATTAACGCGACGAGACTCCGATTATAAATATCCCGCGAGTCGACGAAATATTTGAATTTTTAAAAAAAGCATCAAAGAAAATCATGTTGATGTTGTCATGGGTGAAATCTCACCTTGGTATATATTTTTTTATTTTCGAAATAAAAAGATGAAAAGTAAAAGAGTTATTGTCCGGATAATCTAACATTTAATAAGAACGAGACAAAATTCGCATGAGATGAAATTCCACTCTTTAACGCTACCATGACCTTTAATTATTCTCCGAAAACGGCGTCACAACTTTGACACTCTGTACAATTAGTTGCTAACACATTTTCTAATCGTACACATTTCTCTTTAATTAACATAAAGCTAACAAATGTCCGATGCTTCGACAAAGTAATTTTCTTTATTTTCAGTAATCAATAAATATATATAGTAAATCAATGTCGCGTACAGTTGAAAGGCCTCCTCGCATTCCCCTCGTCGTTCCGGAACCTTCGAGAATAGAAGAGACGCCCAAGGGCAAGTATCTCTTGCTTCAACCGCCGCCGAGGCTCGCAATGTTTACATCGCGCCGATTGTGTTGATCGGCTCGCGAGCGACGACACTTTTTGCCCTTCGTATTATAATACTCGCGCACCTCATGTATTCGACCTCATTCCATCAGCAACAGCCGTGCGCGACGCTCTCGTCACTTCCGTCTCGTGTAATTAAAAGAAATATATCTCGTCAGTCCTCGAGATACTCAATCGGCATCGCGTCGGCATCTCATTCATTAACTGCACGGTCGAATCGCGAGTATCAGCATTAGAAGCGTGAGCGAGTGAAATCCGGAGGACTTCAGCAGTCGAGAAGCAGAATGCCGGCAGCGATACGTCACGTTTCCAGGTATGTGGAATCATTTATTACGCGGGAGGTCTCCGATAACGAGAGCGTACGTTTGACGAATTTTCCGGGAATAAGAAGATGGAATTTCGCGCTCGGCATTCACAATCCGTCATCATCCGACTAGTAATCATCACTTTATGAATTTGCAATTATTCTCGTCAATCTCTGTCTGTCTATTTATTTATTGCGTTGTTGTATACAAAAGATATTGATCCAGACAGAGACGGATAACGGTCCATGGATCTCGAATTCATCATGTTCTCAATCAAACATTCTGAATCACTCCCAATTCCTGTGTGAAAATATTGGTCTTGTGTAGAATATTCAACGTCATATCGCTTCTTAGACTGCGACCTTTTTTGTTTTCGGTCAGCGCTTCTTTCAAGTTTGTTTACTTTTGTTACGGGATCTGAATTTAAATGTCCATCCGTAAAAGAATATTTTCGAGAGCACACAACTGTTGTCTCCGCTTCTTATTGTCATTTTCTTTCGTCAGCTTTTTCAAGAGCTCCTATCTAGATATTCAATGTCAATAAAGAAAAAAAATCGTAGCGAATATTCTCCACTCATCCCGACCAACCATTTTTTCTCTACCGCAACTTACCAACCAAGAACGTTAAATTTTTGTTCCAGATGTTGCAGGAAGCAAGTCCGGCGGACGCGGATGCCGCACCGGAGGATCCAGTTCGGGCAGAGCAGGGTCGGCCGGAAGGTAAAGTTTACAAGTTTCCTACACATCTGTGTTCAACTCTTTACGATCTTTGCCTTTGTAACTTGTTCCTCATCAGCTCTCTTGAAAGCTTCAAGTCCCATTTAAATTTTCAATGTTGGAACAAAAATATAAAGATAAAAATTCCGTATCAAAATATATCCATATTTTCGATTGGTCCCGATCAAAGATATTCTCTCTCTACCGCAGGTTATCAACCGGGAAAATTATTTTTCTGTTTCAGTTGTTGCGGAAAGCAACAGCAATCCGATGGACGCGGATGCCGCACCGGAGGATTCGGTTCGGGCGAAGCAGAGTCAGCTTGAAGGTAAGTTTACAAGTTTACTATAGTCCTCTGTTTGGCCCTTTGCGATTTAGAGCTGGGATATAATTTCCGGCTCGACTTGAATTACGATCGCAGAGGGTAAACTACTCTTTTACTCGCCCGCACTCGTTGGTCAAATTTGATAAGCAACTGTGAATTTTTTGTTACAGAGTTGAAGCGGAACGTGGCCGGCTCTGACTGCAAGTCGTTTCGGTGAGTCAAAATGAAAAGAGAAACAAAATTCTGCATGACGGATGTGGGACTAAAAAATATCGTTCGAGTCAATGCGAATTGCAAATAGATACTTGCATGTGTGTATTTGTGATGTTGAATAAAATACATTGCTCGAAACAATCAGGGGATTACTTGATTGATAGCCTGCATTACGTACAAGATTTAAAATACTGAATGATTCTCTTTTGATGTTCGGTCATCTGAATAAGAGAATATTCATATGTACAAACGCGACACCGACATCAGCTGCTTTATTTTTATTTTTCAAGCGGGCCGCAGAATTACTTAACGATTTAATTATTTGACAATATTCAATTGTCCGTATAAAATATATTCATACCTAAATGCTGATATCGTTAGCTACTTTTCTTTTATTTGCAAAACAGGCTGTAGAATTATTTGGCAATATTATCCATTCATCACAATCCCTATTGTCTCGAGTAGCATATAATGCGCGTAGAAATTGCGCCAGCGCACGCCGAGCTTGAGGTATCCTCCCTCGCGTGCCTTTGAATATCGCGACCGCGGTTGTCAATATACTCGTTTTTACTCGCGTTGCTAACAAAGAAAACTTAAATTCTCATTTCGCCAAAGTATCGCGAACGTAAGCTTCGTCGTGACAGAGCTACAATGCGTGAAAACTTTGCCCCGCTCCTCTCTCTTTGCGCTCTCTAAGGGGACCGGTTTCTGATTGTCTAATCTTTCCTCGCGTGCATTCGCGTCGCGAATATTTCACTCGTAGATATCGATAATCCCACATTTTCGCGACTTTTCAGATGCAATTGCGAAAAGCACCGTAAAAATCCGTTGGACGAGTCAATAAATTTTCACACGGTTCTTACTTCTCGCCGATCGAGTTTATAGAGTCCGTTTCGCAGCGCGCAAAAAGTTTCCACCGATGGCGAGTAAAACGTTCGTTAATTGATGTAAATATCGCCGTTCTAATACCGCGTATCGACCGCGTCGCGGAAGTGTGATGAAAGTGTAGCGATCACCGTGGGACGAGCTGCAAGATGGATGTTGCGCGACATAGACAGCGGCAGCGGACATGGGCGGACATTGATGGATCTGGTTGGATGCAACAGGACATCATCAATATCATCACTGGTGAGTGTCTGACTCAAAACTCGCAGAAAGAACTTTTATTATTACTTTATTATTACTTTTATTATTACATTGTGCATGCCGCAAATTTGCATTGACTCTTGTAACGAAAAATATATTCCATGAATTATTGTCCTATATTATTGCCATATATTGTTGCCACATATTGTTGCCATATATTGTTGCCATATATATTGTTGCCATATATTGTTGCCGTATATTATTACCATATATTATTCCCATATATTGCCATGTATTCTCGCCATATATTATAGCCATTTGAAATCGCGCGACCAATCAAGAAAACTGAATATATCGGTAATCGCAAAGGCGTGGCAGACGTCACAAATGGATGTTAGCAGCCGGTCTCAGGGTGGACCGATAACAATACTGTTGCTGCA